ATTCAGATTTTAAAAGGATTTTTTTTTCGTGCTAAACAGTCGCTAGTTCCAGCTGTAGTTCCCGCCGTGTCTGACCTGAATGATACAGACAATGAACACAGTTCTTTAATGTCGGACAGGGTATATAAATGTCACATTAAGCAGTAAGAATTGGTTTTAACTAAGTTTGCGTGCCATCTTCTTTCCAACAACTAATAAACACAACTACAGTATTCAATTGCAGTATGTAGTGACAAGTCACGTTAACACACGTACAGCTATTGTACATAACATAAATGCCAATAAAGAGTAGAAGTGAATATTAATTAGAGTTTGACAGGTTTTTGACGCATTCAAATTCTATTTCTATCTCACAGCCACTTGATAATTTGTTCACTCATTTTATTGTCTTCAAGTCCGAATTATTCACCGAAGCAAAAGTTACGCCTTTAGTATGCACCTGTGGATCAATAATCATATATATGAACTAGAATACATTGCTTAGCGTCATTAAACCGTGAACATGTAAAAGTATTAGTCATTAAAACTAAATAAACCGTGACGAAAGTTTACCTTAATGCGTTTCCTTGTAGCAATAATTGTAATTCATGAGCTAAAATGAAACAAATTCGTCTAAAAATAACCTGATACATCCCCTCTTACAGGTGGAGTCAAATCTAACACCTTCCGTCCCTCTTTATGTCCCTCCGTCCTTCATTATGACCAAAGTCTGAATTAGTTTAATACAATTTTACCCTATATGAATTTTCGAGAAAAGTTGAGCACACTTCTATTTAAATGACACGTCAAAGTTCTGTTCAGGTGTGCACCATAGAATTAAGAGATAAAATGTCTCCCTGTACTCACATTTTGCTGAGGTCGGATGAACTGTCACTGCTGACACTTGACATGGCGCCCTATATCACTGGACTATCGATTTGACGCTTAAATCCACTGTCAAATATCCGTATCACCGATGCTAGATTACATATATATCTACAGATATACACAGGACCTGTCCCGAGTTCCTTACCCGACAACACATTCCGGGTAAATACTCTACAAACATACTCTACTACACAACAGAAGATTGTGGTACACTAGAGTTATCTCCCATCGCTTGATCGATTACCTTCTCATCTTAACAAAGCGATTGTAGATCGAACTGATTGTCTATTGAAACGTATGATATAAAGATAACGTGTCTCACGGCATCTAAACCAAACAGCACTGGTCTTTCTAAATGAGCAGGGACGCGCCATACACAATGCTGATTGTTTAATATGATGAAAAATGTCGAAAGGAAATAACGAAAAAAGTAGGGACGATATCAACCTCAAAAAATGCAACAACAAACAGAAATCAAACATGTATCAAAAGAAAAGATATGCCTTCATTTTCAATACCAGGCTGTGGGCCGTAATGAATGTAAAATTGCGATGTCAGTATACATCCGGTTTGCATATACATTTTTTAAATTGATATATACAATCATTGAGGTATTTTGTAGTTACGTAAAATGTTTGTCATTTCTATATACCATACTCTCACACAGATCGATGTGTAAACCGAATCTCACACAGGTCGACGCGTATTCCGTACTTCACACAAGTCGGGGTGTATACCGTACCTCGCACAGGTCGACGCGTATACTGTATCTCACACAGGTCGACCTGTATCCCGTACCTCACACAGGTCGGCGTATATACCGTACCTCACACAGGTCGGCGTATATACCGTACCTCACACAGGTCAGCGTGAATACCGTACCTCACACACCTCGGCGTGAATACCGTACCTCACACAGGTCGACGTGTACACCGTACCTCACACAGGTCGACGCGTATACCGTACCTCACACAAGTCGGGGTGTATACCGTACCTCACACAGGTCGGCGTGTATACTGTACCTCACACAGGTCGGCGTGTATACTGTACCTCACACAGGTCAGTGTGTATACCGTACCTCGCACAGGGCGGCGTGTATACCGTACCTCGCACAGGTCGGCGTGAATACCGTACTATAAACAGGTCGATGTGAATACCGTACCTCACACAGTTCGGCGTGAATACCGTACCTAACACAGACCGGCGTGAATACCGTTCCTCACACAGGTCGGCGTATATACCGTACCTCACACAGGTCAGCGTGAATACCGTACCTCACACACCTCGGCGTGAATACCGTACCTCACACAGGTCAACGTGTACACCGTACCTCACACAGGTCGACGCGTATACCGTACCTCACACAAGTCGGGGTGTATACCGTACCTCACACAGGTCGACGTGTATACCGTACCTCAAACAGGTCGGCGTGTATACCGTACCTCACACAGGTCGACGTGTACACCGTACCTCACACAGGTCGACGCGTATACCGTACCTCACACAAGTCGGGGTGTATACCGTACCTCACACAGGTCGGCGTGTATACCGTACCTCACACAGTTCGGCGTGAATACCGTACCTAACACAGACCGGCGTGAATACCGTTCCTCACACAGGTCGGCGTGTATACCTCACACAGGTCGGCGTGAATACAGTACCTCACACAGGTCGGCGTGTATACCATACCTCACACAGGTAGGCGTGTATACCGTACCTTACACAGGTCGACATGTATACCGTACCTCACACAGGTCGACGTGTATACCGTACCTCAAACAGGTCGGCGTGTATACCGTACCTTACACAGGTCGACGTGTATACCGTACCTTACACAGGTCGACATGTATACCGTACCTCACACAGGTCGACGTGTATACCGTACCTCACACAGGTCGGCGTATATACCGTACCTCACACAGGTCGACGTGTATATCGTACCTCACACAGGTCGGCGTGAATACCGTACCTCACACAGGTCGGCGGGTATACCGTACTTCACACAGGTCGACGTGCATACTGAACCTCACACAGGTCGGCGTGTTTACCGTACCTCACACAGGTCGGCGTGTATACCGTACCTCACACAGGTCGGCGTGTATACCGTACCTCACACAGGTCGGCGTGTATACTGTACCTTACACAGATCGGCCTGAATACCGTACCTCACACAGGTCGGCGTGTATACCTTACCTCACACAGGTCGGCGTGAATACCGTACCTCACACAGGTCGGCATGTATACTGTACCTCACACAGGTCGACCTGTATGCCGTACCTCACACAGGTCGGCGTGTATACTGTACCTCACACAGGTCGGCGTGTATACTGTACCTCACACAGGTCGACGTGTATACCATACCTCACACAGGTCGACGTGTATACCGTACCTCACACAGGGCGGCGTGTATACCGTACCTCACAGAGGTCGACGTGTATACCGTACCTCACACAGGTCGGCGTGTATACTGTACCTCACACAGGTCGGCGTGAATACCGTACCTCACACAAGTCGGCCTGTATACTGTACTTCACACAGGTCGACGTGTATACCGTACCTCGCACAGGGCGGCGTGTATACCGTACCCCACACAGGTCGGCGTGTATACTGTACCTCACACAGGTCGGCGTGTATACCGTACCTCACACAGGTCGGCGTGTATACTGTACCTCACACAGGTCGGCGTGAATACCGTACCTCACACAGGTCGGCCTGTATACCGTACCTCACACAGGTCGACGTGTATACCGTACCTCGCACAGGGCGGCGTGTATACCGTACCTCACACAGGTCGGCGTGTATACTGTACCTCACACAGGTCGGCGTGTATACTGTACCTCACACAGGTCAGTGTGTATACCGTACCTCGCACAGGGCGGCGTGTATACCGTACCTCGCACAGGTCGGCGTGAATACCGTACTATAAACAGGTCGATGTGAATACCGTACCTCACACAGATCGGCGTGAATACTGTACCTCACACAGGTCGGCGTGTATACCGTACTCTCATAAAGGTCAACATTTATATTGTACCGTCACAATAGTTGACGTGTATAACGTACCTCACACAGGTTGAAGTGTACAAAACATTAAAATACAAGTGGACGCAAATACATTGTTAACTATACCCTCTCAAAAGTCAACGTATATCCTTTCACTCACATTGGTAGACATATATACCGTGTATTCATGTGAACGAGTATCCCGTACCATCATGAAGTCGACATGTTTACCATATTCATCTACAGGTCGATATGTCTAATGTTCTCTCGCGCAGATCGACGTACATAAATAAAATGTACCTTAATCTCGTACAGGTCGACGTGAATACCTTGACCTCGTTCAGGTTGGCGTATATAATGTATTCACACGCAGGTCGACGTGAACAACATATCAACACAAATGTCGACGTGTAAACCCTAATCTAACACAGGTCGACGTGTACACCGTGCCCTCACAAAGGTCGACGTGAATACCTTAACCTCATACAGATTGACGTGTATAATGTATTCACATACAGGTCGATGATTATACCGTTCTCTTACATAGGCCGACGTGTGTATAGTAAACATGTATACCGAGCGTGTAGGTGTATTAACAGACAAACAGGCCGACGTGACCATAACCTTGTTCAGGTCGGCGTAAATATCGTAACCTCGTATAGGCGGACGTGTACACCCTATTCACATGTCGACATGTACACCTTCTCGCACACAGGTCGACCTGCACACACATGCGAGGATATTACCAAACTAATACGTGTTACGTTTCCCACGTCCCTATGACGTGAGCGTGTAGCCAGAACACGTGTGTTGCTACGGGTATTACAATTTAGAGGGTAAGCTAAAGATACGTCGGATAGCTGCCGTTATAGACTGCGTCGTGATATTGGGTAAGTAACATACACATCACATACAGTAAAAGTTGTATCTCTAAATAGGCCACACAGTAGTTGTTCCATATTATTACACATCATGTAGATTTGGTGCACCGTACACCGGTCTCAGTATAAACAGAAAACACATGTATACCTGGCCACACATATACGCTGTCATTACAGAGTGATGTGTTGACATCTCGTCTGAATATAATTGTTTCAATATTTTGTACGATGTAGTGTAGGCTGTCTTACCTGGTAGTAGTCAGCGTGGTGAAGAGGGTTGTCTTGTCTCAGTCACAAACATGGCTACCTGTGTCCTTACCTTCTGTTTACAGTACCATCCATTACGTAGTCTGACAGAGGAAGTCACAGTATGGTAGAGGCCCGCCATGGGAAACCCGTAAGCTCAAACTGGGTTTAGTCGATAATTGACATACCCAGAATCAGGGCCCATTGTACATCGTAACAAAAGCTTACTATAGTATGTAGACCAGATCTATTATAAACATCGCCCGAGTCATTACTCACGGCGGCTGTGGCTAAACTAGTTCTTTTTTTACTGAAATACAGGTACATGTGCTTTATCCCTATTTGATGTTTTGTATCGTGATTTGAACGTAATGCTGTTCATTGTTATTGCATTGGACACGAACTTACATGCATATAAGGCATTTGTGTGCGTGCTGTACAGTACTATACACATTGCATTGTTGTCGTGCTTGAATATCTAAACCTCCCGAGGGACCCCAATAGAAATTTAATTCGTAAATTGAAATTGTCCACATCATTTATATTGAAGCGCCGATCGAGTTCCGGGTGGGTGACTTTGTGTGACTAATCTGGTCGATTGTCAGCGCTAATGTGTATAGAAGGGCATCGCTCCAATGAGCTTTAATTGTACAAGCGTTATAAGTAAATATAGATCACGCTGTTAGCTTAACTGTCTTATTGGTATTATATATTTAGCACTTGTATGCAAATTGCTTTCATTCTATTTCAATTTTACCACAACACAAGTCTTTGATGTGTTTCACATTCTTTTGCCGGTGAATGTGAAATTCTAGCGAAAAACATGTATGTAGTTTTGAGGTTATAAGGAGACGTAGTCACCGTTTGGAACCTCAGAGTTGACAACCCGACTGTTATGTTCTGCCGCCCGTCTTACAATACGGAACGTGTCTGAAAGTGATGAAGTACTACATGACAGCGAAAGTGTTTAGCTTTATAAATTAAGTTTTAGGGGTTTATCGTCCTCAGGGGTGAGGACAGGTGTCAGAAGGGACACCAAAATAAAACACAGAAAGAAACTAAAAGCACACAGAAAAGAATGAAAACATCGATCAAGACCCCAAGCGATGTAACAGGGACAGTAGATTTATTCTGATATCGTCAATATTTATTAATAGTTTGGAAAGATTTAGATTGGACTCGTAACATTCGTAAGATTCTTTACATATTAATTATCAATCTACTTAATTATTTGTATGATAAAATTGCCTTGCAGTTATTGATACCAGTACTCCAGAACTATGACTTTTTATAGGTATGAGTGTGACATGCGTGTAAAACACTTTGGCCGGGTTTTAACTAAACCATGTTACAGGTCCATGTGTGTCATTCTCTGCCCGATCGACTGTAATGCTCACAGTGAAACGAGGTTAAGTAAAGTTATACCTCTGTGTGATCAGAATGGCGTGCGTGCCTAAATAGCGCGCTCTAAAGAATCGATCATTTTTCTTTTTGAGAGCACACACGTACCTTAGCTTGTTTATGTACCCTGGAGTTTTCATAGCGTTTTGTTTTTCTTTTTCTTGTATGACAACATGATTTGATATATATATATATATATTCGAAAAACAATAAAAAAAATATAATCGCACGGCGACATGTCTTATGTCTGCAAATGACTGTTTGCGAGTTACCTCCCCTACAATATGAAGCACAAGGGTATTATGCTATATATATATGTTTACTGTCATAATGTTTGGTTCCCAATGAATATATTGAAAATCATTAGAAAATAACGTTTCATTATTGGCCTATTTGGGCCTTCAGTTATCGCTTTCTGTCCGTTTTTTACCTAGGGACTATTTTTTGTTGTTTGCAGGAACAGTTGTTTAATCTGTACTAAGTCAAGGGTCATCTCTTGAAACAGTCCTGGGGTAATATTAGTGTTTTTAAACGCGAAATATTAACAGGTCATAATGTATATCAGCAATTGAATTGATTAACCTTGTACTTTACAACAAAACATTTTATATGGATTGAACTACGAAAGCTGGTTGGGGACCCATTTTCGTGATTTATCTGGCGCCATAATGCACAAGATTTTTTTTGTGACGAATTTGAAAAAAAAAACAAAACAACAACAAACAAACAAAAAACAAAAAGCAAAAACAAAAACAAAACAAAACAAAACAAAAACAAACCCACGACATCTATAAACTACCAAGTCCTTAATCAAGATGTTATTTTGAAATAGTTTGTAACCGAAGAACACTTTAATATTACCTTTAGTATGTAACAGCTTCCGGGGAGATAGGCGGAATATGTACAGTACTTCTATTTGCCAAATATAAAACCTTGTTTCATTTGTCTTCAGTTATCAAAGGAAACTTACATGTATTTCTTTTCAGTAGACAATCATCTTGTTGTAACATGGGACATTTGTTCAGTTTTTTTTTTTTTTTTTTCTTTAGATTGAAAATCTTGACCTATATGAGTAAATAACATAGCATACTAATGCCTAGGATACTATATCAGGCACATTAAGTATCTGTTACATTAATGAAACTATATCGAGACCCTCCATTAGCAGATAATTTGTCGCGGACCTTGGCCACGCACCGAGGAAATACAACGATAATCTAGTGAAAAACACGAAATGCTAGTATGTATTTCATCTTAAAAGTGAGATATTCTCCTCTGTGTTGATAAGCTTTTGGTAAAAAATATTGATAAATATTCACGGCAAATTTAAATGACTTTTATTTATCACAAATAACGAAGCAGTTTATAATAACGATCTTAAATTAACGCTTTAAAGGAGAATATTACTTCTTTAACAAGAAAATCTGATGACGAATCCAAGAATTAAAGAAAAAATGAAAAATGTCTGATACATATATAAATTCCATCGTCGCCATGACCTTGACCTTGGACCACTGAAAAAACAGAGTAAAAAGTATATTCATACTTGATGTTAGTGTAGCAGTGTTGAAATTTGTAGAATAATACAAACAACACACTTTTGAAAGTTTTTCCGATTTATTATCCTAAGTGGATTTTCCCTGCAATTATACAACAGTACAATTCTATAAATGAGTTACATACAAATACCGCACTTATCCGGTACAATATTTATATACAAAATGTACAACTAGTCACGTTACATTTACATTAAACAATTGAAATAAGAATTCCTTAAAAATTTAATTTACATGAAACCGATAATATATGTATACTTGATATTTAAGATATTCATGCAAATTCTATCGTTTTAAATATATATATATATATATGCATACACAGTGAATACAATAAATAAATTATAAGGAATATTGGAAAATGAAAATAATCGTACCTATTTCTGGAACAGGGGCCATTAAGTAGGGAGCGAACTCTCGTTAGTACTGATGTGTCTATTCTGTTTAACAGATAAGTACATACTCTGACTCAACCAACCATCAATATCTTTTATGTGGCGAGGACAAAGAATAACATATGGGTCCCAAACCAGTAGATGTAATATTCCAGAGTTTCTGATATTGAACCGATCCGGATTTCTCTTCCCCGTACTAGCGTTCAGACCTAATTTTACGTTACTACTTTCCGCTGTGACTCGCTAGGTACACGTCTTTCACGTCAATATAGTTTGTGTATTATGTCAACAGCACTATAAACCTACCGTGGGAGCTACACGCAGGTAGGTCACATTACTATCATCACTCTGTAATAACGTTGGACGCAGCATTTTGTAGCTATGTTACATTCCCAATATTTTACAAAATGATATGGATGCTTATCTGCCTCAAACAGCTCGCTGCATCTATCGCAGACCTGGCAAGGTTTACATACGGAAGCCCATACCGGCCTGACGTATTTCGGTTCGAACAGTTTAACAAGAAAGATCCAATCGTGCTGAACCATGTAGTACAGGACTCCGTTTGTAGACTGACCTTGTGTCAGGCTATTCTTTTCTTAAATAATGTTATAGATGTGTCACATGCTCATTTTTATTACGAATTTGGCAATGTCATCTGCAGTGTGTCATTGACGAACTTGAATTCTAATGCATGTTTTATGTTAAAAGTTAACAATCACATAACAGAAATACACACATTTATGAACATTGATGTTACACATGTTCGCTGAATAAAAGCCACAAAATTTGTAAATAATCAATTCCTATTCCAGTCTATTTTTATAGGTATAATTCACTGTTAAACACCTCACTGAAGTAGTTTCTAAATCGACAATAGGCAATAGCCTTTTTGAGCAACTCTGTCATAGTTTTATTTATGACCACTGAATCGATAAAAAGGAGTGCAAACTGCGGTAATACAGAGAGATCCCACGGCAACTGGTTGTTTATGTGATATTTCTTTCACTCCAGTTATTTTTCAAAAGTTGTAATATGCAATAACACTATAACGGTATAATATTTTACAAATTACAACAAAATTATCAAGTTTATCGTTTTCAAAGCAGGTAGTGGATAGAAATTCATATAACGCGAACTACGTTTTGAACTTCCGTGTGTGTGTGTGTGTGTGTGTACACGTGTGCGTGTGTGTGTATATGTGTGTGTGAAGCGCCCTTACAGCCATATTATTCATTCATTCACAGTTTACAGAAGGAGTAGTGTGGTCAGAATTGTCGTTATGCTAAATGTGCCAATATAAAGAGTCCTTAAAAAAATGCAGATAAAATCAAATGTGTGTCAGCTGTCGCTCTCAGTGTGAGCGTTCGAAGTGATAACGTCAACGAGCATGGAGTTGACCCGGTCAAAGTTCAAAGGGTCAGCTAATCAAAATGTCTTGAAATTTTATTCCACGTATGGATTAAAAGTGTTCGATAAACAATTTTGGTGATTAATTGATGTCTTGAGAATTGCTAAATGCCCACATATTGTAGTACAAATATTGTTTAAACCGTACATATTTTAGGAAAATATGGCAAATAAATGATACAAATATGATAAGCTATTATGGACAGGTTTGAACCGTTTTTTTAGGTCATCTGAGACAAGGTCTCATGGTGACGTAATCTAATACCCTTCATCCGGCGTCGTGGGTCGTGCGTCCGTAAACAATTTAACTCTTTCGACTTCTTCTCAAAAACCCATGATCCATTTTGAAAGAAACTTTGCAGAAACTTCTCTGACCTAAAATGAACCAAAACCTGAGGGGCGGGTCAGAAGGAGTCAAATTAACTCAGATTTAAAAAAAAATTTTCTCAAGATCCAGACATGGTAGAATCAAATACTCTTCTTGAATGGAAACATCTTAAGGTGCTTTACCGAAATTGTTAATTTCATGGCCCCAGGGTCTCACATTTTCCCCCGGGGGGAAGGGGACAAGTTTACTATAGTTTATATAGGAAAACTATATTTTTGAGCTTAATTTATTTAATGAGCACACTCATTCATAGATCTAAATAAAGACATTTGTATACCAGATATCTCGTATCAAACATTTCATACATATCATATATTCCTAATTCCTGTTTTCAAATACACCGTGTGTTCATGTAAAACATATCAAACATTTCATGCACAACGCCATATATCTGTAATAGAAACATTCATAATTAAAGATTTAATATTTCATACACATCAGATCTGTTCACTGAAATATTCACCTCTATACACGATGTAAAGAAGTGTTTATACATGCATATAAATAGCTCTCACATTATCAATCAATTTATTATACACAAACAAATACTTAAATATGATGCATCAGATTTCAATCGATCCAAGATGTCAGTTAAGAACATTGAACATATAACTAGCCATAATAGTCACGTGTTGTGTTTATCTTTTTTAAAGAATGAGAATAGAGATAGACTGGTCATTACAAAGACAGACAAACACAAACAAATCACGTGCACACAGAGGCAAGAAATGTTAGATAGAGTAAGACGTACAGACAGACGAACATAAAGACATACAAGCACAAATACATTCACACAGGATCGAGTGTCGACAGATTAGAGAGAGACAGGCCTTTCAAAAGTATGAAATTAAATAAACAATTGCTTTATTGCAAACATTTGCTCTAAACCAACTATCAGAGTTTAAAGACCGTTAATAGCTAAGAATAGATATAGACAGAAATGACAGAAAACTAAACAATATAAGTCTAAATAAGTAAAAAAAAATTCTCCATTTTCTTCACTCTCTGTTGAAACTTTCAAAAGAAACATCACACTTAGCCGTTTTTATGTATTTTTATACATTGTGATGGTCTTATGATAAACTGATCAGATAATTTATGTTTTAAGTCTTATCAACAACACTACTCATTTAAACCTAGGTCAGATCCTTGTAAACGGCATTTTTAATGTAAATTTAGATAGCGTACTTGCACATGTAAGGTTATATTTATTGACGATCACGAAATTGTCCCATGTTTATTATGTCGTCCATTCCAATAAAAAAGGTAATTTCTTAATCACCATATCAAACAATGACGTGACATCGTTTACTTGAATTAAATTCAGTCGGAATTTTTATTAGACTTTATACCGACTCTTCTTTATCAGGGTGAAGTTTAGCCTACACAATTGATACATGCACATCGTGGACAGAAGGTATGATAACACGCTGATAATGAGTAGCAATAGTCACGTTGCTATATAACGTTTCTGACAACAGACTTTTGACATTTCAAAATGAACATGGTCACAATTTGGGACATTATTTCAAATTCTTGTTCTTTTTCAAGCAGACTTATATCTGGTTCCCATCAACGAACATATTTTTACATATTATATTTTCTAATCACATGCGTTCCTGTCAAAAGCTTTGCTTTTATCACGAAAAGCCATTCTCAAGTCAATTTAAGACTACTACCCTGAATACAGTAAGACCCTAAAATTCCGAAGTAGAAGAGAACTGATTTCAGAAGTGATATTGTATCTCGAAAAGTAAATAAACATATAATAAACGAGACCTTTTGAAATCAATATACAATAAGCATCTCGGATTTGTCTACAGCTGGACAGATCAACTCTTTCACCACTTATGGCCACGGATGTTCAGGTTTTCTTTTAACATAACCAACTGCCATCCGAACAAACAAACATGGTTTAAATGATATATAATTTATATAATTTGTTTTACAATTAATTATTTTACAAACAAACCCCTGTATTTTAACGGTGTTTTGTATGGTAAGAATTTGAACTAAGATTTATGTATCTGTGGAAATATATCTTACAATAATTTAACTATGAAAATGTAAAATACGATCAACATAGCACTAAACTTGTATATTTGTTGTGCCTTGTAACCTGAATCTGAACCTCATTTGATGTAGCTGAATGGCAATCACTGCCATTGTAAAATCTAGGACTTTTTCTAGCATTGCTTTGCTTGGCTTTTATTTTATATTGAAAACAGATATTGCCATTTAAGGTTGTACATGTAAGTGCTAGCTTCCTTTGTACTATTACGAAGCTGATGCCGACTTCATGGAGGTACCATAATAAAGTACAGGTATACAGTCGAAGGCGCCTCTCATACAGGACACCCTACCATGTAATATACTGTCAGTAGGAAAACCAGTAGTTACACTATCACAGTGCTGGTTTTTAATCAGGGACTGGAAACCAAAACTTTGAAAAAACATTCTGGCATGTCTCTGTCAGAGACAGAACTCAAAGCCTGTGCCAAAATTAAAGAAAACTAACTGTTTAGAATTTTGTCACCTTTTACCCTTATAAAATTAGGGACAGATAGTACAATTACAGGACAATATATAAAAATAAGGTGTTGCTACAAAGTGAAACAATATGATCAGTGTTCAAATGAGTTTCTGAAAAAAACAATGTAAATATCACAGAAAAATCAATTTATTTATGATATAAATGTGAGAACCAGAACGAATGATTTCACGCAGTATCAACATGCAGGTTGGTCAAAAACATTCATAGATGAATTCAGGAACATGTCATAATTCCAGAATGTTTGATGTCTTACCTAAATGTCTTTTAAATCTGCACCCTAGACGGAGATCAGGACATAAAAAACTTTGTAAACAAGACTGACGCTTAATATATAATGAAAAATAAAACATGGCTTGCCTGCGGGAACAAAATAAAAATTACTTTCCTCCCTGTCAATGGCAAGAATAACATTTTTCAGTTGGTTATTGCAGACTGGAATTTTGCATAATGTCTGACACTATGTACAGCACAACGTAAAATCAATTTCATTCATTATAATTTGTAGTAAATAAAGATGATAAACGGAAAATGTTTGGGGTGGAAATAGTGAAATATGGAATACTAAATATTTAAGTTATGAAAGCAGGTTTTCCCAAAAACAAATGTTTGTGTTTAGATATCAAACTGGCGGTTTGTGTGGTAGTGCAAACACTGTCCTTGTCAACACAGGTGTGTATGCTTTTGGTAACCTATTTCCTTATTCCACACAGAGGCTTAACACAGCGACTATATACGCTACGTCATGGAGTCACGAGACGCACTCATCTTCTTTGTCAACGGTAAAAAGGTAGGACATCCACGGGATTCACCTTGATCAAATGATACTATTGCAAAACAATCCTTGGTCATCTTTGTAGCCGTTTTGACAGCATGATAAAAAACCTCTTTTGACAAAACACAAATCAGTGAAATTTTTATCTTCAAGTAACAAAATATTAACACAGATGAATCATTCATCTCAAAGTGCTCAGTTGATGCATGACACATCTTCATGATCAAAGCTGTAAGTTTTTAACACCACGGCATTCCAAGGCCTTAGTTCCCGTAATATAGGTTATCCTAATTTCCATTTGTATGCGTTTTGTGTATTTATGTTTCTGACGCAATTCAAGAAATCTGTCCGATTTGCAACCACTTCTACCTAAAATTTTGTACCAGTATGTAGTATTTTCAGCTCCAGAAATCCAGTGTAACAGTTATTAAGCTATTTGAATACTTCGTAATTAGATATTTAGTAAGACATTGGTATGTTTGTTTTAAGTGATATCTCCCTTTGTTCCGGACCGATGTTAGATTTAACGGAACATATTAGTAATGGTATTATAATGTAAATGTCTTTATGTCCATGTAGCCTATATTTCCTACACTTGCGTTTTAGTTGGTTCCTCAATATAACGGGTTGTTGTATTTGTATTTATTATTTTGAATAAAGGGTTTAGTATTGGTATTAGGTGGACGTTTCTGGTACAATTCCGTTCACATGATAACTCGTAAATGCACGAGGAGCTTTCTGTAGCTGTATCAAGTGTCTGTAGTATGTAGTATCCATATATTAACTATGCATAATTCCTTTTGATTCAGGTTGAAGTGGGAAGCCCAAATCCGGAGACAACTTTGTTACAATATCTTCGCCAGACCTGTATCCTTACATCTGTACCGTTAAATCTCAATATAGTTATATGGTTCCATATTGCACAAAAACATATACCGGCTCTGGTAACATATTCCAGTTTGTATCAACAATCTTTATGGGTGATCGAATCTTTCGAAGTATGTTTCATAAAAATTGAAAATATGACCAATAAATCGTGGGTTAAACTTATTGTTTATTGTCATGGATGACATGGATTTGTTATTGGATGAAGTTTCTGTAAGTTGGTTTTCACCATCAATAAGACAACAGATCTAAGGCCCCAGACTGTGATGTGTATGTCCATTATAGATATATTTGAGATAATCACCGATTGTATAGTTGTATCACCGAATAACATTTTGGAGTGTATGAAATTAAAAGGCATCCTCCACATCGGAATGAAAACATGGCAAAAATAGGAATTAATCTTCTGAAAGATTGTACAAAAGACTCACAAGTGAATGTAATCATTTATTACAAATTTTAAAGTTAGATACAGTAGAGGCAAACAATGAAATCAACTGCATCAAACAGCTGTTTCGACATTCTAGGGAGTCGTCAGTCATATTAAGGCCTGAAGTAAAAGGCCAAGGAAGCGACTGGAGTAAATCCAAAATGATTGAAAAAATGTCAAAATCAAGGCGGGGAAGTGCACTAGCCCCATAATTTAATTATTTTCGTAATTTCTGCATATCGGATGATTTTAGAACAATGTTAGGTGCATATGTATATTCTGAACCCTGCCATGAATTTATATGTGGCATGCAGGCTACCCCAAACCTCAAGGACCATCAGTGTCCGCTACCCGCTATTGTACAAATATTGCACAACAGACACACGTGAATGGCAACTTTTAATACAAATTTAGAGTTTGATTCATTAGAGCCAAAAAATAATTAAACTGCATCATACAGTTGTTACGTCCTTCTAGGACTCGTCAGTGATGCTACATCATACCGTTGTTTCGTCCTTCTAGGACTCATCAGTGATGCTACATCATACCGTTGTTTTGTCCTTCTAGGACTCGTCAGTGATGCTACATCATACCGTTGTTTTGTCCTTCTAGGACTTGTCAGTGATGCTACATCATACAGCTGTTTCGTCCTTCTAGGACTCGTCAGTGATGCTACATCATACCGTTGTTTTGTCCTTCTAGGACTTGTCAGTGATGCTATCATAAGTTGTTACGACTCATCAGTTGCTACATCATATTCATTAGAGCCAAAAACATATATTAAATGCTACATCATTCTTGTTGTGCATCATACCAGTGATGCTACATCATATTGTTTTGTCCTTCTAGGACTCGTCAGTTATGCTAAGGGCTTTATTTTGAAACTTTTAATAGTACTAACGCTTAATTGTTATTATTAGTTTAGATATATCTGTATTAAGTTGTAAGACATAGATAATTCATTCTTGTTGTGTCATATCTATATGTATGATTGTCCTTATCGTCGTCACAGTATATCTTACAGGAACAAAATCAGCATGTGGTCAGGGTGCGTGCGGTGCATGCACCGTCATGATCTCCTCATATGACGTCACCAATAAATCGATAACGTAGGTAAAACAATCATTAATTTCAATAATTTCCATTATTATGGCCATTTCCAACTTTAAAAAGTCCAAAAACAAGCAGATTTTATCAGCCTTATTTGTATGGTGATTTTTTAGTTAGCGAATCGATCATATTGGTAATTTTGGTTAAGGACAGAGATGAAGGTAATCATTTGCGATTGTCTCAAAGTAGAGAATGTTAGAAATTGTTAAAAAATGTTAATCAACGATGACTCGATGTCGGAGGTTTGATTGCGGTGCTGTACTCCCGATTTATGTTATATTTTGTGGCAGCTGTCAGATCTAGTATCTTGTTGGATACCATGGGACAACATGGGAAGAACGATATTATTAGATTCATGTTGGGTACTGGATCTCTACTCCTGAGGCTGCATCGCTATAACAAGGGAGAAATTAGCGTATGCTGAGAATGTCAGTTGAACCTTTGACTGTCTCGAGACAAAGCTCGTTGGCGAAGGGAGTAAAGTTGCAGTTCACGGAAAAAGCTAGTGTTTCTAGCTGTGTCATCTTCTTGGCCACTCAATTGTAGCCCCTGTGCAAAGTAACAATGGCAGTGTCATAAATACAGAGTTTAATGACCAGTTCGTTTTTCTGTTTGATTATATGTGTATGCAACTTACCACTGCCACTTGAATTTTACCTACTGTATCTGTAGCTCATTGTTTGAACGATATAAATTGATAATTATAACATAATGCAAAGAGGGAAATGAAAGTCTACCAGCATGGTGTCATTTTTTTGCCTTCAGACATGTATCTGCAAACGCCTGTCTGGTGCCTTTGTGTTACCTTCACGGACGAGCAGTCACTACCGTGGAGGGCGTAGGCAGCTCCCAGACTGGACTGCATGGAGTACAGGTTAGTTTATACGCTTACTTTGCATTACGTAAGAAATAAAACAGAAGTTCGGTATAAAGAGCACTTGACTTGATCAACATGTCGAATTACTAGATACTCTCTGAAATTGGTATAGAGTTAAATGATATTATAAATGATTCCTATCATAACCATGGCAAGCTTGTTAGACTTATACATCAAAGTAAACAACAAACACAAAATCTGAATTGAAATATGGCCGTTTATTAAACGACGTATGTACATATACAACTAACAAAAATAGTACATATCTAAAACCTTTTTAGATAATCACTCAATTCAAGTTGTACATGTATAAAACTAAAGATTTAAGTCTAAGATGAGGGTATAAAAAACGCCCCACTATACAACCATCTTTTAAAATGTTGTAAATGTAGGGTTATAAAACCATCTTTTAAAGTATGGGACATCTCAAACAGTATGGGACATCCCAAACAGAAATTAAGTATCTGCTAGAACCCAAAAGCCAGCAGGCAAATAAACTCATAGTACAACGGATGATTGAAGGGGAGGTGGTGGGTAAAGAGATAAACTTTCAGCGTAGCTATTAAACAGCAAAACTAATAATTATGTAACATGTACAGACCTTGCTCATCCATCTTATCAGCAGCCTCTGACCTCTGAGTCCAGTGAACCTGTACTTATATAGTGAGCTAAAAATAGATACGAAACTGTGCTCCCTCAACCAATCACCTCCTCTCAATCTGTTTTATGTAATAATAATCATTTCCGTAACATTCTTATATAATTAATTTTAATTAAAAATAAAAATCTCTTGCGGAACATTCATAAATTACATTAAACAAAGTTTAATTTGTATTTATAAATGATTCCTATCATAACTATGGCAAGCTTGTTAGACTTATACATCAAAGTAAACAACAAACACAAAATCTGAATTGAAATATGGCCGTTTTATTAAACGACGTATGTACATATACAACTAACAAAAATAGTAAAATCTAAAACTTTTTAGATAATCACTCAATTCAAGTTGTAAATGTATAAAACTAAAGATTTAAGTCTAAGGTGGGGGTATGAAAAACGCCACAGAGATAAACTATCCATGGGTAATATAACCCAAGGATTTGTTTATCTCTCCCCATCCGCAGCCATGTAGAGTGCCAAATTAAGGATTATAACTGCATGAAAAGGAACATGCAAAGCGAAATACAAGCATAGCAGGTAAAACTGATATCATATATGGGTATAACAAGGAAAACGATTAAGACTAGAAACTCCCAACTTAATGCCCGAAGGCAGGAGTGTCACGCAATATAGGCATACACAGAACTTCAAGGCCAAAAGCCCACTGGTAAATGGAATGGCGTGTAAATGTACACGGCAGTATCATAACTAAGTAATGAATTAAATGTATGAAAATATATTTCACCAATGCAAATAACACAAAGCCAGTATCAAATCACTGTTGTGATATTATATAAACGATATCTGATAACTGGTTTGTAAGCATAACTACCATACATGGTTGAAACAAGATAAAATTCAAGAAAATATACACGACTTCCCGACCCAATGCCCGGAAGTAGTATCCTCAAACAATATATATACATAGAACGTTATGGCATATAGCACAAAAGTAATAGTTTGTAAAGCAACACAGCACAATATTGTCAGGAGTATGTATCCAAGTCTATGAGGAATTGTCCAGATGGTTACCTCCTTGACGTCATAATAGCTGATGAGACCCCACAATTGATATACATAATTCATGTGATAATCAAAAGGAAGAAAATTTTTTAGACCTATCGACCATAGGCCCATAGGCCCAATAAACACGACGACAAAAACAGCTTTAAAACAACATATTTGTACAATGTAATGTATAATGTCAATTATTGACCGGTAGACCCCATGACTAAAGGTCACACAGATGTTGCAGCAGGGTTACACTGACAGTATTTCTATAACATATCAAAAACAGTATTTCTATTACATATCAAAAATCGAAGGTAACCTTATATATCGTTTAAATGCCATAGACTGCCACCTTCCCATCTGCTGAATTTCATCATCTGGGATACCACGAGCTGCCGCAGAACTGGCAGCACCTATACGAAAGCTATGAGTCAAACGAAGATGCGAGAGTCCAGCCCAACATAGCGAATGTTTAAGGCAAGCACTAAAATAAGCATATGAAACAGCCTGCAGATTAGGAAAACAAAACAATGGTCCAGGATGCAGACCCCGTAACAGCAAATACTGCTGCATGGCAAAAACAGGACAACAATCACTAGGTTTTCGAGGGCAGACATGGCCAAAGTTATTGGTCTGATGTTATAGTGTGCTTTGAATGAATGGAACGTTAATTCCAAAGTACACAGGGCCCCTGACAAATTGGTGATAATCCTAATATCTTTAAACTGTAAGCAATTGCCAGCAGATCGGCTGTGTGTCATTTCACCTACACGCAAAAATGCATGAAAAGCTAACAGATACATGGCTTTCAGCAGATGGTATTGATAAGGTGATGAGGTGGTAAATTTTAAAGATGTCACAAGTTTCGCAAGGATCTCCGGCGTAATCGGCAGACGGCTGTCTACGTGCTAAGTACCACGCTGAATGGAATTTAATAATTTCTTCATCAGGAAGGATTGTGTGGGATCACGATAACCACAAATCTTATTTATGTAACCTATAGCTGCAACATATGTGGAAATAGTGGCGGATGCTAAGTGGTGGTCAAACAAATGTGCAATGAAAAATGCAAGTACAGGATATGAGGTTGGCAAGACTGGAGTACCCGAAAAAACTGAGGTAACAAAATGGCAAAGGAGAGAATATGCTCTCTCATAAACACGAGAAGTTTGCATTGATGTAGCTTTCACCAGCAACGAATGGATGGTACTAGTCAAACGTACATGAACTGGGGTGGAATGGAAGTTGGATGTGCCTCCATATGTGGGGCCAGTTGACGAAAGGAGTCCACCTGTAAACGAGACAGATGGTCACTTAAGGTATTGCACTTACCAGGTATATGTTGCGAAGTAAATAAAATATTCAGTTTTAATGCGGTCACTACAAAACGCCGAACTAGTCTCATGAGGTCTTTACTGGTTTGTTTGTTGATAATGTCTACCACAGCATGATTATCACAATGAAAGATGATACAGCGGTTCAAGAGGACTACAGCAAAAAATTCTTTAACAGTTATGTGGAAAGATTCCCATTCAGATGGCCATTTCCCATACATCCAGGCTGTTTGAAAAAATCCGCCAAAACCCACATTACTCGCATCAGTGTAAAACTGTAAATGTGCTGATGTTTCCCACTTATCAGATAAAAACATGGATGTGCCGTTAAAATAGTCCAAAAATAGTCCCCAAGCGGCTAAATCAGCCCGAGCCTCTTTGTTCAGCCTCCTGTGATGATGTGGTTTTGTTAAGCCACAAGTTAGATCAATCAATCGACGCAAAAAGGGCGACCTGGCAAAACAACCCTACAAGCAAAGTTAAGCAAGCCTATCATTTAGATAATGTCGATCTGACTTTATCCGCAGTCTTTCTATGATACATCCATGATTATCTTTGAATTCAAATAATATATAATGACCTTTCGCAAATTATACAAATCAATGAAAGAAAAATTATTCTTTTCAATCACAGAAAGGTATGATTGAGTCACAGGGTTTCCAGTGTGGATTCTGTACCCCCGGAATGGTAATGACGATGTACACGCTGTTAAGGAACAACCCTACTGCAGCAAAGGAACAGATGGAGAGAGTTCTTGAAGGTACCGAGCACCTCATATTGGATATATTCTGACATCCTACTCTAAGAGACATTTTTGATTGAAAAAGGGCTATATATATTTATATTATCGTCAAATGACAGTCAACTGGATAACAAAAAAACCAAAAAAAAAACAAAAAAAAAACAAAAAAAACACCAGCTTTGATAAATATGGTATAAAAAATGTCATACTTAGTTGTTGTCTTTGGTGATCACTATTTGTCACATTCCAAACTCTGCTTGCCCAAAATTCCAGGAGTTTGGTGTGAGGATTTAAGTATTGAGTGACGTTTATATTTGTTTGCCATAGGAAACTTATGTCGATGTACCGGCTACCGCCCTATAGTTGATGCATTCGTGGAGGCCAAAAAGGTAAGTATGCATAATTCTTTGTAATTTCTGCGCGTGTAAATGTTTTAATGCCATATGACTACCAAGGTCCGATATCTGACTGAAATTTATTTCGTTATATTTAATCGAATATTTGCCTCCTTGAATCACCTATATGAATTTAAAACACATCAACGTTTCTTTTTCGATAGACTCTTTACCATCACATATCCAATAAACCAAGAGTCTATTTAGAAAACTAGTTTCTCCTTTGTCCCTAAAAAGAAAGTCCGCAAGAAAATCAATATTTTAAATAATTCAAGATCATAACTTAAAATGCCTCTAACTAATTAGTGTATAGATTGTACAAAAGATATAGAAATCAATAGCGCCTTGCAATCCAAAATTATATACAGCTGTGCTAGATTATGAACTAAACTGCATCAACAGCTGTTTCTACGACTCATCATTGATCTGAATTAGTGGGTGCACTAGTGTATATATAGATTTTTCCAGGCCTTTACATATAATGCCGATTGTATATAAGTCCTGTTTGCATCATTAGCAACATGGTCAACTAACTGATAAGAATTTTGGTTTCAGAACTGTCCATGTGGACTAGGCCTGTGTCAACAAACAACAGAGACGCCAGTAAGCACTGTGGAATCTACTTACCAGAAAGATTCTTCTTCTCAAGATGTCATATTTCCACCGGAATTACAGGTAAAAACATAGATGTTTGGGGTGTGATGGTTGCTCAATCATTGCAAAACTGTAACAAGTAAAAATATTAAAATACTGTGTTTAAAACTAAAAAACATATCTATACAACAATTAGTTTTAATGAAAACTCGCCACATTAACTGTTGTCTAGACGCAACTGCAATATACTATAATATACAAGGTAGGCCTTTATGCCAATTAGTGCTATCACCTCATTGCAGCTCACAGAATCTTACCACACAAAGAATGTTGTCTTCAGTGGAGACCGCTATACCTGGTACCGCCCCACATCCCTGTCTGAAATACTGCGACTGAAGGCAGAACATCCAGACGCACCTGTGGTCATGGGCTGTAATAGTATAGGTAATATCATACGTATAAGTACCATATGATCACCATGAACTTATGACATCTTCAAAAATGAACTTCTTTTTGTATGCTGTAACAAATTCATGACAAAAGATATTCGTAGCAGAAAAGCATAATGATATTGTTACTCCAGATTTGTATTTTTAGATAATAAACACCACAGTTAAAGGTGTATGTCCCTAACACTATGTTGTTCTTTGTTTTACCGCTTGTATCAAGCTATGTTATTTATGAAATGTATTTCCCGATAAAGGACAGATATATTCAAATTTTAAGTGCGTGCGTGTGGCTTTTCTCGATCATTGCAGATGGATCAACAAATATGCATTCTGTTTGTCACGTGCCTGCTTCATACTAGAATTTAAAATAAGGTCGTTTTCGTAAACATTTTTTATTGTATGAGTATCTTTAACAATTACATTAGTCCCAAGTCTCAAACACACATAGTATACTTAAAAGCTTGTATTGTTACATGTTGCAGTATTTTTATCTTTTCATGTTCCTGTTTTTTATGGAACTTTATTATTCTTATCATCAAACTATGTGACGTCTTCCAGAACCCTCATATTTGCTGTAGGAGTGTTAAAGTGCGTAAAAAACATGTATATTGTATATTGTTCTGATGACAGGGTATCTGCTGCGGAAGGGAAAACTGACCTCTGATGTGATTATTTGTGGAACCAATGTTCGGGAGTTAGTTGTTGTTGAGACGACTACGTCTGGGATTCGAGTCGGAGCTGGGGTTACAATGGCTTCATTAGAGCACTCTCTGAATGAATTATTGGGCAAAACCAAAGGTGAATTATCTTGCTCGAGAACGATCGAAAAAAAAATTGTAAAATGTACCAGTAACTACCATTGGGATTACCAAAATGCCTGGGCCGGAACAAATGTACACTCGCTATATTTGCCTGTAAGAAATACTATTAAGATGTTGATATTTTGAAACATGTCGCAACTATAAATGTTCTTTATGTCTTATACTACGGTTATACTACGCCGTAAGGAATCTTTATATCAATTTGTGGGACAATGACAAAGTCCATGATTATATATGTGAACATGTTAGCTTAAAATGACATTGAATCCTACTTATTCAGTTCATGTTTTGACATAGATCCTGCAAACAGATGTATGAAAGCAGCCCTGGACGTTCTACGCTGGATAGGTGTGGACCAGATTCGGAACACGGCGGTAAGAAGTCCTCTGTAAACATGTACATTATTCATAACCATATATACTTATTTTGATATTCAAGAATAACTATTTTCGTAGATTCTGCTGTTATTTATGTATTTATTTATTTCTCTTTTCATTTTTTACGTCGGAAGTTTCCAAAGCATGTTTACAAATAAAAAGTATCGATGAACAAGAATTCAGAACCTCTTTTGTTTCCAGTATGAAAATATTAAACTGCCTTGTTTTATCATCGTTGGTCAAGAAATAATCATCGCTCATAATATTCACATTCTCACATATTTACTTACTACCTGGGTTCAAAAATCCAGGTTCGGATGGATTTTAGAGTAAAAAGAAAACGTTAATTTTGTCATGGAGTAAGTTTTAAGGAAATGATTATTTTCATATGAAAATTCCGTTATTCTTTGTGTGAGGGATTTCACTTACTGTCGGGTCGTTTGATTATGAACAATGTATATTATTATATTATTATGTTATTGTTAAAAATTAGTATAATTATCTTTGGACGATATAGTTTTGATAAAGACCTAAATTCATAGCCATTGCTAGTTTGAAGACAAATATATTTCTTCCTTTCAGACTATTGGGGGTCACGTGATGAGTCATGCGCCCAATCTGGATCTGCAGGCGTTCCTATTGGCTGCCGGAGCAGAGCTAAACTTCGTATCAGAAGGTTCCGAATTTTTTTACAACAACACTATCGATTAAAGCAATCTGTTTATTTTGAATATATCGGTTTACATCGTGCTTGGCGCTTGGAATACCTACATAATAAATTCAGAGACTGGATTCTTTTCGTCTTTCAATATTGTACTTGGATACGGCTACTGTATTTGTATAGTCAAAAATGTATATATAACTAATATTTTGCATTGTAGGAAAAGAAGTGCGTCTATGTAAGATGGATGGAGACTTCATCAGTAATGGATATGGTCACATTGGTGGAAGCGAAATCCTTGTCTCCATCTCTATACCATATACAAGCGATGTATGCAGTTTTCTCAAATCTTGTATTTATGTGATTCGTTTTTGATCTTTTATATCACTTTGTAATATAAGAAACAAACTCTCGTATCATAATGCGTTTACCTGACCATGGTTGATATCATGTGCCTCTAATGAAGCTCGCTTCAATATTTAGTGGGAAAGCACATTTATGCGTTATAGTACTTTCATTCCGCACCGACCATTTCACGCAAGAACAACCAAGGTGAATATGCCAACAGGATTTGATCAAAGCAATAATATCAAATAGCCTCATTTTCTGCATGATTTTTATTTTCAGAACGAGTTTATAGTTGGCATGAAGCAGCCTCACCGTCGCGGGTTCGACTATGGTATAGTTACATGCGGACTGTTTGTAGAACTGGACACTTCTCGAGAAGCTGTTCGGGGGATGCGACTAGCTTTCGGTGGCGTTGACAAGAAACCTGTTTTGGCACTATCAGCTGCTAAAAGTTCTATTGGAAAGTATGTTTGATCAAATTCAATATAGTACTAAAATTCGATGTTCGTGATCACCCTAACTCGGTACATAGGTTTGTATTAAACAAAGTATGATATTTTCCCTCTTTCTAATGCTGGTATAATTCAACTCGACAAATATATTTAATAAGGTCAATTATTTAATGTTTCTCACGACTGATTTCACACTGCATTCCGGAGAATAATGTCCAAAAATAGTCATATATGCATATTTGATTATTATAGTACCCATGTCATTCAGTCAGATTCCATCTTGCTGATGATTGCCGCACTTTGTTGTAATACATAATGTAAAAAAGAATTGTAAAACCGATGTACAAGAACTAGCTTTTAAAATCTAACAAAGATACATGACGATGATGGATGACGACGTAGGAAATTCCATTAAAGCTCGCTTAAGGTTTCTGATTTAATCTTATCTTTAGTATCGTTAATTTTATGTTGCTCTGAACATTCAATGTACGTCTTGTGTTTTATTAAACATACAGAACGTGGTCTGAAGATTTAGTCGCAGCGGTGTGTGGTGACCTGATAACGGAGCTTAACAACAGTCATTACGATAATTCCAAATTCAGGCTTACTCTCGCCTGCAGCTTTTTCTACAAGTTTTTCCTGTTTGTACAAGACCAGTTGAAGGTATGTAGAATTTCGTTGTATCCTTTCTATGCTTCATTCACACACCCTTAATTACTAAGGTTATTAACCGCGGCAAAGCAATACAAGTGTTTCCTGTTTGTTCAAGACCAATGGAAGGTATGAAGAATTTCGTTGTGTCCTATTCTATGTTTCATTCACACACCCTTGATTACTAAGGGTATTGAACGCGGCAAAACAATACTTTTGGAAGAATATCAAATGTAAGACAAGCAAACAAAACTGAAATACCGTTCGTATTAACGCATAACTCGGATCATCTTAATACGGTTGAAGTTGCAAAGTATTCTATAAATACATTGCATAAAAGCGGGAAAATGTGCCATCGCATTAAGCCATCGGACATTCTGCAAAGTAAAGAGCATCCCAACAACTTGAAGAGAATGTTTACCCGAGCTAAATGGGATGTCGGCGACCAACGCAACTATGTGGTTTCGAAGTGCAAAGATACCAGATGCGGGATATGTCGATACATAAAAGAGGTCCATTCGTTAATAGTGAAAACGGAAAAGTTATAAAACCTATCACTGACTTAAAATGTAAAAGCAGGAAGCTTTTTACTGCATTACCTGTCCGACTATATTGGACATCCGCGAAATGTCCTGTTCGATATTCCAGCAGATTCTCTCCCCAGAAACACAAAATATCCCGTTGGTATTTATTATCTGATTGCAAAATTACCAAATTTTGTCAGTTAATAACCTAAATGGAACACGAACAAGAATTAAATTACTTGTTTATTTATCAAATGGAATTTCATCTATGATATACTTGACTCTGTTTGCTTATATGTGTTAATTCATCTTAGTAATCAGAATTATCTGTTTGAATACTTTGTAATCATTACTTCACACCAGCATTTAACGTTTTTTCATATCGGATTTATATATATGCATATCGATATTCTGATTTCGAAGTCTCCTCCATTTTATTTTTCTGTAACTATTGAGGCTCCGATCTGTTCTGTAGTACATTTTTAGATAATCATTTGATAAATAATCATTCTTTTAGAATGTGAATTCGTCCAGCCAGTATAGTGTGACAGGGCTACCCTTAACAACTGTTTCCGGTACACAAGTTTACGACGTCCCAAGCGATGACGGTAACAGGATTGTATGGAAACCTGTGCCTAACGTCTCCTCCGAATACGTCACATCTGGAGAGGCACAGTTTGTGGACGACATACCTTCATTTCAAAGTACTTAACGCTTCCAACCGCTGCACGTGTATAATCTTGATTTATTTGTATAATCAATGAGATATAGAAACACTTAATATAATATAAAGTATAAAACTGCACATTTAGGATGAAATATCAATGAAGACGTATCATGAAAATTACGACTACAGTAGTTTCCTGTCATTAAGTGCGTTTGACAGGGCCTCTTTGAAATTTTAAATAACCTCTTTTTCTAAGGTTAAGTTTTAACTTGTGTCACAGGTGAACTCTGTGCTGTTCCTGTTACCAGTAAGCATGCACATGCTCGGATCATATCTGTTGACCCGACGCATGCGCTTGAACTCCCTGGGGTGGTGGACTATATCAATAGCTCTGACGTACCTGGTAGCAACAGATTCGGGGAAATAGTGCCAGACGGCACACTGTTTGCCGAAGATGAAGTAAGGAAACCGTATGAATTCATTACTAGATACGAATGAAAATTATTGCACTTTGATAAATGTAATATATTCAGGCGATAAAATTACTGGTAAGATGGTGCAGTAAAGAGGGAAGACATCTCTTATGTGGAAGTTTATGATGAAACTTGTTACTATTGTGACAATGAAATTTGATATTAGACTGATTCAGAGTGAATCTGTAATTCTGTTTGATGTTCGAAGTTATATTTTTTTCTCCCCTAATATTGAACACATGTACTTGAATGGACGTCTTCGGAAATGTCGATCATGATTCATTAATTCTGATTGTTGATTTTCCCAGGTGTTCTGTTGCGGCCAGGTGATCGGTGCAGTCTTAGCCGAGAGCCGAGCTGTGGGTGAGAAGGCGGCAGAACTGGTTATCGTCACGTACGAAAAGATGGATACTACCTTTACCATTGAGGTATCTAATAATGTTTGTAAATGATTTTATGCTTGAATATGACCCACTAGATACGTGGTAAGTTATTCTGCCCTGTCTCCAAATACTAACTGGTCAAATGCATACTCTTTCATTAAACCATACTATTGATGATGTTATTGTCACAATAATATTTCGGCCTTATTTCAACTTATGTTGCAAAACTTTCAATTATATCTTTTTGGAAGATATGTTCGGAAGTTGTCGACAATGAAAAGCGAGATTTTGATTATAAAGGAATAATTATGTTCTATGGAAGGACTTTCTGCTCAGGTTTAAAGATATTTTTTGGCTGATCATTCATTCCCCCAATCGTAGCTACCTGTAATTTATTTGTTTTAAGGATTGTGCAAAAGGCACATAACTAAATTACACGCTTTTAAAACAAATCTACTGCCGTTTGGCTGTCTGAACTGAGGGTATTCACACACAGTGATTTTGATAAGGTGCTTCAAATTAAATCGCTATACTTTTTTCTGTAATGATATAAGATAGTGTCCTCTTTTCGGTAATAAACATGAATTGCTTGTTATTCGATCCAACCTGCATTTCCTTTGACTCTTGACTGCTAATGAGAAGTTAAATATCATGGGGCATGTAAAACGCTAAATTACATATATGTTACTAAAATCTCTTTATTGTATTATTTTTTGTTCCTTTTATAACTTATCTTCTTAATGTATTCTACGTAATAACTATTGTTCAATATATTCTATTCTGTGTTTGCTAGTCTCATCATTATTGTTTTGTATTATCGGTCCAATCCAAACATTCTGAAGTATGACATGACATACAATAACAATTGTTTAGATAACAAGAAAAAGGAATATGGATAATACTAACTAAAAGTTTGACATTTAATATGAATATAAGCGTATCAACATAGCGGAATTTCCAACGTATGGCAAGACAAGTATTGCAGTATATGAACACCATCGTGGATAAAATTCATTTCACCACTTTGACATGTTTTCAGTGTCAGTAGGTGATTTTATCCACATGCGCGATTTGAATTTTTAAATGAAATCTGTGATAGCTTTTTCTGACTTTTGATATCTGTTTCCAAATGATAGTAGCATTAACCAGCAACTGTCATAAAGGGTTTTGCCAACAGTACAATATCCGTGATTCAAACACTCGATACGTGAGGTCCATATTTGGTTTACGTGGTTATTGTAGGAGGCAATTGAGAAGAATGAAATGTTTGATGGAGTACATAAGATTGATGTCGGTGATCTAGAGAGTATCCGAGGGACAGCCAGTCAATGTGTAGAGGGCACATGTTCTACAGGTGTACAGGAACACATGTACTTAGAAACTCAGTCCGCGCTTGCAGTACCAAAGCTGGAGCAACACGAACTGGAAGTATTTACATCCACACAGATTTTAACATCAACACAGGTCTGTGGAAATATCGTCAATTATATCTTTGATCCTCAAAAATACTTCCATCACTTGTTTACTTTTTCATGGTCCATTTTTTGTTAAATGAAAAAGTCGTCATCGATTGTTTTCTGTTATTAATATTTTAACAGTTATGTGGATAATACATGTTGGCGGAGTATATAGCATCTCACTGTTTAAGATCAGGAAATTAATGAAATTTCATTTACAAAACAGCACATCCTATCTCAATTCCTGAAAATACCTCGGAACAGATTAACGGTGAAGATAAAACGAGTCGGTAAGTTGACAATATACTGTTATATGTATATAAATATATTAAATGCATGACACAAGCTTAATCAATAACACTAATCAATCGCGAAACCAATTGGATAGGATGTACGAAATTGGCTTTCTATATTATTTATAGATTGAACATCCAAGAGTGTTGAATGACAACATTATAACATAAGAAGTACTGCCAGCGATGTTTTCTAGATTCATTTTAAGTCAATAAATATAGTATCGATTTTTGGATAGCAACATCGCTGCTTTCCCATCGTATGGTATTGAAATATCGAAGTTGATTCAATATTCACGAGTCCGTTCCAATTATCACGATTTTCGTGCAAGATGTCGTCAACTGATGGGCAATCTCTTAACGCAGTGTTTCAAAAGAAATTGATAAAAATTATGTTTTACGGTCGTCATAGTGACCTTATTGAGAATATACGATGTTTGATGCTCGTTATTTTGTCTGTTGGTTCTGCTGTTGTATATCATGCTCTCATTTGAGAATGTGACATGTAAATCTCTCCTGTTTTGCCGTAGTTTTATTGAATTTGAGTTTGGATTATGATTAAGTTGACATGTTGGTATGTTCTTGATTAATTTTGTGGACGTTAATTGTAACTGATTTAATATGGTTATGTAGGTGGAGGATTTGGTGGAAAACAGGGGGACGCTGTAGCTGTAGCCGGAATAGCAGCTGTCGGGGCATGGAAGTAGGTCTCTTAGGTCAATGAAATAACTTCAAATGGTTTGTCATTGTCAGATGAACTTCATTTCCCATTTCGATTCTAAGTACGTTGTGTTTTGTTTGAAGATTCTTTTAACAGGAACTTTGTTTAGTGCCATATATTTCATGCTGTTCAAAGCTTAAGTTGCAAAAACTGGAAATTTATGTTGTAATTGCAAACATTTTAGATATGTTTTCTATGAGTATATAATGTTATGTACATTGCCGAGATTTGTATTGCAGCACCGGCCATAATTTGTAAAGCTATATTCGTTATATCTTTAATGCGTGAGGACTTGCCAATTTATTTGTTTTAATTTGATAGATGTTACACATGCAAAATTCATTTTTCCTCTTGCATTATCACCGAAGTATATTTAGTTTGCCCTCACCCAACGACACTGAATGATCGGCACTAGCTAATTGGCATTGTAATATCAATGAACCTAAATTTGACATATTTCTGAGTATAAACAATAGAAATGTTTTCATGTGTTTTCAATGTTTAATATTTCAATTTTTACCCAAATCAGACTCAATAAAACTACTAAATGTGATCTGTTTCATTTACCAATGAATTTGACCAGATTAACGTTGCCAGTGCGTATGAATACAAATATTCGGTAAGGGGAGAAAACTCCTCAACTTCTACTAGACTGGCAATAGACCACAAGTATGGGATTTAAAAACATCAAAATAAAAACTTAACATTTAATAACTGTAGCTGTACGTTTCAAAAGATGTGAAGCGATTGAAGCCTGATATTTCTTGCTCTCAGCTTCGGTGCCTGTAAAAAAATGGCCGCTACCGCTTCGTTTACGAACAGGCGCACCAGTTCTAGACGATGATCCTCCGCGGGGAAAAATGCATACTGTCTTTGTTGCACACTTTTGTTTAAATTTTCATTAAGTTGTCGAAAAATATATTAAATTTTGTTCTTATTAAAGTTTCAATGGATATTAAGTGACAACGCTGAAATATATTTCAACCTGTCACAATAGTCTTCAAACGACGGATTATTTGCTTGTATGACGTCAGACGATATGATGACAAGAAACGAAAGTAGAGGATAAATTGCGTCAGTTCCCATGCTATAGAAAAAAGAAGCATGAATTGAAATATAAGGATTGAATCTTGCTTCGCAGTTCATTAAATTTGTCTCAAGACCAACTCAATTCATCATCCCATGAAATCGACATAAGCCAGATTCATTCCTGAAATGAATAAACTGTCTGTTTCTAGGACGAAACGACCAGTGCGATGCGTATGGGATAGGACAACAGATGTAAGGATCACCGGGAAGAGACACCCTTCGAAATCGGTGTACAAGGTAATTTAGACAAATAATTGGAAAGACACAACCTTCTAAAATCAGTGGTGTAGTCTGATAATTAGGAAGAGACCTTTCAATTAAGTATACGAGAAAAACAGAAAAAAAGTGAACAGACATCTTTCAAAATAATACACCAGGACACAAATCTCCTTACACTTAAATTTGTGAAGAAACATCCTTCGAAAACTTTTTACAATATAAACCAAGACATCTGATAATATACTTTGATGATTCACCAAAAAGTGGTAAAGTTTTCTTTTGCATTGTGCAGGGATAACCATTCCAAAGTAATTTATATATCCTCTTGTTTCACTGTTCTAACAGGTATACTTTAATGACGACGGCAAAATTCTGGGGTTGGACTTGAAGTTTTACATCAACGCAGGATACACTCAGGACTGCAGTCCTTATGTAACTAATCATAGATTACAACAAACTGTTTCATTCTTATTATACTAAAGCCATTTTTTTTATAAATGTTTGTGACGCTGTCATCTACGATTATAAGGATGTTTTTAAGATTTTTGAAATTCTGTTATATCATAAATGAGTAACAGAAGATTTAAATTTCTTAAATTTGAAATTTTTAAAATTATATTTACGTGCTTTTGTTCTCAGCATTTCCATGGATTAATTTTGCAGGTAGTAAAAATTGGCATGTGGTTCCTAAATGGCTGTTACAACATACAAAACATAAAGAGTGAAGGATACATGTGTAAAACAAATCTACCTTCAAATACGGCCTTCCGAGGCTTTGGAGCGCCACAGATGATGTTTGCTATAGAGTCTGTATTGCAGCATGTCGCTACACAACTCAAAATGGCACCTGAACAGGTAGCATATCATATGAAGATTGGGGCTGAGTATCTGACATGTTACTCAATATATTATCTGAACTTGTTACCAAAAACCAACACTGACTTTGTAACACGAAATAAATGCGTATTGTCCTAAACTTTTAACAAACAGGCATTATCGCAGCACAGATATTAAAATTAACCTCCAAACTGTCACCAGAATGTTTACATCGAATACATCACCAAAATATCAAATCTAAGTAAGACTTTTGATTATACTGATTTTTTTTTAATTTTCCGTAGGTGCGACAGATCAATATGGTGAAGCAGGGTGATATAACTGCCTCCCGACAGATCATGCCAGACAACAACATGCTCCGTTGTTGGACAGAGTGTCGGACTGACAGCCGGTATGACCAAAGACGACAGGAGATAGTAACATTTAACAGGTAAGAGTAACAAGGGAATAACAATGATATGTTTCTGACAGGAAGTCGGGTATTGCTTGCTTTATTGATGTAGTGTTGAATTGTAAAGGTTAAACTAGATTTGGTTTACAAATATGGCACCAAACTTAGCACTAATGCGTTTGCTTAGTGTTATGTGTATATATAGTTATCATCAACGTATAAACAAACTTAAAATCATATGTATTATTGCACCACAAGCCTTAACAGCTATAAATTCAGTTACACATATCTACCCTTTAATTTCAGTACTAACCGATGGAGAAAGCGAGGTATCGCTTTAATACCAATCATGTTCGGTATTGGATACGCCCCCCTTGTCGCAAACCAGGTGAGCCATCAACTTGTATACATTATGGTTACGATATGGTTCTGTCGCTGATGAGATGAAATTCATTGAATAAACACATGTCTCTTCCATTGTAAAACATGATTGATAAAGAGCTTTGTACGAGAAAAATTCTAATTTCGACTTCTTTAGGCACATACGTTGATACAGCTTGCATGTAAGAAGGCACCATCCCAATTATTGCAACTGATAGACTTAATTTTTAGATATTAATATTTTAAACTGACTTGATTTTTTCACAATTTTCCTTGTAATGGAGTGCGTTGAGATCAACATTGAAATCTCAAAGCTAGGAAGGAAAAACACATTAAAGATGTTTCAAATCGTATCCTATATTAAATACTGGCAATTCGTGTATGTTTTTTCCATCCAATTAAGTTTTTTCAGCTGAATGATATTTGGTATGTTTTCCAAAAAACAGTGCATTTTTTCTAACAAATACTGTACGTATTGAGAAATGAAGGGAAAAAGTCATAACTATCTCATGTTTCAGGCGGGAGCATTAGTATTGGTATACCTTGACGGGTCCGTCTTATTGACCCATGGTGGCGTGGAAATGGGTCAGGGTATTCACACCAAGATGATTCAGGTATATACTTTATCTATATCCCATCACATTATTGATACAGTGGAATTTCTCCAAACCGACCAAGCATGGGACATGAATGTATGGCCGTTTTAGGGAGGGTTCGGTTTGTAGAAGAGAAGCAAGTTGACCGGTACGGACTCGCAAATAATTGAACCGATACCATTTTGTACATTACCAATTCCGTTCGCTTTCAGCATTTCCGATGCACACGTTCAATTGAAACAGCAGAAAAAAACATAAAATATTTCGGAAAAGTGAAAAAATAGTGATACATGTATGCTTTATATGGCTGTAGTCGAACTTATGAATCTGCGCATTGCCCGGCGATCTCGGAAGTTCATACTGCCCGATGTAGACCCGGTCGGCTTCTCGGCTTGTCCGAATGTGTTACCAGCCATTTGATAAATATGTGTTTGTGTAGATCAGTATAATAACTTACAGTTGTTGGATCGCACAACGTTACACGATGTGCAGTGTCTGCATGATATGCGCACGATATATGCAAGATGTGCGTACAATAGGAAAATTGGACGAAATAAGATGTGATGATGTGCGCACGTTGTGTGGTTCTATTGCACAAATGTGCGCTTCTATCGTGGTTGATATACATATAAAAATGATTTATGAATAAGTGTGGGATAGGATTTATTTATTTTCTAAATTTGTTAGTATACATCAAAGTATATTTGCTAATTAAGCCATTAAGGTATAGGTTGGACACTTGCTGATAAATCAGATACACACTGAATAGTTAGATACGCTCGTAATTTTAAGTGCTTTGTTTACAAGGAGCCACACGTGACCTGTCTTAATGTATAAACACACATTATATATATGATATGGATACAGGTAAATTGTGTTGCTCGATGCACCACTACTATACACGATAAGATTAATAAATGCAGGTCCAGTGTTATTTTTCGAAAACTGCCGAATTAAAAACGACTTTCATAATCACCGATCAATTTCATTGTCCATGCGATCGCTTTTAAGTAATAACTTCACGAATTTCCGTTTAATTTTCAGTTCGTTATAACATCCAACCGTTTTTACCACACCACACAACTGTACGATCCTTTCGCACAATTGTGCGCACGATACTGTATCGTACATATGCCCGCACGATGTATGCACGATGTGCGCACGTGTTTGATGCATTGTGCGTTACCACAACTGTATCTTCTAAAATAACACTTGATTAATATTTCCGTTAAGTGTGCGTTGAAATAATTTTATTTAATCAACCACTATTTAGATGCGGAATTACAGCTTTCCTAATATACACCAGTAATTATTTTCACGTTCTCGCTTTTGTTGAACTGTGGCATTCGTTCGATATGGCTTCAATTGTCACTGCAGGTATCATCACATTATGTTTATCATAATCCTTCTGATCAAGGAAGGTATTGTGTACAAAGCCTACCCATGACAAGCGTATGCGCAGAATGCAAAGCTTATGCAACTTGTCACACGGGTATTGATTTCACGGTCTGCAGGTCTGAATTCAAGTCTTGATCGTTATGGAAAGGCTGATTATCAGAAGTGTTTTTCAGTACATTAAATCATTTCGGTCACAAAATCGGTTCAGTGATAGGAATTGGAAGGAATCGGTATTGGAATTGTTTTATCACTATAATAAAGATGACGTCATTCCGTACATTGCCATTTCGCTCGGTTTCGAGAGGTGATTGGTTTTGAAAAGGATCGGTTTGGGAAAGTTGCACTGTATAATTTGGCTGTTGTTTGAGTTCAGTAGATATTTCGTCAACATTTGTGTGTTAATGTATCATTTTCTAATTTAGGTCGCCTCTACTGAGCTGGACATACCACTGGAAAAGATTATCATCAGTGAAGTCAGCACATCAACTGTCCCAAACACAACGGAGTCCGGGGGTTCACAGGTGGCCGACCTTAACGCCGGGGCAGTCAGGGTAAATCAAGCGTTTACTGATCCCATCTAAGAGACACTGCCTTAAATATCATAAAGCATATACATACTAAACAAATTCAATACTTTTTCTCAACGGGTATCATTTCCGGTACCAAAGATCGCACTGAGACTAGGAAACTCGCAATTAAAGATGCCTTGACCATCGAAATTTGCCAATATACTTCCATGATAGATTTGTCTGTTTAGTCATCATTGGTGTATCAAGTAATGTAAGATGCATACTTTCTGTTTAGAACGCTTGTATCAAAATCCGAGACCGCCTTGAACCGTTCAGGAAAGCCAAACCTGAAGACACATGGGAAAATTGGGTGAGTCTTTGTGACATTATGTACAACTGGTGGTCGTTGAAGTAAAATATTTTCCTTCAGGTATTAATTTGTGACTTCTGGAATTGAAAACTGGCCAAACGTCAAACTGTTTTTAATTGACGATGATGTCGTTTTGAAACCTGCCATATTTTTATATGATTTACCTCTATTTCCCTGTCTGCGTTAGACATACCCATATGTGTTGTTACTCCTGTAGAGAGAATCATTCTCAAATAGATAGGCTTTTTTTTTTAAATTATCAACCAATTGTCTTCACTTAAGCGAAATGAAGCTTGATTTTTAATTTTGCTATACTGTATCGTATCATAAAGAATTAATGCCAGTTTCCGCCTTCTGGTGGCTATCACCGATCAGTCTTATTTTCGTGTATGTTTACCTTGAAGTTTGGTTGTCTTGATATAACATGAAATTAAGGTCAGGTTCAGGTTGGTGTTAAATGGGGAGTCGAATTCATAATTGGTCTCAGTTTAACAAAACTATATGATATTTTTTTAACCATTCTTCAAAATGTTGATGTATAATGCAATTTCAAATTTGTACAATCGATATATAGAATTAGTCCATAGTTGGACATAAGTCATGGTGATCCACGATAAAAATAAAACTTATCGAAGATAGCCACCAGAAGACCCAAACTGGCATTCATTCTTTGTATTGTAATTCAAATTATGTTGTCTTTTGTACAATATATCAAATGTTGTTTCAGGTAAATGCAGCTTATCAAGAGCGTGTTAGTCTCGCAGCTACAGGTATTTTCAAGTAAGTCATACGTTTACAAATGAAAACTGATTTTCTCCGTTTTTGTTTTGATTATGTTTTATACATTATATGATTTTTGCAACAGATGGGCAGTTTGCTTGCTTTGCTTGACATTATCTGTTTTTTTTCTTTCTGATACTTGTTGAATCGGTATTTGTATCTGATGTTTGAATGTGTTCATATATAGGTCCAGAGAAGAAGGTTATGATTTTGATACCAACACTGGAGTACACGCTAACTACTATACTTACGGTACAGCCTGTACTGAGGTCGAGATTGACTGTCTCACTGGCGAGCACCAGGTAGATATCAACTACCCTTCAGTTTCTTGTTTTAGAAAACCTGTCTGCCTTTTTTGTATACAATTTAAGTTAAAATCCTATAACTTAATAAATACAAAAATAAGGTGTTCTCTGTATTTCTCACTGTACTAGGTGCGACGTGTAGACATTGTAATGGACGTCGGAAAGAGTCTAAATCCTGCCATAGATGTAGGGCAGATCGAGGGAGGATTTGTCATGGTAAATCGCACTTATATATCTGACATAATGCCTTATTAGCAAGTTGACTTTTTCCTATTAATGTAAGTTTCGATGCATATTTAGTTCTATAAAGTGTTATTTCTATAAGAGCAAAGAAAATCTTTAGTTGTATATCATTCTTTAAAATCTTCGAATGTTGTTGAAGAACACGTATATGCGATTGGTGATTTATTTTTTGTGATGTCATATTTTATTGAATAAGGACGACTGTTAAACACAACTTTTGTGAATTGGTGATGATAAAACGAGTAAAGTTACCTGGGATTTGTTTGATGGCTAATGTTGTATTACAATTACTGTATTGACGTAGGGTTACGGGTTGATGACTATGGAAGAGATCAAACTAACAGCAGATGGTCGAATGAAAGCCTCTGGGCCACTGGAGTACAAAATACCATGTGTGAGGAATATTCCACGAGAGTTCAAGGTCAAACTCCTTCAGAATAGTGAAACTGTCAAAACTGTATATTCCTCTAAGGTAAGTCGGACATTTAAAGGCGTCTTGATAGTAATAGTGAATCTTAGTGAATCAACTTTAAATAGCATGAAGTGTCCTTATCGGGATGCGTGTTGTATTTACTAATACATGTATGTTCCTATCTTCTATAGGGGGTAGGCGAGCCACCTTTACTGCTCGCATCGTCAGTTTTCTTTGCACTTAAGGAGGCAGTACTGGCGGCGCGCGCGGACTTCGGGTTGACAGACGACTACCCATTGAAATGTCCAGCCACCACAGAAAGGATCCGAATGGCCTGTCAGGACAAGATTATAGACAGAGTAAGTGTCGATTTATCGTACAGGATAACGTAAATACAAACTGAACATCTTAACATCTTATAATAAATCTAAATATATTCAAGGGATTAAGAAACGCATGGTGACATTTTTTACAATATCTTGCGAACGCAGCTCTCTAGGTTACAGTGCCCATGGTCCTGTATTGAATGTTGCATTATTGGATTGCGTTACGATATCTTCCGAGGAAAGTACAAAACGGGGAAATCTCATGCACATAAGTGTTGGGACATTGAGTTACACTGCTCGTCATACCATTAGGTCGTCTTCACAGAGACACATTATTTTCCGACATTTTGATTAATTTGTGATAGAATTCGTGATAGGTCAGACCATTGCGATGTTTATGCAAAATAAAGGCAAATAAAGGTTGTCACACATTTCGGTGTACTTTTTTGCACCATTGAACGTATTCTTAGACGTCTAAGGGCGGGTTGCTGACAGACATAGGTCTGGGCGTCCGCGCGTGATTTCACAACGTCAGGACAGGTTTATACGTCTCGCGCCACTGCCACTGAATCTGTCCTTCACACTATAGGTATTCACAACCGTCCATCCATGCAAAACCTGAAATTAAACGATTGCGGGACGTTGGTCTGCGGGCACGTCACCCTTTTATCTGCCCCTTACCGGTGCTTGTCGCCAGCGTCGTATGACTTATGTGGCGGCACATGCCCCCAGAATATTCCAATGGAGGCATTGAGGCGGGTCTTGTTCACTGACGAGTTCCGGTTCACCCTGTTTCGAGCAGCCGTTCGACGTCGTGTATACTTACGTTGTGGAGAACGTGTTGCCGACTGTATGGTAGTAGAGATGGATAGGTTTAGGGGTGGATAAGTTATGACGTGGGAAGGAATCTCACATGGAGTTAAATTACCACTGGTATTGAAAGCGGGTAATTTAACTGCCGCTTGGTATTTAGATGAAATCCTTCGACCCCATGGTGTCCCATTATTGCAGAAACATAACCTCACATTCAAGCAGGATAATGCTCGGCCCCATGTAGCAATATCCACCCACTGGACTGGCCGCTATACAGCCCCGACCTATCCCCTATTGATCACTTGTGGGACCAGCTGGATAGACAGGTTCGACGACGCCAGCCTCCCCTGTCCCCTGAACAGCCCTCTTGGAAGAATGGGCCAACATTCCAATGAGTAGGATAAACTCACTCATGAATTCTATGCCTGTGAAGGACATACGCGGTATTGACTAGCCAGCTCCCACAATCGGTCCATTTCGATCTCAGATTACAGAATTCTCTTTCAATTCCCTTCAATTACTCCAAAATCGTTTACCAGATACAAATAGTTGATTTTGCAGTTTGCTCTGTATTGATTAATCTGCATTCTTACTTTAAAATATTGAACAGTCTTGCCTAGAATCATCTTCAAAGTCTACCCTGCGTTTCGTTATCCCTTGAGTATGCATAGTAGTATTGTGGTGGATTCGGTTAAAATGATTGTTTCAATCTGTTATTACCAGAGAAACTTTTTTTTAAAACTTTTACATTCGAATTATAAGCCCCTTTTAAAACTGTTATAGAAACTTTACATCATCTGAAAATGAACGAATTTGTCAATGCCACTGCTTAAAGATAGAAGATGAGGTGCAAAAACGGTCAAGGGAGAAACCGAATTTCATAAATATTCATAATTTCGTAGAAACTTATTTTTATGTTTTAAGCTTGCTCTATTAAATAATATTTATAAACATTCTCTCCAAACGTTATTTTCTTCTATGATTGACTCTTAAATTTAATGCAAATATTTTGTGCATGACTGGTGTATTTTCAACATTTCAATCTTTCAATAATCTGTATGCAAACTGGTATTCTCACATCATCATATCGTATCAGGAATGCAATATTCGACTTCGAGATAAGTTTGATTTGTTTTAGTATCAGAAGTGTCAAGGTGCTTTGAAGGCCAGGGTATTTCCTTCATTATATAGAAAATGCGTTCATGTTGTATATTTCTTGTTTATTGTAGTGCCAGCAAGCTGAAACGAAAACCAGTAGCAATCTTCTTGTTACCATTTGATGATGTACATCTGTCATGGAGCTTCACAATCATTCATTAATGATCGCAACAAGAAAACTGAATTATTTATATATCCTAGACCTCAGATCCTATCTCAGCCTTGTCACGTCAAGGAAGTGACCGAATGACTGCACATGTAATTGGACGCAATACCTCCATTAACCAAACTCCATTCGCATTGATAATGAAAGCGGTTTTGAAACCAAACACGAAGTATTCCTAATTCATGTATGCGTTATTATATTTTATGCATCGGTCAAACAAATGTACATCCTACTTAAATCAACACAATTGTAGGAAGGATGTGTAACAATAATTTTTCATTAATAATGTTTTGATGATTAAACCTGGAATTAAAATTTCAATCTAGAGTGTCTGATAAATGTCAGTTTAACCTTTGACATTTCCTACCAACAAATCGTTAAAAAGATGAATAAGAAATTATTGAAACGATCTCTCAAAGCTCACAGTTTAGCAAAGTTAAGTAAAAAAAAATGGCAACTGGGTAATATAATGTATGAAAATGTGGAGGTCACCGTACATCAAGCTGTTCCGTAGCCTGTAATGGAGAGGATTTGGACTTTGGTACAACTGAAACTGGAGAACAAAGTGGATACATATGTATCCTGAAAAATGATCTATGAAACGTGTTTGTTGAACTGGACACCTTAAGAAACGTTAACACCCACACAAATGATAATAGATGATCTGAAGAGTAAAGAAACAACGAACATTGCAAGGATGACAAAATGTGTGGATGTGTTTTCAATTGAAAAGAGCTAAATATTGATAATTGATATACTCTGTTATTTAAATAATTAGTTGTATTATGATTGCCACATGCATTTATATTAAATTGATTCTTTGATTGTTTCAATGTTTTAATTTTTGTTAATTATTTCCATTGCCTGTGTCATTTTGTAAATTTCATTCATTTAAAAACAAGTTCACTTGATTGAAATCTTGATAATTTCGCTAGCGATGTAAATACTGCCCCATGCCTAGGACACGTGACCCATCGGAAGGAACGGTAACTGCGTTATGCAATGTATACAGGTTTACAACGACCATGTATCATGGTAGGTTACGCAAAATATAATTATTTGAAGATATAAAATCTTGGTTCAACCTCGGTCTGCGTTGCTCCGACTTGGAACATGCCAATAGCCATTTCTCTTCTTTGGACAGACGTGGTATTGCGTTAATCTATACAGTTGAAATCCAAATGATTATTTCCAACTGATAAAGCGTTTTACAAAAATCAACTGAACAAACATCAAGTATGAAGAAGGAATATGTTTTGTTCTATGAGACAATCTTTGAATTTCACACCTGACTGAATTCCATCAACTGACACAACTAATCCAGAGATACCTACAAAAGACATCATTTACTGTAAAATAACTGTATAATCAAGCAACGTTTGGTTTATGACAAGGTAACTTGATCAAATGTTTTTGTATATAAGTACATATAGATAAGTTTTTTTATAACATCAACAATCTAAATTTTGGTCACTTCCTGGTATATTTTTTTCAAATGTCAGTTTAGATAACTCGACATGTACACGAGCAGCGATCATGTACACATAATATCATATTGACGGCCACAATTTTTTGTCATTTCTATTAACATCTACATTTAAATGAAATAATATCGTTGTTATTATTAGATCATATTATCACGTAATAGCTTTTTACCTCGAATTAGGTTGATCTTAGCCTTCAAATGATTAAATGCACATGGTGTATTGGAGGTCTAGGAAAGCGTTGTTACACGTGTTGAGAATATAAAATCACACAACTTTAATAACGCTTATTAGACTACATTTTTTAGTTTGATTGTGACGAATATGTATTTTCACACGAGAAGAAATTGGAAGTTGCTTCCAAAATCCTATCAATTTGGAACATGTTTGCCGTTAAGCATATTTGACCAAAGATGAGCACAATCGGATATGTGGTCAGAAGTGTTTGATAATTTTGGAAAATTATTCTTACCATCTTTAGAGTGATCAGGAGATGACGTGTCGCACATTATTATGAACACGATAGACGTTCTTTGCTGTCATCACAATATCTCAGTCAGCGATATAGAAAATGATTTTCCTATAAATGGCGTTTACACGTCACAGCTGGTTCAATTTTCTAGGGTTCAAAATCATTTCATCTCATTGCACGACATTTAATTATATGAGTTAGATTGCTCGTGAGTACTTCGCTGTTATAAACCTGGTTCCCATTTGTTAATGCCATATTAATTACTCTGATTGATCTTAATTTAGATTGCGGATATTGTTGATGAAGCATAGGACCAATACCCTTCCAGAACACATGGTTTTCTTTTTCTTGAACGGTTTCAAGAGGATTGTGTGTGTAAATGTTTCTATTTTTTCTATTCTGCCCTTGTTGAATTGATTGTGAGTTTGAATTCCTACTTGCTTAACATGTCACTACTCTCTTGTTGTTAGATTCTTTAAATTATATGATCGCCACCATAGCCAACCAAATGTCGCATGGTTAAATTTTGTGGACCAGTTCACGATTTTAGATGACATTCGGAACAGTTTTGTAATTTATAAAACATCATTTTGATGATTGAGCTACATTTGAGATTTCCACTTACATCGATCCGGATTTCTACTCATTGGATTAGGAATCACGTCTAATGTTAGATTTCATCGACTTTCTGCTCTACCTCACTCAGTGGTCATTATTCACTACTGTAGCTTGTGTCCTAAAACAACGCCACTATAGACTTACTATTAGAGTAACATAGGTCTTTCCTTTCCATAATGCTTTGCACGTAAGGCTCTTCTATGTGAGTCATCTTGGGAAGGCCAGAACCAGGTTACATATAGGTAAGGACAACCATCACTTTGAACTAATGCCATTCGAATCATATGTTAGCTATGCTACAATATCGATATTGTATAAATGATGGCAAAGTTAATGTGCCCTGATGACGACGGACTGTTACATCTATGGCAGGCATGCCAGATTACCCCATGCTGACCGGATATGTTTCGATTTCAACATTTAAATAAGGTAGATCCGATCTAATTGGGCTATGTAGTATCGACTTCGTTTGTAGACTGACAGTCTACCACGTTCTATTTTACATTACATCATGTTATAGTTGTATTACATTTCATATATGAATTTGAAAATATAGACTCAATATATGTAGTGTGGCCTTCAATACCTTGGATAGTTAACCAACCTTTGAATTACGATAAAGTAACTTGATAAACATATTTTTTAATATAAGTACATATAGATAAGTTTTTTTGATAACATCAACAATCTAAATTTAGGTCACTTCATGGTACATTTTTTTTTCAAATGTAAGTTTAGATAACCCGACTTGTTCACAAGCATCGATCATGTGCACATAAGATCACATTGACGGCCACAATTTTTGTCATTTCTTTTAACATCGTGCATTTAAATGAAATAATCTCGTTGTTATTATTAGATCATATTATCACGTAATAGCTTTTTACCTCGAATTAGGTTGATCTTAGCCTTCAAATGATTAAATGCACATGGTGTATTGGAGGTCTAGGAAAGCGTTGTTACACGTGTTGAGAATATAAAATCACACAACTTTAATAACGCTTATTAGACTACATTACTTAGTTTGGTTGTGACGAATATGTATTTTCACACGAGAAGAAATTGGAAGTTGCTTCCAAAATCCTATCAATTTGGAACATGTTTGCCGTTAAGCATATTTGACCAAAGATGAGCACAATCGGATATGTGGTCAGAAGTGTTTGATAATTTTGGAAAATTATTCTTACCATCTTTAGAGTGATCAGGAGATGACGTGTCGCACATTATTATGAACACGATAGACATCTACATCACTCGTTCTTTGCTGTCATCACAATATCTCAGTCAGCGATATAGAAAATGATTTTCCTATAAATGGCGTTTACACGTCACAGCTGGTTCAATTTTCAAGGGTTCAAAATCATTTCATCTCATTGCACGACATTTAATTATATGAGTTAGTTTGCTCGTGAGTACTTCGCTGTTATAAACCTGGTTCCCATTTGTTAATGCCATATTAATGACTCTGATTGATCTTAATTTAGATTGCGGATATTGTTGATGAAGCATAGGACCAATACCCTTCCAGAACACATGGTTTTATTTTTCTTGAACGGTTTCAAGAGAATTGCGTGTGTAAATGTTTCGATTTTTTCTATGTTTTGTCCTTGCTGAATTCATTGTGAGTTTGAATTCCTACATGCTTAACATGTCACTGCTCTCTTGTTGTTAGATTCTTTAGATTATGTAATGGCCACCATAGCCATTGGGTAGTCTCAACCAAATGTCGCATGGTTAAATTTTGTGGACCAGTTCACGATTTTAGACAACATTCGGAACGGTTTTGGAATTTACTGTGAAATTTTGAATTTCTTCACATCACCGAGATATGAGAGAGAGTATCAATATTCTTGATGTTATATAATGTCTTCGACAAGAAGTTATTTATATTTCAATAAAAGAGTGCATAGCCTGGGAATTATTTCAAATTATTGTTTTTTTCCAACTACACTTATACTTATACATCTACCAGCATACCTTGTTATCTATAAAACTCGTAACACAGGGGATCAAAAGATGCGGGTTAATGAAAATTATTGGAAAGTTTTATGGCCACCATAGTGATCTCATTGAGAAATATTCTGTTTCTTTATGTTATGATGCTGGACGTGTTTGGTGCTAGTTAAATTGACTTTTGATTCCGTTGTTGTATACATTGTTCTATTTTGTGAACGTGACATTACTTACTTGGATTGACCACGATTTGCATGGCGGATGAAAACGCTTACTCTTCCAGATCACCTGGTCTTCTTCTCCCTATATTTTCTATATTTTGAACAAGTTTTAAGGATTATGAGTTTGGATTATGATTATGTTGGTAATTTCTTGATGTTAACTGTGTTAACATTTTTTTTAAATTTTACTTTTCATTAGTAATCATCTCATATACAGGTTAAACATACAGCTAAGTAATGAATCTAACGGAATATCATGTAAGACGTATAACATCATTCGTATGTAAGATAAAGTTCTGTTCAAATAGCATGCACCTACTTGTACATAGGTACGTAGTATGGTCCCTTACAGGTAATACCAAGTAGTGAATAAAGATGGCTGAAAATAGTTTAAGCTGGGTCAAGCGCCATCTCTTCAACCTATTCAGGGTTTTTTTTATTGGTATTTTGAACTGAAACATTAAGGATCATAATGTGCATGTATAATTCATTTCAACTTTATTGGACTTTATTTATAAAACTTCATTTTGATGATTGAACTACATTTAAGATTTCCAGTTACATCGATCCGGATTTCTACTCATTGGATTAGGAATCACGTCTAATGTTAGATTTCATCGACTTTCCGCACTACCTCACTCAGTGGTCATTATTCACTACTGTAGCTTGTGTCCTAAAACAACGCCACTATAGACTTAATATTAGAGTAACATAGGTCTTTCCTTCCCATAATGCTTTGCACGTAAGGCTCTTCTATGTGAGTCATCTTCGGAAGGCCAGAACCAGGTTACTGTGACAGCTACATATAGGTAAGGACAACTTTAATATCATCACTTTGAAATAATGTCGTTCGAATCATATGCTAGCTTTGCTACAATATTGTATAAGATGATGACATAGTTTATGTGCCCTGATGAAGACGGACTGTTACATCTATGGCAGGCAAGCCAGATTGCCCCATGCTGGCCGGATGTATTTTGATTTCAACGATTACATAAGGGAGATCTGATCTAATTGGGCTTTATAGTGTCGACTTCGTTTGTAGACTGACAGTCTACCACTTTCTATTTTACCTTACTTTAAGTCATGTTATAGCTGTATTACATTTCATATATGAATTTGTATAATATCGACTCAATATATGTAGTGTGACCTTCATGACTTTGGATAGTTAACCAACGTTTGAATTACGATAAAGCAACTTGATAAACGTTTTTTTACTAGGTTAGTATTTACAGATACGATGAGATGGGTCAAAACCCTCTGTACCATCACCCCAACTATTTAGATAAGGTCACCGTCCTGTACGTTATATTTCATGTACATCAGCAGTGAACATGTTCACATAAGATCATATTGACGATCACAATTTTAATAGTTTTTAACATGCATTTAAATGAAGAGATCATCTGATTATTACCATATAACTATATCATATGATACCTTGAATTAGGTTGAATTTAGCCTTCAAAATGATAAAAAGCACCTGATGTGTTGGAAGTGTAGGAAAACTGATGTAGTATATTGAATCACACAACTTTAAAAATGCTTATTAGACTATACTATTTGGTTTGATTGTGACGAAAATGTATTTTCACAAGAAAAGAAATTGGAAGTAGCCTTTAAAATCATACACATTTGTTACATATTTACCGTTAAGCATCTTTGACGAAAGATGAGCTAATTAGTCATCAAGGACACGACAGACATCTACTGACATATTTTTTATTGTAAACACAACCTCTCACTAAACTCAATCAGCGATATAGAAAATTGATGTTCGTAAGTGCTTTTCGTAAACCTAGTTATCGTTTGTTAAAGGTTCATTAATTGCTCCTGATGTTGTTGATGAAGAGTAAGACGCTTACCCTTCTAGAGCACATGATTTTATGATACTTGTACGGTTTCAAGAGGAGTGCTTGTGTACAAGTCTTGTTTAATTGACTGGAGCTATGTACACTGTCTTCAGAACACTGACACTATGTACAACACTACATAAAAATAAAATTTATTCATAATCAGTTATAGTAAATATATATACATTAACTGCTTTGTTTTGAAAAATTAAAATATTTCAATTAAAGGACAATATACTGCTGTAGAAGCTTATTCATGAGTTTCGCTTTAAAAGCAGATTTTAACAAAATATCATTTGTCTTAAGATGTCTATAAGATGTTGACGCTTTCTGTGAAATACTGTCCTTAACAATTTGTCATTTAATAGAATTGGAAATCTTTATGGTATTTCTTCGCCTATCTTTTTCTTTACTACAGATGCTTAACTTGGCGACCATATGCGATACGCTATGGAGCCACGAGACACACTCATCTTCTTCGTCAACGGTAGGAAGGTAAGATACCCATGGATTCATCTGGATCAAGTGATATAATTTTAGGACAACCCTAGCTAAGCTTTGTAGTTGTTTTGACAGCTTAAAAAACTTCTATTGACAAAACACAGATTTTTTAGCTCCAGAAATCCAGTATAATGGTTGGATAACAGAATTTTCGTCTCCGTGACTCTTCCCGTGTTCGGGTATCCTGCGAACGTCAGTGTTCTGGCGACGTGAGGGGCGACCTGCATCATCCTCATTGTAGCTGTGATCATTTGATAATGCTAGTCTTAGAGGACAACTCCAGGAAGAGTTGGGGGCCTATCTATATTTGGTTTGTGTTAGGGTAATTTTGAAGTCCGTCTAAAATCTTAATCTTAAAAATAATTATATCGTCTGAGGCTACCCTAAGATCCCTCGATTGGCATTATCACGCCTACACTTTTTTACGGACAGTCTCAGAGGGATTCTGACAATTTCAGAAGATAGCCTAACTAGTGAATCAAGGGTGGATCTATGATTCCGCAAACCGCTTTAATTTTGACTTTTTATGTTACTGGTAATTAGATAGTGCTTTAATCGGTTATCTATTATTGTTTCTACGGTTTTACACAAGGGATTATTAAGGATATTGGTCTATATGATGCCGGATCTTCTTTATCCTTACCTTATTTCAGTATCGGAAAACAGCAGCCCTATTTCAAGATACTGGGTAACTTTCTATCTCCCACATAGTCCTAATTAAATCCAAAATAATGTGGTTTAAGTTAATGGGACCTTATTTTAGTACGGCATACGATAGTTTGTCTACACCGGGAGATGTAATTTTTTAGTTACGTGGGATTTTTTATCACATGTCTGCCCATCTACGTTTTATTCTTTTGGTTACTAAACATTCCTGTGGGTAATGTTTTCTATTTTAAGGTTTTCCTCAAGTTTATGGGATGCATTATGTTGCATCTATCTACGATTGTTTTTGTAGGTGTTGTTGTACATGTATCTACATTATGGTATGTTTATTCATATCGAAAATCCATTTACAGGGAATAGTCTTGTGTTTCTGATTGGTTTTTAAGTTAAATTTGACAAAAGTAGGGTAGTGATCTGATCCTAATATGCTTTTGCTAGTAGTCCATGTGATGAGGTTGGTAGCTATTTCCGGTGACGCTAATTTGAGATCTAGATGTGATGTTATTCCAGTTATCATATCGACCCTTGTTGCCAATTCAGGGTCGTTAAGCACAATTATGTCGTTATCTGATATCCAATGTTCAATAAGATTTCCTATTTTCTTTGTTTTATCACTACCCCATAATGTGCTTGATGCATTAAAGTCTCAAGATATAATGATATTTATTAATGATTTCTGTTATTTTCTCTTTGTCTGAATTTAACAATGTGATACTGGAGCTGATGTAGATATTAAAACGTGCTGTAACTTTGTCATCACTGTGAATTTCAGTACCTAAGAGTTCTATTTTGGGGGGTAATTCTGATATTTTTATTGTTTTATCTGCAATATCATTTTTAATATATACTGCTTAACCTGTAATTTTATTACCTAACGTCAGGAGCTCATGATAAACTTGTAGTTTAGGCATTTTCCTATTTTGGTTGAATTTAGTTTCCTGTATTTCAATTATGTCTATGTCTGTATGGTGTGTTAGAAGGTATTTTAAGTCTGTGAGATTAGATTTCAGACTGCGGGCATTCCAGCTGGGAAACAGACAGAGCATCCGCTGAGCTTTTGACTGTTCCGCCATTGTCTAAGTCTTAGTTATAAATGTTTTATGGTATCCTTTTACCTTTTTTCTTGTGAGATGTCCGTTATAAAAGGTTCTTTTTAGCTTTGCTGTGTGCTTGACTACTTCTTAGTATGTATGGTGATTTTGCATCTGTTTTTTTTAAGTTTTCATTGTCTTTTTTTGAGTGCCTTTGGTGTTCTGGGTGTGTCAGGTATATTGTTTTGTTCTATTTTCTTGATTGTATCAGGGGTTGTCTCCTCTTGTGTCATGTCTGATAGTCTTTGGGTGTTTTCTAAGCAGGAGGTGCTACTAGTTGTAGATAATGTTGGGAATGGTGGTATGCATCGAAGCTCTGTTTTCCTTAGTAGTTGTGTTTGTTGGGGTCTCTATGCGCACATCTTTTGTGTCTGTTTCATGTGTTGTATTTTCAACCTCGATGTCTTACCCTATACCTAGTTCTTGTTTTAGTGTGTTTTGGAATGTTTCAAATAAATGTATAGGGCTTTATTGTAAATTATCTAACTCTACAAATAGCTATCATAGTGTTTTAATGTATTGCATGGTTTTGTTGTTTTTGATAATTACGTAAATCCAATTCCAATTTATATATGTAGATAAAATTTAGGTTACAAACACTGGAGATGTATGGGTATATGGCTGGAATCCTCAGATCTGTAATCCTAAATATCACTCAGTGATATATATCCTGATAAATTAGATTATCAGAAATTTTGTTACACCGATATACAATAGCTTGAGAAGTAGGCTATGAAATGGGTCTTGACTCATAATCTCGGGTAAGCTGGTCTGAAGAGGCGTTCTGAGGAATCAATGTGTTGACGGCATGGGGGCCAGATCCACACTGATTCAGTATAACATTTTTAAGCGTTATATATACTATATTGATTCTGTGTTAGAAAAGACATTGCTATGTTTCTTTTAAGTGATTATCTACGTGTTATTGCTTCTGGACCATATTGGCATTATTTGTCTTTTAAACTTTTATATAGTAACTCAAGTGTCATTCGTATTAGGAGATTATTTGTTAAATGTACGAAATGCTTTCTGTAGCTACATCAAGTGTCTGTAGTATGCAGTACCCCTTATATCAATTGTCTATTATTGCTTTTGATGCAGGTCAAAGTGGAAAGTCCAAGTCCGGAGACAACCTTGTTACAATATCTCCGCAAGTCCTGTATCCTTACATATTTACCGTTGATCTCAATAATATATTTATCGTGTTCCAATTTGCATTAAAACCATATATCGGTACTGGTAACATATGACGTTTTGGATCAACAAATTTTAGGGGTTATTATTTCATTAAAATTGAAAATTTGACCTATAAACTGTGGTCGTATGTACTTCCTTTATGACATATATGTGAGGTAAACATCGATTGTAGAGTAGTATCACCGAACTAATATTTTGGCACGTATGAAATATAAAGACACTTCTGCACATCTGATGAATTAAAACATAGGAATTAATCCCCTAAAGTTTTTCAGTGGTATCTATACTTGATCATTATTAAAATTACTTAATCATGTATGTATTCAGGTTTAAGTAAAAGATTTATTTATGTATTATCATATCTAGAAGTATAATTGTCCTTATCGTCGTCACAGTATATCTTACGGGGACGAAATCAGCATGTGGTCAGGGTGCCTGCGGTGCGTGCACCATCATGATCTCCTCATACGACGTCACCAATAAAGCGATAACGTAAGTCAAAAGAAACACAAATTGCAACGGTTTTCGTTCTTATGGTATTTGTCAAGTTCATAAGTCAAAATAAGCATAGATTTCATCAGCCTTTGTTGGTATGATGATTGTTTAGTTAATGAATAAACCAGATTGATAGCGTTGATCACTGATGGAGTTGAAAGTCATCAGTGGCGATTTGCTCAAAGTTGAGAATATTAGACATCGTGTATTAAATTCCGAGGTTAAGCAACATTGAAAGCAGTCGTATGGGGAGGAGTGATCGCTGCGTTGTACTCCTAATGCATGTTATGTTTGGTGCCAGCGTTCAGACCTAGTATCTCGTTGGATACTTTGGGACAGCAGTGAAAGAACGATATTACTTGAGACATTTTGTATGCTGGTTCTCTACTCCTGACTCAGCACCATTGTAACAAGGTAGAATTTAAGTATGTTGTGAAGGCCACGTTAAACCAATGACAGTTCCGGAACTAAGCTCATCGGCCGTAGAGGGTAAAATGGGTTCATGGATTGTTGTTTTTCAAACTAGCATTTCTAGCTATGTCGTGTTAGTGTTCGAATGTCAGATTATGTCAAATGTGATCATCTGTTGGATGGATGACCTATCCAATGTAGGCGCTGTTTAAGTTACAATAGCAATATCATAAATACAAAATTTAATAACCAGAAATGTTATCTTATGTATGCAACGTGAACTTCACTCTGCCATTTGAATAGTCATATTTTAACTACTGGATCTGCAGTTCATTGTTTGAACTATACATTGATTACTACAAAATTAGGTGAATTGGTAGGAGGAAAAAGAAAGTCTACCAGTATGGTGTCATTTTCTTGCCTTCAGACATGTATCTGCAAACGCCTGCCTGGTGCCGTTGTGTTACCTTCACGGACGAGCAGTCACTACCGTGGAGGGCGTAGGCAGCTCCCGGACCGGAATGCATGCAATACAGGTTAGCATTTGCATTTCGTAAGAAATAAAAAGCATAAGCTCAGCAGTTTACAAAAATGTCGAATTCTGATATACGCTCTGAAATTTGTTTAGAATAAAATGTTATTAGATTATGTTTATTGAATTTTATCTTAAACATTTTTATTATGCAATCCTGATTCCTGGTTCTTGCAAATTATTCAAATCACTGAAAAATTCTTTTCAATCACAGAAAGGTATAATGGAATCACAAGGTTTCCAGTGTGGGTTCTGCACTCCCGGAATGGTAATGACAATGTACACACTGTTAAGAAACAACCCTAATGCAACACAAGAAGAGATGGAGAGAGTTCTTGAGGGTATAGTTCATCTTACATTAAATGTATTCTGACGTTCCACTCCTAGCGACAATTTGAATGTGACTCTTACGCTATTATATTGAATTTTATCGTATTACAACAAGTCTATAAAAAAGTTAGCTTTGACAAATATGTTACCAAAGATGGTACAGTCATTAATTGTCTTTGGTGAACACATATGTAAGATTCCTAACTCTGCTTGTTTCATTGATGACCCTTTATATTCATAGTGTCATTGGTCTTGTCACTGGTCTAAAGGTCCTAAGTATTGGGTGACGTGAATGATTTTATTTTCATAGGAAACTTGTGTCGATGTACCGGGTACCGCCCTATAGTTGATGCATTCAACGAGGCCATAAAGGTAAGTATGCACAGTTCTTCCGTACTCCTAGTGTGTTCAATTGTTTGTATAAACATTATTTCTATATTACCAATAAGGTTTAATTCGTAATGTTTAGCGTTAATTTGCATTTCAATCGATAATGGTTCCAGACACGAAACCAAAAGGCATCGCCATTTTTCAGTACACATCAATTAGTCTTGACCATTGTGTATCTGATTTTTATGTCTGTTTGGAGTGAAAATACTAGATATCGCAAGACTGCATGGTTTTAGCAGTATAATAAATGCTTCTGTTCAGAAGCAGAGGGCGCGTACGAATATCATCCTAATTGTGGAGTAGCACTTTAAACGCCTCTTAACATTGATTGTATATAGTGTACAAAAGTCAAATAAGTAAAAAGCACCTTGCAACACAAACGTAGAATTAGATACAGTAGTGTCAGATTATGGACTATACTATATCACACATCTGTTCTGTCCATCTAAGACTCGTCAATGAAGCTAAGGACAAAATTTTGAAACCTATGAGTGTCAAAGTCTAGATGAGGAAGTGCATTGCAGAATAGAAAGAGCTATGTTTTGTTGTTACCCTTACACATGTAACCGATTACACAAGTCCTGTTTGTGTATCATAAGCAATTTAGTTCTAATAACAGGTACTTTGAATTACAGAACTGTCCTTGTGTACTAGACCTGTGTCAACAAACGACAGAGACTTCAAGAAGCAATGTTGAATCTACAAACCAGAAAGTGCCCCCCTCTCAAGATGTCATATTTCCGCCGGAATTACAGGTAAAAACAGATTTTCGAAGTTTAAATTTTTTGAAACTATAAATGACAATTAAAAGTATTAAGATACCGTGTTTACCACCTTAAAATATCTATAAAACAAATAATTTGATTGAAAACTCTGCACTTTACCTATTGTTTAGACACAACTGCAGTATATTGTATGTCTGGATGACAAATAGTACTGTTGTTTAAATTTCAGCTGACAGAATCTTACCACACAAAGAATGTTGTCTTCAGTGGAGACCGCTATTCCTGGTACCGCCCCACATCCCTGTCGGAAATACTGCGACTGAAAGAAGAACATCCAGACGCTCCTGTGGTCATGGGGTGTAATAGTATTGGTAATTTCATAAGTGTCATGACAACTTCGAATGAAATCCATTATGATGAGACATCCGTAGCAGAAAAGCGTTATGATTTTGTAAATCCAATGTGTGTGTGTGTGTGTGTGTGTGTGTGTGTGTGTGTGTGTGTGTGTGTGTGTGTGTGTGTGTGTGTGTGTGTGTGTGTGTGTGTGTGTGTGTGTGTGTGGTGGGTGGGTGGGTGTGTGTGTGTGTGTGTGTGTGAGAGCGATTGTGTGTCTGTGTGAGGGTGTGTGCGAGGGTGTGTGTGTGTGCGCGCGCACGCTTCATGCTTATTAATGATGAGAGTTTCTATCTTTTACAATTACATTTACTTCTTAGATTTATAGTGAGGTTAAAACTTCTTATTGGTTGTGAAGCTACATATATTTTTTCATGCGTAATATCATTCCATATTGCATCGAAAAATTCAAGATTCACAGCATTTTTAGCTTTTCACTTTTCTGTTTTGATGAAATCTGATATTGCTAATTTTGATATGAATTATTACAGAACTTCATGTTTCGTTTACGAGTGTTAAGGTGCGTAAACATGTATTGTTCTGATGACAGGGAATCTGCTGCGGAAGGGGAAACTGACATCTCATGTGATTATTTGTGGAACTAATGTTCGGGAGTTAGTTGTTGTTGAGACGACTACGTCTGGGATTCGAGTCGGAGCCGGGGTTACTATGGCTTCATTAGAACGCTCATTCAAGGAATTATTGGGCAAAAGCAAAGGTGAAATAAGAAAATATAATGCATTTTGTATATCAGAACGAACAAAAAGCAAATGCTTTGAAAGTTGTAAACCGTACCTGGAACTACTATTTCATTAGTGACTGGGATTATCGAAGTCGATTAGTTCGCATATGTTGCAAATATATTTTTACACACAATAAGTAATAATTATATCAATTTCAGGACATTAATAAATTTCCTGTATATATATGAATATATGAACATAGTGCACTGCTGATTTAGTCCACGTTTTGACATAGATCCTTTAAACAGAAGTATGAAAGCAGCCTTGGACGTTCTACAATGGATAGGTGTGGACCAAATTCGGAACACAGCGGTAACTACTCTTCTATAAACATGTACAGCATTCAGAACCATATATACTTATTATTTTTATGAATAACTATCTTCGTGCAATGTGTTGTTATTTATTTATTACGATGTTTGTGAAGCATACCTTTGAAGTTTTCAAAACATACTCTACAAATAAAAACCTGTCGATGTACAAGACACTATTATCTTCAGTGTGGTTACATAAAATCTCCTAGTCCTATCATCGTTGGTGAACAAATGATCATCGCTCATAAAATTCACATTTACATACTCATACGAAAATCTTGGTTCAGAGGGATTGTAGAGAAAAACGAAAACGTTAATTTTGTCATGGAGTAAGTTTTAAGCAAATGATTAGTTACGTATGTAAATTGCATTAGTCTTTGTGTGAGGGATTTCACTTACTGTCGGGTCGTTTGATCCTGAACAATGTATTTTATAAGTATGTTATTATTAAAAAATAGTATAATTATCTTTGCGCAATATAGTTTAAATATAGACCTAAATTCATAACCATTAATAGTTTGAAGACAAATATATTTCTCCCTTCTAGACAATTGGAGGTCACGTGATGAGTCATGCACCCAATCTAGACCTGCAGGTGTTCCTATTGGCTGCAAGAGCGGAGCTGAACTTCTTATCACAAGGTTCAGAATATGTTAAGAACGACACGATTTACATATTGTTTTGAGCGTGGAATATCTACATAATTATTCAGAATTTCACATTGTGTTTCACAAATTGCACTAAGAGACGGATAAATGCATGTGTATATACTTAAAATTGTAAAGTATAACCAATATTTTGCGTTGCAGGAAAGGGAGTGCGTCAATGTAAAATGGATGGAGACTTTATTAACAATGGATATAGACTAGTTGATGGAAACGAAATTCTTGTCGCCATCACTATACCGTATACAAGCGAGGTACGTGGCATTCTTAAGTAATGTAATGATGTGATTCGTTCGTGATAGTTCAACGTCTTCGCTTATAATGAAGTTCGTGTCCATATTGGATGTAAAATGTCTTTTATACATTATACTTGTACGTGTTTATATCAGTTCGTTCATAACACATTATACCTTACAAGCAAGAACCACCAACATGAATATGCCTGCCTGATTTAATTAAAATTGTAATATTAAATAGTCTCATTTTTACCATGATTTTTTTCAGAACGAGTTTATAGTTGGCATGAAGCAGTCTCACCGTCGCGGGTTCGACTATGGTATAGTTACATGTGGACTGTTTGTAGAACTGGACACTTCTCGAGAAGATGTTCGGGGGATGCGACTGGCTTTCGGTGGCGTTGACAAGAAACCTGTTTTGGCACTCTCAACCGCTGCAAGTTCTATTGGAAAGTATGTTTTATGAAATTCTGTATTGGATCCAACTATATATAGTGCTAAAATTCGATGTGGTTGATTACCCTTTATACACAATAAAGTATGACGTTTCTCTTCCTTGTAATGTAGGAAACTGGAATAGCATTGTACCCGACCAATACATTTTATATGGTTACGCGTTATTGTTCCTTTATGTTAATTCATCAGTTAGTAGTGTATGCATATTTGATTATTTAGCTGACACTCGGTCAACTCCGTTCTGCTAAATAATTGTTCAGCCTTTAGTTATATGTTATAATGATATATAAAGAAATGTTAAAACGATGAAAAGGAAAATTGTACAAAAGTGATACATTTTTTAATCGAGCTAGATGGCGATAGATGGCGACGTTAGAAGCTGCATTAGGGATCGTTACTGGTTTTTACTTTAATATCATCTCTAGCATCGTTCATTTTATATTGCTCTGAACATTTAAACATACAGAACGTGGTCTGAAGAGTTAGTCACAGCGGTGTGTGGTAACCTGATAATGGAGCTAAACAACAGTCATCACGATAACTCCAACTTCAGGCTTACTCTTGCATGCAGCTTTTTCTTCAAATTTTTCCTGTTTGTTCAAGACCAATTGAAGGTATGAAGAATTTTTGATGTCGGAACATTTTGGGTTGCATTTTTCTGTTTGTCAATTTATTTTGTTTGTGCTATTTGTATTCTACGTGCTTGATCCATAATTTCAATCCAATCTTTATCCTGTATATAAACCACTTACTTAACACCACTCCAAAGATCGATGATTGAATTCTGTGAAATGCCGTCCTACCTACGTTAATTGTTATTAATCCTCACATTAAAAATTATAATCTAGTAGGTTAATGTTTCCACTACCATACTCGACTTAATGTGTGATGAACGTCCGGAAAATTCAGCTGGTCTTAAAGCACTATTTAGCCAATTGCCTGTCATTATTTTGATATCTAAATTATTTGTATGTTGCATCATGTCTTTTAAATTTCTAGGGTCCTTTAATTGAAATTGATATGGTTTTTTTATACATAGGCACACATGTAGTCAACTTTTTATATTGCTTTGCTCTATATTTTATGTGCTTGCTTCTATATTTATATAGGAATATTTACATGTGCCAGTTTATCCTTCAGAGAAGCTTCAAGTAAATATTATATGAATTTGGTTGTAAGGCCATTGATAAAATGAAAACGTATTAAGTAGTATTGAACATCAATTAGGATTGATTGCACAGAATTTTCTTCAATTTCAACATTGCAACAGATGCCTCAAATAATTTCATTTACGTATTATAAAATTCGAGGGGGGGGGGCTATTAGTTTAATCGCATCTTTTCAAGCTGGTTCCTTTGAAATCGTTTTACGTACCATTATGCATGTTAAGGACTTAATGGAACACGAACGAAACTTATATTTCTTGTTTATCTATCCAATGGAACTTTACCTCTGACATATTTTATTTTGTATTTTTATTTATTTAATTAATCTCAATTAACTGTCGAGAAAACATTGTCATCATTATTTCTATGCGCACATTTAACGTCTTACAATCTAACGATTTATATCTACTTATATTTTGATATGCTTATTTATATAAGAACCAGTTCTATTTGTCAAATGGCAAGTTTATTTCACAACACGTTTACAATTACCACAGTCATCTGTTAATAAAACAAAGATACAATTACTTTCAGGTAAACAATAGACATTATTGTGTACTTGAAACATAAAAATAAACAAAAACTGATATAACTGTAATGTACTTATCAGGCCATCGAGCTGTATAAATGATAGTGCATGCCCTAGTGACGATTAGACAACGTTCAGATCGAAAATGCGGATGTTGTAAATGATTCTATACGCGGAAACATTACTTGCGCAATCCGGAATAGTGACATTCTTCGGGCAAAGGGCGATAATCCTCTCCATAATAAAGTATCTACTACATTTTCTTTTCCAGCAACTATTGATTTTTTCAGTTCTGTTATACAGTATTGAATAATCATGTATTATATAACCTTATTCTTATTCAGAATGTTAATTCGTCCAGCCAGTATAGTGTGACAGGGCTACCCTTAACAACTGTTTCCGGTACACAAGTTTACGACGTCCCAAGCGATGGCGGCAACAGGATTGTATGGAAACCTGTGCCTAACGTTTCCTCCGAATACCTTGCGTCTGGAGAAGCACAGTTTGTGGACGACATACCTACATTTCAAAGTACAAAGATAAACTTATCAAAGACGAAGCAGTTGTAGAAGTATTTTAGTAAACTTGAATACAGTAGCATTCTAACAGTAATCAAATGCGTTTAACAGTTCTTCTTTGAAATTCTAAATAAGCTTTTTTTCTAAGGTTAAAATTTGACATATGCCACAGGTGAACTCTGTGCTGTTCCTGTCATCAGTAAGCAAGCACATGCTCGGATCACATCTGTTGACCCGACGCATGCGCTTGAACTCCCTGGTGTGGTGGACTATATCAATTACTCTGACGTACCTGGTAACAACAGATTCAAGGAAGCATTGTCAGACGGCACACTGTTTGCCGAAGATGAAGTAAGAAACTGTATGAATTCATTCTAAATACGAAATGCTTAATGAGTGTGCTTTGACAAATGAAATAGTTTCAGACGGTACAATTACTGTTAAGATGGTAGAGTGAAAAGGAATGACATCTCTTTTGAAGTCTCTGGCGTTGAATCTTCAGAAATCTGTTACTATTGTGACAATGAAAATTAGTATTAGATTGTGTAATTGTGTTGGTTGTTTCAAAGCTATGTTTTTTCTTCTCTCCCGGATATCGAACATATGTACTCGAATGAACGTCTTCGGAAATGTCGATCATGATGCATTTATTCTGCATTTTGATTTTCCCAGGTGTTCTGTTGCGGCCAGGTGATCGGTGCAGTCTTAGCCGAGAACCAAACTGTGGCTGAGAAGGCGGCTAAACTGGTTATCATTACGTACGAAAAGATGGATACAACATTTACCATTGAGGTATGTAAATAAAGTTTGTCAATGGTATTATGCGTGAATATGAGCCACCAGATAAATAGTAAGTTATCCAGCCATGTCTCCAAACACTAAGTAATCAAATGCGTACTCTTTCAATGAACCAAACTTTTCTGGAAGATGTGTTCGAAAGTCTTCGACAATGAAAAGCGGGATTCTAATCATAAAGGAATAATTATGTTCTATCAAATGACATCCTTCTCAGGTTTAGTGATGTCTTTAGACGGATCGGTCATTCATCCTTCCTTCGTAGCTACCTGTAATTTGACTGTTATAAGGACTGTGAAAAAGGCACATAAATGAACTAAACGCCTTTATACAAACAAATATACTGCCGTTCGGTCATCTGTACAGACGTTATTCCCACGATATGATTTAGATACTCCATATCAATTGATATACATTTTGCTATTATGATATGAAATAATGTCCTCATTTCGATAAAAAAATTTTTTTTTTTTTTTTTTTTTTTTTTTTTTTGCTATTCGATCCACTCTGCATTTCTGTTGACTCTAGACTGCTATTAAAAAGTTAAATATCATGCTCTTAGATATGAATAATAAAAAAAGCATTTAAAATTAAATTTAAAATTACATATTTGTTACCAAAATATCGTTATTGTATTACTTATGTTGTATTATGCTATATTTCATCTCTAACATTTCGTCAAATGGTATATTGCATGATAACTATTGTTCAATATATTATATTCTGCGTTTGTTATTATTTTGTATTATCTATCCAAAAGTTTGGCATTTAATATGAATATATGCATAAAAATATAATATATTTTTCAACGTTTGGCAAGACAAGTATTACAGTATATGAACACCACCGTGGAAATATTTTCAACAGCCAGTTAAAATTCATTTCACCATTTTGACAACAACCTGTTTTCACTGGGAATAAGTGATTTTATCCACGTGCGCGATTTGAAATTTGTAATGAAATGTATAATAACCATAAATCCTATAACTTTTCTGACGTTTAAGATATGTTTCCATATGATAGTGGCATTAACCAGCAACTGTCATAAAATATTTTGCCAACAGTACAATATGCGTGGTTCAAACACGTGATACGTGACGTACATATTTGTTTTACATGGTCATTGTAGGAGGCAATTGAGAAGAATGAAATGTTTGATGGAGCACATGAGATTGATGTCGGTGATCTAGAGAGTATCCGAGGGACAGCCAGTCAATGTGTAGAAGGCACATGTTCTACAGGTGTACAGGAACACATGTACTTAGAAACTCAGTCCGCGCTTGCAGTACCAAAGCTGGAGCAACACGAACTGGAAGTATTCACATCCACACAGATTTTAACGATAACACAGGTCTGTGGAAAGTTTTATGTTAAATGTAATTTTTGTATACATTTTTATGGATTATGTTCGTTGAATGAAACATATTTTATGCGTGGATTTTTTATGCTATGATTATTTTAACAGCCATCCATGTCTATTACATTGATAACATAACCCTGTTTATGATTATGAAATTTTTTTTATTTACAAAATAGCAAATACTTTCTCAGTTCCTGAGAATACCTCGGAACAGATTAACAGTGAAGGTGAAACGGGTCGGTAAGTGGATCATACACATTATAACGGTTTATTTTCTGTACATATATCTTTTTAAAGCATAAAAAAACAAATATCAAAATATTCTTCCGAGAAAGAATTGGATAGGATATGTGAAATTGGTTTTCTATAACATTGATAGAATGATAAGCAAAGGATATTGTAAGGATAGAGTGACATAACATTGAAATATTCGAGGAAGCAGTAGTAAGCTGTTATAAATTATCAATTTATTATTAGTCATTGGATAGAATACGATTGTTGTAAATGACTTGGTTGATTATGAAGGTGGAGGATTTGGTGGAAAACAGATGGACGCTGTGCCTGTAGCCGGAATAGCAGCTGTCGGAGCCTGGAAGTAGGTCCATTAGGTTATTGAAAAAAAAATTATTTGTCTGATAATATTTTTCACATTTATATACTAAGCACTTTTTTCTTTTTCTATATATTTTTAACCGGAATTTTGTTAACTGTCATATGAGTCTTACGCAGGTGAACAATAAATGTCAGGGTTGTTCATTTGAGGTGTTATCATTCAATAATCTATGTATTATAACTTGCATATTGTATTGTTTTAATTCGCTGTTGTCATCACGAAGAATGATAATTCTTATTTAGGATAAATTATTCCAAGCTTGGACTCGTACTTTCTTAGTGTATGTTCTTATATTTGCAAATTTATTTCTCCTGATTTAATCGAAGAATTTTTACCATTTGCCTTCATTAAGTGATGGAATCCTGACATACAAATATCATGGCAATAGCTAATTGGTGTCTTGTAATATTAGTGCGACTATATTTGACATCCTGTTCTGTGTTACAGCAGAAATGTGTCCGTGTGTTTCAATGTTTTATAAATAATCCGTTTGTGTAACTAGGACGAAACGACCAGTACGATGTATCTGGGACAGGGAAACAGATATGAAGATAACGGGGAAGAGACATCCTTCGAAAACGGTGTACATGGTACAGAATTAAAAAAATAACGGTGTATAAGGGAACTTAGTATGAGTATTGGGAAGAGACATCTAAAAATAGTATACGAGAAAACCCAGACAGATTAGGATAAAGTGACAGAAGATCCAGATTTAATTCTCTGAAAAAAAATCCATCGATTAAAATTTCTCAAGAAACAACCTCCGAAAACAGTGAACAAGGTTAACAAAAACAACTAATATAATGCTACAGAGATTTTCTAAAATAGTTTTTGCATTGTGCAGAGATAATCATTCCGAAGTTATTTTCATATCGTCCTTTTTCACTTTTCTTACAGGTATACTTTAATGACGACGGCAAAATTCTGGGGTTGGACTTGAAGTTTTACATCAACGCAGGATACACTCGGGATTGCAGCTCTTGTGTAAATAGTCTTAGATTAACTAAATGTGCCTTGTAGAAAAGTAACAAAAATCAGCTTGTTGTTTCATACATCAAGGTTTGTCTATTAAAAGTTTGATCAATTTCAGGCGGTAGATCATCCGTTGAGTGCAAGACAGTTTCTATTTGTTATGTAAATCATCATTCAGTTTGCCCATTTTGATTCCTTTAATTTCAAATTTCAGAAATATATTTACGATTCTCAACATACAAATGGGTTACTTTTGAAGGTATTGAAAGTTGGCATGTGGTACCTAAACGGCTGCTACAACATACAAAACATTAAGTGTCAAGGATACAAATGTAAAACCAATCTACCTTCAAATACGGCCTTCCGAGGCTTCGGAGCACCACAGGTGATGTTTGCTGTAGAGTCCATATTGCAACATGTCGCTACACAACTCAAAATGTCACATGAACAGGTAACATATCACCTGAAAATGTAACTTGAGTATGTGCCATGTTATCTGAACTTGTTATCCAAATCCCACACTAACTTTGCATAACGAGATACATGTGTACTTTAAACTTTTAATAATACTGCATTATCTCGGCACAATACTATAGTACTTTCTAGTTGCCACCAGACCATAAAATACAACATAAAAAGGTCGCATCTAAATATATATAATCATACAGCAAATGTACGCTTTCGAATAAATTGAAGTTATTTTCCGTAGGTGCGGCAGATAAATATCGTAAGACAAGGTGATGTTACCGCCTCACGACAGATCGTGCCAGATGACAACATGTTCCGTTGCTGGACAGAATGTCGAACCGACAGCCAATATGACCAGCGGCGACATGAAATAGTGACATTTAATAGGTGAGAGTGAAAAAAATAGAATTACAATATGTAAAATATAGGAAGTCATATATTGTTGGCGTTATTGACAGTATCAGTAATTTGTACAATCATGTTTAGTAGAAAAGGTTTAACAAGATTTTTAGCAAAGGCGATGCTGAACATTTCATGTACAGACTATATCTATTTGTTGTTTACGTGTAAACATACCATAAATCATACACTTGTGCATCATTGCAGAGATACATCAAAAGCCATAATAATGATAAATCTATGAACGTGAAATCCACCCTTTAATTTCAGTACTAACCGATGGAGAAAGCGAGGTATCGCTATAATACCTATCATGTTTGGTATTGGGTACGCCCCCCTTGTCGCAAACCAGGTGAGCCATCACAGTGTGTAAAGTACAGCCAAGGTCAGGATATGGCATTGTTGTTTACGAAGTAAAATTTAGTTGAAAAATAAGAATATCTCCCGTACTGTAAAACATTATTATCAGTTTTACATGAGAAATTTTAAAAACACTGATTTTTTGTTTGATGGACATGCGTATATGCAACATGCATATAGGAAGGTTCCCTTGCAATTTTTTCTTTCGGCTGAAAGATAAGATATTTATCAAAACCAGATGTCGACTTTGATTGTCTATACTGTAAATGATAATCTCATAATTATTTCATGTTTCAGGCGGGAGCATTAGTATTGGTATACCTTGACGGGTCCGTCTTACTGACCCATGGTGGCGTGGAAATGGGTCAGGGTATTCACACCAAAATGATTCAGGTTTGTACACTTCACGTCTAACCTGACACATTGTAGATATACGTTGGCTGATGTTTTAATGTTAGAGTTCAGTCGATATTTCGTCAACATTTTTATGTTAGTGTATCATTTTCGTTATCAAGGCGAACCTTTTTTTCTAATTTAGGTCGCCTCTACTGAGCTGGACATACCACTGGAAAAGATCATCATCAGTGAAGTCAGCACAGCAACTGTCCCCAACACAACGGAGTCCGGGGGTTCACAGGTGGCCGACCTTAACGCCGGGGCCGTCAGGGTAAATCAAGCGTTTTCTGATCTCATTTTTGACACTGCCTCAAAACTGCTAGACACATACATACTACAATTTCAATATCTTATGAGCGGGATCATTTCCTACCTCCGAAATATACCAATACTTGTTAAAGACTTATATCAATATATAACTGATCTTCAGAACGCATGTATTAAAATCCGAGACCGCCTGGAACCGTTCAGGAAAGTCAAACCAGAAGGTACTTGGGAAGATTGGGTGAGTCTTTGTGGCATTAACTGAGATAAAATATTTTCTTTTAGATATTAATTTGTGTCCTCTTGAATTCAAAACAATCCAAACATGTAGCTATTTTTGATATGATAGACAATGATCCGTTTCAAAACCTGCTATGTTTTTATCTGATTGACTTCTATTTCCCTGTCGGATGTTAGACATATCCTTGTGTGCTGTTAATCCTGAAGACAGAATCATTGTGATCTGATCGTTCTTTGATAGATGGAAAAATGAAAAGAAAAGGATGGAATCAATTGATAATGCTGCTATGGGAAGAAGCTGAATTTAGTATCTGACTACACTGTTTCTTATTGTAAAGGATGCTTGCCAATTTGAGCTTTCCGATGGCTACCATCGATGTTTTATTTTTGTAAAGAAATACCTTGGTGTTAGGCCGTCATAATATGACATGAAATTAAGGTCAGGTCAAAGACCAGTTCTAAACCTAGGATGGGAGGGGCAGCAAATTCATAATTAGTTGACAAAATTACTACATATCTTTCTAATTTTTCTTTGTAATTTAAAAGTAAAGTAAGTAATAAAGGATACATTTTTGACACAAAAAACATATACCTAAATTATACATTTTTGCGAAAGTAAATACTGATGTTGTCACAAAAAACATAATTATGAGGCAAAGTGCACATCACAAGTTTTATACCATGCATGATTTATGTATTTTTCTTTTGTATATTAATGAACAAAATATAGTTCATCTTTGATATAATTAAGCACATAAAAAACTGCCCTGGAATCCTAGACCTACTTTTCGACATTGGACTAGTTGTTTAAATCAGTTTCATCTTTTACGCTTTCAAATCCATACTCCCTAAATATTCATATAAAGAAATAAAATTTATCGGTGATACCAACCAGGAGGTCCAAATTTGCACACATCCTTTATAATGAAAGAGCACGTCGTGTTTTTTGTAAAATGCATTGAAATTTCAGGTAAATGCAGCCTATAATGAGCGTGTTAGTCTCGCAGCTACGGGTATTTTCAAGTAAGTTGTTTGTCTAAATCAAAACAAACAAATGACGCCTATGTTGGTAGCAATATTCATTTTTATGGTTTTTATTTATTATGAAGATTTTCAACAAATAAACAGTTTCTTTACTTTTACACTATTCTCATTTTTTAAGCAAACATACTTATCATATCGGTTTATATATAGTTTAAAATGTGTTCCTATATAGGTCCAGAGAAGAAGGTTTTGATTTTGATACCAACACTGGGGTACACGCTAACTACTATACTTACGGTACAGCCTGTACTGAGGTCGAGATTGACTGTCTCACTGGCGAGCACCAGGTAGATATCAACTACCCTTCAGTTTCCTGTTTTAAAGAACATATCTGACTTTTTGTATACAAATTGAGATTAAAATCCTATAGTTTAATAAACACAAAAATTAGATGTTCTCTGTATTTCTCACTATACTAGGTGCGACGTGTAGACATTGTAATGGACGTCGGAAAGAGTCTTAATCCTGCCATAGATGTAGGCCAGATCGAAGGAGGATTCGTCATGGTAAATCACACTCATCTGGGTGCTATATCTTCATTTATGTCAACATGTACTCACAGCCATTCGCACTTTCTGTCAAACATCTAATGCTGTCGTATTAGTACCATGTAAATACAACATCCCATGAAGATTCCGTTTTCCTTTGAAGTGCTATTTGTTTAAGTGGTTGAGACAAATCTCTGCATTCTAAAGCATTGTGTGAAATTTTCGACAAAAGTCAATGAAGAAATGTATAGGCGATCTTCTTTTTATTTCATTACTTTTTTAAGAGGAGGAATATGGAATAAGGATGACTGTTAAAACACAACTTTTGTACATTGGTAATGATAAAGCGAGTAAAGTTACCTGGGACTTGGTTGATGGATAATCTTGTATTACAATGACTGTATTGACGTAGGGTTACGGGTTGATGACTATGGAAGAGATACAACTTACAGCAGACGGTCGAATGAAAGCGTCTGGGCCACTGGAGTACAAAATACCATGTGTGAGAAATATTCCACGAGAGTTCAATATCAAACTTCTCCAGAATAGTGGAACTGTCAAAACTGTATATTCATCAAAGGTATGTTGGCCATGGTACCAGAATGGAAAACATAGCAAGACTTTTTGATCAAGACGTTGAATCAACATCAAATGACATGAAGCTTCCTCATCCAGATTCTTGTTGTATATACTAATATGTTCCTATCTTCTACAGGGAGTAGGCGAACCACCTCTTCTGCTTGCATCGTCAGTTTTCTTTGCGCTTAAGGAGGCAGTACTTGCGGCGCGCGCGGACGTCGGGTTGACAGACGACTACCCATTGAAGTGTCCGGCAACCACAGAAAGGATCCGAATGGCCTGTCAAGACAAGATTATAGACAGAGTAAGTGTCGATTTACCCTTTACATCTTACAATGAACTCTTCATACATATATTGTAGTAGTGTTGTAAAATTCTCATTTGAAAAATGAAACAAATAACACAATAATAATGTTGCCATCATCTGGATGTAAATGAATGTGTCACAGCTTGTAGCAAATACTTAAAGAGGTACAGAAAATGGTAAAGGGAGGGACCTAATATCATAACTCTTAATTTGTGCCATGAAATTATACTGGTAGGACCCTTCCATTCAAAACTTATGTTGTCTCTTTGTATAATTATTTTTTCATATTGTGTTTTATTGTAGTGCCAGCAAGTCGAAATGAAAGCCAGCAGCAATCCTCTTGTAACTATTTGAAGACGTACCCCTGCCCTCTGGCTTTAAATGGTTTTATGTTTTTTGGGTTTTTTTTGTTTTTGTTTTTAGTTTTTTTTTTACTTTCTTCAATAGTATTAATAACTGCGATAAGCAAGATAAATTATATATAAATTAGAAATCTGATTCTACCAAAACCTAGTCTCCTCTCGGAAGAGACTGGGCGATTAAACATGTAATAGGAATACTTCCAACCCCTTCCCCATTTGTAATGGAAGCTGTCGGGAAACCAAGCGCTATGTACATTTTATGTTTATCCCACTCATATCTATTGTATGTTTTATATCTGTCATATAGATGAACATCCTAATTGTAAAACAAAACACTTGCTTGAGGTCGGTGTGACAATATTTTAAACTTGTATCCTCAGTATAAATAACCCACAATTAAAAATACAATAGAGAGTGTCTGGTAAGTGACGGTAAAGTCACTGAAATTTCCTACCAACAAATTAATGAAAGTTTTTATAAGAAAGTATTTAAATTCAAATTTCTAAGCTCTACAGTTTGGCCCAGATAACTAACCTATAAGGAACATTATACGTAATGAAAGTACCAGAACCGTTCATAGATCAAATTTAGTGATGAAAATGGTAACTGGATAATATAATGCTTGAAAATATGGGGGTCACCGTACATCAAATTGAAGCGACGTCTGTCATTAAGAGGATTTGAACGTTTCTATAGTAGATAAAGGGAGACAAAGTTTTTACATGTGTGCCCTGAAAAGAAGAAGCTGAAAACACCTTAAGTAATGTAAATTCCAAATATTTAAACAGTAAAGAAACAATTTATATTTGGGACTTCAAGTGGTCAATCGTAAATTGTATAAGAAAACATTACCAGTGTGACTAAAAATGTTATGGTGATGCAAAATGATGTAAACATGTGGTCAGTGATAACAATTTGTCTCCACATTTTTTAATGGTCGCAGTCGTCAAAATGGCAAATGTCCGACTTTAGGTCTGAAGAATGCTTCGGATGCATCTCTTTCGTGGAACTACCGACTTTCATCAGCAGACTTGTCAAAACCAAACGATGTTGGCATTCAGTTTGAAAACTCCCTCCAACACATTTACTGAAATCAAAGCAAATATTGTATGATGATTATTAAAAAAAAACTGTTACAACACAGGTATGAAATTTGTCGACACGTCCGTCTGCCCAGTATCATTGGTTATACACGAAGGTCATCATGGCAAATTATTAATAGTCTGTCGTCGAGAAAAAGATAGCAGTGTTTGCGATAGATACATATATCTTTTACCTGCTGTGTGTTTTGTGCTTCCAAAAGTGCAGAAGATTGATAATCTTATTTTATGTACTGTACTTTAAGTACTCGATTGTACGAAAGCCTAGAAAGGTCAAATTTCGAAGGGAAAAAATACAAAATCGCGTTATTACGCGCATAAAAGCGTAATAACGCCTTTCAAAAGTCGTAATTACGCGAATAAAGTCGTAATAACGCCTTTCAAAAGCTTTTGATAGGCGTTATTACGACTTTATTCGCGTAATTACGACTTTTGAAAGGCATTATTACTACTGTTTTCGCGTTATTACGACTTTTGAAAGGCATTATTACTACTGTTTTCGCGTTATTACGACTTTTGAAAGGCATTATTACTACTGTTTTCGCGTTATTACGACTTTTGAAAGGCGTTATTACGCTTCTATTCGCGTAATAACGCGATTTTATATTTTTTCCTTTCGAAATTTGACTTTTCTCGGCTTTCGTACGATTGAATTATGATTGTTCCATGCATTTTTTTTATTAAATGGAATCCTCGATTGTTTCTATGAATTCGGTGTCTTTTTTTCATTATTTATATAGCAAACTTACGTATATGGCTTACCAGAATTGAAGCATGGCCAAGTACGTTCATGTGATATCAATATTCAACTGCAGATACGTGTATATGTGTAAAAACACATTCACGCAGCACGTGAAGGATTTGCTAAAAGCATACTCTAAAGAACACTCATTACTTGAATGACCTCCTCTTTAAGGAAATTCGTGAGATTAACAAACACTTCCATGTTTTATGTGTGACCATTACGTTATCAATTCTATAGTCACTGTACTGCATCTTCTTGTTTTCCATCACTCAAAAATTGACCAAAAGATATATACTTATAATGGTGTGTGTATCATATTTATGGTAATTGTAAAAAAAGATATACTCCTTTGTTACCTGGTGTGAATTTTGTAAATTGACGAGGTATATATTGGTCTGGTTTTTAAAACCATCAACACTCCCAACATTTAAAAGCATCGACACTCCCAACATTCAAAACCATCGACACTCCCAACATTCAAAACCATCGACACTCCCAACATTCAAAACCATCGACACTCCCAACATTCAAAACCATCGACACTCCCAACATTCAAAACCATCGACACTCCCAAAATAGGCTAGTTCCACTTTAGGAGTCTGTGCCGGCATGTTACGGTTCTGTTGCCTTGAGTTTGGCGGCTTCGTCCTGTAGTATTGTCTCTGTTTTATACGTCTGGATTAATTTCGCACGGATGTGTTTTAAGATCCTCTATTGAAATCTGTGTATGAGGAAATCTATGAGGTACTTTCTTAAATTTGTCAAGATTTGTCACGACACCAACTCTCCCAGTAACATCAAATCGTCTTATATAACTGTAATGATGATAAATACATTTATATCATCTTTTTTATTTTTCCTTTTTCCCGTTGGCAAGCTATATTGTACCTATCATGACATATCTTAGATCAATCTTATAGCTGTAGACACCTAGAGCAGGCTAATTTCACAATTTAATGACACGAGAGGTTGACGACTACTAATATACCTGCTCTTTGCGTGATTACAAAAAGTATTTGTGCCAGAATCTCACATATTTAGTAAAGACAATGAATGTCATAAACAGAAAACAGAAATGATTTCAAACCGCAGAGGTTAAATAGATATAAATAGGTATACCGAAGCTGTGAACAAAAATACGTCTTTGACGCTTGTACATATTAACAAGCTATACACCTTCGCAATGAATTCTGATGAAACTTGGCACAACATATCTAAACTTTGTCAATCATCATGAAGAATGCAGTAACTTAATAATGTATTTAGTCCAAATCCGTTTTCCAATTTTTCGGCATCAGTGCATACCTGTAAGACCTTCTGAGGGAAGGATTTAATTCCTTTCTGATGAAAAAATAAGTTCAGGAATCTGTAAGTTGATAGGCACTTGTGTAAGTTCAGAAAAGCTTAATATCTTGTTTATTTTTAGATGTACCAACTTTTAACATGTGAAAAAAGAACTTGACGAAACGTATAATCTTTGTGGCTGTTAGTTCGTGTTAGGCCTCTCTTAGAATTGAAGATTTCTTGTAATCCTTTTGCCTTTTAGTCATAACTAGGTTACATCTGCTCGCCATACCTGTTTAGAACAAGTATATCAGAGTGTTCTTTGTTAGTCAACGAAAAATAACTTTTCACAAGTAGAACACATTAGAACTGTCTTTGTACCTCCGTGACTGAAATTAGCTTTTCATGATGAATTGGCTATAACAAATATGTATATATTTTCAATGTTTGTATTTTTTTCTTCTCTGTGAGAGTACACCTATTGATCTAGACGTGGTGAGTCGGACCATTATGCGCCATTCACAACGTGATATGACATACCTTGGTTAATAAAACTGGACTCAGCAGACAATATCTACGTATCTATTAATGTTACGGCGATATACAAAGTATTACAAGATACTACCAACATATAAGTAGATCTAATATCATAATCCAAACTCAAATTTAAAAACAAACAAGGCAAAATATGAACAAACAAAAAAATATTTAGATAGAGACTCCTGACAAAGCACAAAGATAATGAGATCAAACGATATGACGGCATCTCCTGCTTTATAATTTTTGTCAGCTTGCGTCTCTAGAAAACCTGTGTTGTAAGTTTGTAAATACATAAACATAAAATTCGACCAAGCGTTTGCACAAGAATCTAAACTCTTTCAATAGATAAGAAATTCTAATCCCAGTGGTGGATGCTTATAAGTTTAATATAAGTCTTGATGATGAATGTCAAATATTACGGGGTACGAAACCCAGTCAAAATTGATTTTTTTTTTTTTTTATAAGTTATGGGTTGGAAATGAAACCATTCGTGTTTCATAAAAAAATAAAGGGGAGGGGGGGGGGGGTAAAAAATACCTTGATTAGCGCATGTCGGGTTTTTAATGTGAGAAACGGAAATGTTACTTGTACAGTGTTATAGTGACGTCACCACAGTGTAATTTATACTCTGCAAGCTTTATTAACTGAAACAACACGTGGAATATCATCTGAAAAGAGAATGAAATGTTCGTCAACGAGAGAACAAGATAATGCCCTTTATCTCCTCTCCTGAATTAGGTGCGCCGTCAACACTGATCGCCAGACGGGTACGAAATTAAAAAAAAACCAACGAATTATTATACATACAAGCTTTAACAAAATGAATAAGTCGCACAAGCGAGATAAGAAAATCGTTCGAATGAGTTATAAAAAACGGTACGAGTTTTTGTCTTCATAGTCGTTAGGGTTTTTTGCCTTGATGTTTTTTCGTTAAAACACAACATGAAAATGATATTATGTTAACAATTTTACTTATTCAATTCAATTACCTGCTATTATTTGAGTCCCTGATTTATTTATTTAGTCTCTAGCTTTACAGTGTCCCAATTGCTACTCGTGGGTGTATATATAATACGTCCCTATGATACTGTATCTTCCTTATGGTACATGTATGTTATGTACTGTGTGCATGGAAATCGTTTATGATATGGAAATTGTTTTTTTTTTTTTTAATATGGTTTTAAATACTTTTTATATATAAAAAAAATCATGATCTACTCCGACATTATCATTTTTACCTTCATAATTTGAATAACTATCCCAATTTGAAGTATTACTTACAAATTCCGGTCCGGATTTTGTCAGACTGTTTTTATATTAGTGTGAATCTAAATTGACCTTTGACCCTTTATGGCATGATACTTCGGCCGGGTTTGTAACTCTTCAGTGTTTAACTAGCGACATGGCAGAAAAACAGCGACTAAATGTAATCAAACGACACATCAAATCCGACACACGTGCACCTGCTCGGACAGACGAGACGCAGTTGTTCTGCGCAGACTGCAGTTCCTCAGATGACGCCAAAATTACGTTCCAGTCGGAGGCACCGACTATTCCGAAACGCCGGTAACGTGTTCAGGTGTTCGCTTCTCCATTGATGAGATATTGAAAGTGATTGACATAATCTGACAACAACGATAATATTTACTGTCCGTTCAAGCTTCATCTTTCGCGATTTTTATAACTTTTTATTTAAAATAGTTTTAAAGCACTTGCACTCAAATCTGGTTTGAAATTGATGGTTTATAGTCGATAAGGATTTTTGTTTGCGTAACACAAGATTAATATATAACTATAAGCAAGGATACTGTACTTATTTGTGATAATTATAAATATATATATATACTGTATTTACAGTTAGCTTCTTCTGTCAGATCACTGACTCTTTCCTCCAATTTTGTATATGAATTGGGCCTAAGTGATACAAATTGCCACGTATATATTTGCATTGACATCAAGAACTAAAACGATTATTGATGCTTGATTGAACATATTGCCTGTCCACCTTATTGTTACATATTTATGCTATAAAAAGGCCATGCTGAAAACTTTTTAATCAGTATTCTGGTCGAAGCTGATGCTACTCTAATTCCAATACCCTGTACCATGTAAGGGATATAAACAAAGACATACTTTTGAAAGAACCGAAAGTACCCGACATTTTTAATAACCTTTTATGTAAATGTCGTAAAACATATTGCGTCAAACAGCCACACTCTCGATGATAAGTACTTGAGTCTACAGGGAACAAACAACCAGATAGACACTTCATATTAAAGACTTCAACCTGTAGATGAATATTTCATAAACAAAAAGTAGGTAAGACAGCAGGAAAAGAAAAAAAAGATACCTTTTCTAATAGGTAACAACAATAAGTATATTCAAATCAAAAGGAAAATCTCTAAAGGTTCAAATGAATTTCAATACACATGTATCTAACCTAAGCAGAAAAAGCATCCAAACAACTTTACACACTTAAACATATAGGAAAACTCCGATACAGCAGACTAGGCAAACTCATTGTATATCATTCATTTATTCTTTTAAATTTGAATTTCTGCCCTCATACTTGGCACTTTCATGATAAAACAAATACACATTAAAAAAGATTGAAAATAGATCACGAAAGTGCACCAAAATTTATTCATATTGAACATAAAGATATAGGTGAAAATTTACTACCTCATAAAAAATGATCGTCATGCAAAATCGGGCAACTCAGAAAGTTTGCTATAGAAGTATTCATCATCACCAATAAACATACATAACATACCTACATGATCTTATGAACATCATAGAAAGTAAGCATAGGTAATATTTTGGCCATTTTATGGAATCTGTAATTATAGTCTTTTTAGGACATGGTTATGAAACTTATTCTGAGGGTATTTCATGTGCATGATCAATAGTCTAGAGAATTACTGAGAACAAATTTATATAAATATTTCTCTAACATCCAATTTCAGTAAGTATTACAACTGATCTCTGTTTTTGTTCACGATATGTTACAGACAAGAACTATTGAAGTGGAATGGTTGGGGCTACAAAGATTCAAAGTTCAACCTTAACAAGGACGGTCAAGTAGAGTTTAGTGGAGAAAGGTAATTCCATTATTTAAGTCATTATGTAACTTAAATGAAACAATATAGACATGATGTTCTAAGCTGATTGACTTGTATATGTGGTGTACCTTTGATGCTTTGATGATAAACAATTCCATTTATATAAATAATAAGCATGTACAATGAAGTATGTCAACAAACCAAATGATGCTCTGGTCTTGTGTTTAACCTTTGAATTGTCTATGCATTTTATTGCTATAAAAGAAAGATTACCAGTCTTAATTTCTGTAGAGGCAAGATGACAAAGTTGTTGCACTTGATAAGTAATATCTATGCTTAGTGAAATGGTTTGTTACCTAGCTGTTTTCTTATATCATAAAAGATACAGAAAACTGAAAAATAAAACGTTCATTCATATGATTATAAGTGGTGTACAGACCACTCTTGTATACTACAAATGAAGGAACAATCACATCTTAAGTCAGTGTTTACACAATGTATGATACTGTTATACCTGTCATGTCTGGGTGGTCAATATTTACTTATGTTATTGCTAGGTATCGACTTAGTGGACAGGTAATGCCACAGCTGCGAGATTGGATGATGGCCACAGTTGGCATCAGTCTGGACCATAAAACACCAGCTCAGGTAATTATAAGTTACAGACAGGACATGTATGTTCAAGTTCAAGTAGTCACATGCAGAGCAACTTCTCAGATACATCATCTGTAGGACAACTGCTCAGGTACATCATATGTAGGGTTACTGCTAAGATATATCAAATTCATGGTAACTGCTCAGATATATCACATACAGGGTAACTGTTTAGGATTATCACCTGTATGACAACTGCACAGGTGCATCACCTGTAAGACAACTGCTCAGCTACACTACCTGTAAGGAAGACAGATGTATCATAGATTACTTTTACAAGATGTATACCATTCACTAGCATTGTTTGAAAAATGAGTAGTAATTGAGGTATGTTGTCCAAAAAGAATGTGAATTTTTTTATTTTTTGTTTTTTGGTTTTTTTTTTACATATTATGATTCATTTTTACTTTTATATGATTATTGTTAGTTGATTTACGTGTATAAACGTAAATGTCAGTAATGGCAAATTTTGTTGGTGATTGCAGCCAGAACTTACAGCAAAAGACATTCCAGCACCAGTAAGGAATGAAGAGTTCATATCAGATCTTCGTAAGAAAGGAATAGCCTTCACAGATGACTGTCAGGACCGACTTTTCCGAGCTCATGGTAAATATGTTATATATCTATTCATGCCTTTTTTGTAAACTATAGTTGTTCATATACATATCAGTGAGGAGTACAAGATTATTTGCTTGAATATGGCAGAGATCAATCTACAATTTGATATTTATTACTTTTTTTTCAACTTTATTGCTAAAATCAGTGTTTCCCACAATGTAAAATTAAAATATTTTCAGAAATATTATGAGTCCCATCAGAATTCTATCACATGCAGGTTTATCACTGATATGGTAGCCATCTTTTTAAGATCAACAATGGAATGCTTTTGTCCCTTAAGACTGTAGTCCATTTGTTACGAAGAATTGAAACTTCCATGTTATTTTCTCAGAAGGGAGATAATCAAAACTTGTGGCTTATGGCAATTTGAAATATTTTTCATAAATAGAAGACCAAACCATCTTAGATTTTTAAAAAATTCCAAACATACCAATGCAATTAAAACAAGAGCTAATAATGTTTACTTACGCAAAATTGAAGTCCAGAGGTATCAAAATTTTGAATTTAAATGCTTGTCTGGTTAACCAAACACTTATAGCAATGTTGTCCACACATGATTTCATGATAAATCAAATGTTATCCAGATTCTGAATATAGCATACTTTTCTCAAAAAAAAAAAAAGAAACCAATTATCAATAAAAATATTTCTTACCAGTAAGTAAAAGAAAATTACATCAAGTTCTAAGAGCTGTAGTAATCCTTCATGCAAAACTCTAAATGATTTGACTCACTCTTAAATCATGTGTGGGTCACAGTCAAACCAGGCTTATGTCCAAGCCAAGGATCAGAATATATACATTGATATTTAAGATGCTATTTGATCTGTTTCAATAGTATGAAAATTGCAGCATTATGTAGTACTCTGTATCAGTATACTACCTGCATTATTGAAAATTTATCATGATGGTTTAAAGTGTTATATTCTAATGTACAGTTACTATGTGTATGTTTTCCAGCTCTGATCAATGTTTATAATCTCCAGACCACATAATATAACAGTATTTTGTCACTCATGTCATACCTTTTTAACCAAATGTGTAAACTGATTCTTTGCAGGTCATACATTACATGAAGTGTTTGTCCTTCGGGAAGGTACATTCAAACGCATTCCAGACCTTGTTGTGTGGCCTAGTAAGTAGACTGTATATCAAATAAAATATGTTTATTTTATTCTTGTACAGGAAGTTGTGATGATTTCAAAGTTTTATAGCCTGTAACTGAAGACTGGCACTATGTAATTTATTATTATATTTTATTTGTCTTCCTGTCACAAGCATGCTGAAGTGATTAATATGATTTTCCTCAATATTTTTTCTCAAATTTCAAATCATACACTAAGCCCATACTATTGAAAGCTATCATGAAATATAGAAATTATTGAAAATTTAAGGTATCTGTCAAGGTTTCCACTTAGGGTGTATCTTTTAAGGACAGTAATATCTAACTCTTACATTTTCTGTGTAGGTTCCCACAATGACTGTGTGAAAATCGTAAACTTGGCCTGTCAGCATAATGTTGTGTTGATCCCATTTGGTGGTAAGTTACTGGTTTATTATTACACATCAGAAAATTTTTTACTATTTTTAAAAAACTGATATTGTGACTTTTTTATATATCAAAACAGATATATTATTGTTTCACTGAGTTTTTCAATAAGGAGGAGTAAGTTTACAATTTTGATGGAAATTGCAGCATATTTCGATATCATTGATTCCATTGTATTCTTTTTTAGTTTTATATCATATTCTTATACATGTAAAGAACTGAGAAGTTAGCATGTTTTAGAAGTGCATGGCTTTTAACCAGAGTTCATGTTATCACACATACAGACACATAAAAGACATAGAGATGATGATATACACAGTGTATTACAGACTCTCATCACGTCATGCTTTTTCTGTATATGTATAAAAGTATGTATGAAAAAAAATCTATCACAACTTTTGAATTGTGGTTTGACTTCAAGGAGGCACCACTGTTTCTGGAGCTGTAGAATGTCCAGAGGGAGAGACTAGGATGATTGTGTCCTTGGATACCTCACAGATGGTAGGTTCACGTTGATAGTCAATCATAACAACAATTTACCTATATATCCTAGGGAATTATTATATTTCTTCTCTTACTGCAAGTATACCTCATACTAAGTCATAAGTATTACATGTACCTCCTTAAAGGACAATTAGTCTTCAAATCTCAACACTTCTCCTTTGTTGAACTGACACACGTTTTTTTTTTTTTTTTTTGTCTTAAGAATTTTTTTCTCTCTTTAATTTTTAATGTTTTAACTATTTTATCATTGATTTTTGTTATAGAACAAAATTTTGTGGGTTGATGAGAAGAACCTGATAGCCAAATGTGAGGCTGGCATCATTGGTCAGGACCTGGAACGTCGTGTAAGTCAACATTTGATTAACATTATCATAAAAAAATTCTTTCTTGATACAGTTAGCACACTTGGCCCATAGGGTCCAATAATTATAGGCTTTGCAGGGGCAACTTTAATCATTATCTGTCAATTTTTTTCTTTAAACAACTTCTTCTTTAAACAACTTCTTCTTTAGAACAATTTATTGTTATAGGATGATTTCACAAGTTCTGTAACATCCTTGTATGAATGTAGCTAGAAAATGTTTTGGGTCATAACACATATAGTAAAAACGTTCTTAGCAACATCTGATGACACACCAAAGACCTAAGATCATGGTATTTAATCATTAATTTTCTCGCAATGAATAAGTAAGTGTGTGTGAAAGGTCAAAAGGTTGGATTGCTCCAATAATTTTAGACATCAAAGTCGTGATATCTTTGTGAACTTCCTGTTATAAATTTCAAAATTGTTCAGGACATTTAATTTTGATCGATTTTAATGGCCAGTTACCATATACTGGTATGTAGAAAATCATATTAGCTTTGCATGCAGGTTCATTTTTTTTTAAGGCAAAATGGTAATTTTCCATAGTTCAGGGAATCCTTTAATAACTAGTTGATATTGTTTGACTGTGTACCTGTATATATACTAACATTGTGACATTGCTGCATTTCATATAAATAGTCAATATCAACTTTTCTACTAGCATTAGTAAGCTATCTTTAATGATTATCAAGTTACTGTTCTATAATAGATCTGTTTGTTTTGTTGACTTGTAGTTAGCCGAGAAAGGGTTCTGTACAGGTCATGAACCAGATTCCATGGAGTTCAGCTCCCTTGGGGGCTGGGTAGCCACTCGAGCTTCTGGCATGAAGAAGAACATTTATGGAAACATAGAGGACTTAGTAAGTATCCCAAATCTCCTGTGTATAGTTATGGACATTTCAAATACTATGTAGAGATGTAGTATAATTATAGAAACAGACATTTCCAAATACTATGTGGAGATGTAGTCTAGTTATAGAAACAGACATTTCCAAATACTATGTAGAGATGTAGTATAATTATAGAAACAGACATTTCCAAATACTATGTAGAGATGTAGTATAATTATAGAAACAGACATTTCCGAAAACTGTATTTTATGATATTTTATCAGAATGTAAATGGTTCATCCTGATATTAATGTGGATTGAATTCACCAATGCTTTGATGACTCAATTTGAGACACCTACTTCAATCTTTATCAACCAACTATCAATAATCATAGACATCATCTATGCACTGGTTTGGGTTGACAGGTTGTACACATCAAGTTTGTGACTCCTAAGGGTGTCATGGAGAAAAGTTGTCAGGTGCCTCGTATATCATCAGGTTTGGACATCCATCACTTCATAATGGGATCAGAAGGTGAGGATGAAGTTCTTATATGGTACAAACAGAAATAATTGATATGGGATAAAGACAGATATGATAGGTGTTGTGATGGGGACAACAAATTGTATTTGGTCTATTCTATATTCCTTAAAACTTTTTATTGAAAAAGATAACTCTTTGGCTGAATTATATATATATTATTAGTGAGCTGTGATATATAGGTGGTCCTTCAGTTTGAAAAAATTAATTATATTTTGATCATCAAATTTTGAATGTTTTTAGAAATTAAATCTGGATATAACACATGAATTAATTAATATCTTTGTTATCTTTCATACCCCAGTGTTGACAGCTATTACTTACGATGTACCTCAAAATCTGTAATTTTGCTACCTTAGTTGTTTTTGTGTTCTGTTACACAGGTACTCTAGGTTTAGTAACAGAGGTAGCTATCAAAGTGCGACCACTTCCAGACTGTAAAAAGTATGGGTCTATCGTGTTTCCAGAGTTTGAGAATGGAGTCGCATGTCTAAGAGAGGTCGCTAAACAGGTAGTGTACTACATAGTCATGTGTTACAGTACTACCAGAAGAAATGATAAAATCATTTCTATTTTTTCATATAAATTCTATAAAGACTAACAGTATAATTGGGGATACATTGTATTTTATATACGAAGTTTTTAAGGTGATTTTAAGGTAATCAAATAGTAGTTTAAGAGTCTTGATTATAACGACATTGTTTATTTTCTACACAGAGATGTGCCCCAGCCTCTATCAGACTCATGGACAATCAACAGTTCCAGTTTGGTTTGTGACTTGTATAAATTCTTCTTCTTTCTCAGTTTAAATGTCATTTATTTTCCCCTGATTTTGAAAACATATGAACTCTTTATACTTTCTTTCACGTCCAAACTGCAGTGTGATGTATAACAAATAAAGGGTTTTATCATAGCTTATCTATACTGATTTTACAATCATGAATAAATGTGGGATTTTTTTATAACCAAATGATTTGATGGAAACTAATTCATATGTTGACTGCCATTCAAAAGTATTCTCGTTACCATAGGCTCTGCACTCAAGCCCGAGAGTGGATCGATGCTGACAAGCTTTGTCGATGGAATCAAGAAATTTTACATTACTAAGCTGAAAGGATTTGATCCAAAGAAACTCAGTGTGGCCACTCTATTGTTTGAAGGTACCCAGCAGGTATGGTTAAAATAATGTTGATTTACTTTTAAAATCATTGATCAGCATATTAATTGCCAGTTCTGTCAAGCGGAAACTCTGTGCTTTAGACAGGAAGGTAGATAAGAATCCAGATAATTACTTCAGTGAACAAGATTTCTCAGACTCTGTGATATTAGATGCTGCTTTCATTTTTTTTTTCTACAATTGTATAAAGAATGGATATGAAGCTGATTATGTATGTTCGGTATTGTTGTATCTTTGCAGGAAGTGGCTGCACAAGAAAAGAAAGTCTATGAAATTGCTTCAAAATTTGGGTAAGTTTCATTTAGACACAATTTCATAGCATTTAAGAAAATTCTGCCAGTAAGCCACTCTGCATATCAAGATATAACATATATATGACACTGTGATTTCATAGTTAACTTTCAGAGACCTTTACTAAAAAAAAAATAGTGGAGTTTTAAATGGTTCACTATTTCAGTGAAATGACAGCAGATTTTCAAAATTCTATATTTCATAATACATTTCTTTCTATTCAAACCTCTGCAAGTACCACTGATTACAAGAAAAAACATGTACTTGTGATATAACCCTATGTTTATTGTCCATAAATACAGAATGTCGCCAAATAGAAGTGTTATGAGTCATATTCATCGGTTCCTATCTGAATATTCAATTTGACAAGTTTAGATCCGGTTAAGCATTTAGTTCTCCTATAGTTAAACATTGAGTTCTCTATAAAGGTTCCTGTAATAACATATACACCGGGGTAAGGGAAACCTTTCTTTTTGTATCACTTATGTACATACACTGTAAAACATCAGTTTTATAGTAAACAGCATGAGTCATTCCAGTCAATGGGATTTTCCAATTATTTTTAACATTAATATCCTTGACAAAAAATATCTAGAATAGAGGAATGAACTTTAATTGTGAATTACAATTGCTATGTTTCAGAGGTCTAGCAGCAGGAGCAGACAATGGAGAGCGTGGCTATATGTTGACATTTGTGATAGCGTACCTCAGAGTAAGAATACAATTCATTAATAACAACATTCTTTTTTTCACTTTTTGTAAAGTTACAGCTGTTTTGCTTTTTGATTTTTTCAGCAACTACTACATATTTAAGGGGTTATGTGACAATCAGTAATTAGAAGGTGACCTTATATAATTCAAATAAGAGAAACGTTTGGTGTATCGTATATATAAATTTTAAAACGCAATATTAACATGTCAACTAAAAAATTGGTGATTGTGATTTGAAATTTTAGTTGCCATGTTATATTCTGTTGTATATATATATATATATATATATATATATACAGGTCATTAAAGTAGTGCATACACTTGTTAAAGGCTGTTGTTAAGATTGAAGTGAGATCATGACCTTGGTTTAAAAAGATAAACCTTCATCACTTTACATGACGTATATGAAAGTGCCACAAAAAAAAAACAATTAAATAATGCTGCCTAAAACATCAAATTCAAACCTGAAATTGATTGTGAAATATAGAAAAGGGAAAGATTTACATGGAGTCCTATGAAGCTGTATAGGAAAACTTGTTCAAAGAATGCCCTCAGCTATATTGTCAACTCCTGACATGTAAATCTAGGTTCATCCAAGTATTTATATCCAAAAGGTGACAAAGCAACCTTCAGGCATTTTAGTCAGCATCATACATATTTCAAATTTATATTTTCATTGCTCAAGGAACACTGTTTGAACAAAATTGAATTAGAAAGACAGCAATATAAAACAACTTTTATTGCCTATAGATCTTCTATTTGCTTTTTCCCTGCTCCGTATTGTATTAGTGTTAGATGTTGGTGATGTTGATACAAACATTTTATTAACTTTAAAGTTTACTTTTAGTGTGTTTTGTTACATTTTTGTTTTGGCATTGAACATTGCCTTATACACTAAGGCAGCTCTGATGAAGATATCTTACAACTACATAATTTCCACAAATACTATGAGAATACCTGCTTTGTTTCAGGACCTAGGGTTTGAGTACTACATTGTTGCAGAATCGTTTGAAACATCAGTTCCATGGGACAGGTTTGTTGTTTTATTGGTTACATATTGATAAAAAGGAAATAAGAGTAATGCCCTTGTGGTACTGATGTTAATGCTAAAGATTTTTTATTACATTGATTGACATCTCTCTATAAATTATAGGTTACTGATACTGCTTTGACGTAAACTTTGTATCTGATTTTTCCTACTGTGATCAAAATGTATAATAACATGTAAATTGATATTGTAGATGTTTGGACCTGTGCAACAATGTTAAGGATCGACTAGAAAGAGAATGTAAAAAGCGAGCAATCCAGTTTCCTCCATATATCACCTGTCGAGTCACACAGACGTATGATGCTGGAGCCTGCGTCTACTTTTACTTCGGTTTTAATTACCGAGGTCTCTCTAACCCCGTACAGATATATGAAGATATTGAGGTAGGCATTGATTGTGTAATTAACATCTTAAATCAATATTTCTCTAAGTCAGATGATAAAATAAATTCAGCTATAAGAAACTACTGAAAAGATACTTCAGAAAATGACAATGTATACGGACAAAGTTGAAATCCTTCATTGTGTTTACAGAACTGTGCTAGAGAAGAAATCCTTGCCAATGGTGGAAGCATATCTCATCACCATGGAGGTATGTCAGAAGTATATGTTGCAGTAGTAAGGATTATGTATGGGGTGGTGGGAGGGGGGGAATAAAAAAAAATCTTGTAATAAAATTAGTTGTCACGGATTGTAACACTTTGGGAGGGGGTTAGTGGGGGTGATGTATGATTTAAATTTGTTACCATAGAAATGTGACAAATCGAAATGTGGTTTCTTGGCTAAGGGTTTTGGCAATGTTGAAATTTATTTCATAACTTGTTGTCATCAAGGAAATGTGACAGTTGTAGGCATAACACCTAAGAGTTGACTTACTGGTAAAGGTCAGGATAAGACATTTCCCTAATCTTAATATTTTTTTTATCATCCTTCTCATAGAAAACAGTATTTGGGGCTCCCTTGAGCAGAATGCCTGATACACGACCCTTGTGATATTGGCTGTTAAGAATAGGAAATTCAGAAATATAACTTACTGTATAAGATTTTAACACCATATTCTCAAACATTAATTTATGGGATACAATATTAAATATTAGTTGTTTGTTTTATGCAAGTTTCAGCAGACTGTGTAAAGTGAGAAAGAAATTTTGAGGATATCATCACGATAATGCAGATGCTTTTTTTTTTTTTTTATCAAATGAATCACAACTATTGTCAACTCTTCTGCTGAAAATGTTATTTTTGTTCCATGCAACACATTATTAATTGTCTCAGTGAGGTTGGATATCTTGTGTATGTCATCATACTTAGAAGAAAGCTCTCCCTGTACAGACAGTTTGTGCTTTGTTTCTTTGAAGATATTAAAGCTCGGTTCCTGTTTCTATTTTAGTCGGAAAGTTGCGGAAACGCTACCTGAAGCAGACAGTTGGGGAGATAGGCCTCGGGACAATGCGTGCTGTCAAGAATTTCATTGATCCGGACAATATCTTTGGTAGTAACAACCTGATGGTTGGAGAACCCAAGTTATAGAATACTGGTTTTATTAGGACATGGTACAATAAAGCATTTTTTTGGAACATTCAGCAAAATCAATAGAATAATATGATGTCACTTTGTCATCCCAATGAACATCATTCTGGCATCCCAATCGATGGTTTTTGTAAAGCCGGTAACTTTCAGGAGGAATTGTGGTACAGAACATCTTGTTATCAAATGCATTTCATTTCAGTTTTTCTGTAGAACATGTCATGTTGTGATAGAAATACAATTGTAATTTTACCTTTTTATTGAGAAATAATACACTCTATTTTCAGAGGAAGTTAATTGAACAAGATATGACAAGCACTGTGAGGCATATATTTATATATATATACACAGTAGCAATAATAGATTTGTTGTGAACTGATCAAAAATATTATGACAAAAATTATAAGGGGTTATAAAAATCACCTTAGTTATTGTTATTAACCAAAATTAGGAATATCATGTTTCACTCTGCCTGGTTTGACTGCTTGCAGATCCAAACCAAGGTTTTGTCTTTATTTTGTACAGAAAAAATGCTCGTAAATTAAGGAAGAAGAAAAAATGGAGTGCGAAACATTTGTGCTACGAAGCTTGTCACTTTGTCCTATAAATGGAACTCAAAGTTTTATTGTCTGTTAAGTTGATCCATGAAGAATTGGAATCGGTTTTCATTCAATACATTCTGTAAAATCTATTGATATCACATATATCTATAACTACTGATCAAAGTTCAACAAGGATAATCAATGACCATTCAGACTATAAATTTTGATTATTAATATAAGAAGCGAATGTGATTTTTTTTTTGAGTGAGTAGTCCGTTCACTGGTAGGAATTTTTCCCATTTCCCATACCCTCAACTATTTAAGTTTCATCCAGAAAATATAAATATATGTGACATGAGATAAATCAGTAGCTTCTTCACTAGGTCATTAAAGAGGATAGTACCTATAAGAATGCCCTTGAATTCTAGACCAATAGCATTTGTTTACGCTCTGATAATTGCCATTTAATTGATCATTGGGCAAGTAATTAAACAATTGATTTAACAGCATCACACAGTTTTGTGCAATATTGTTTAATCAAATAATGTTTTTAGTGAGACATTTATTTAAGTCCAGTGTTTAATACTGCAGAACTGTTAGTTACTTATACATATGTAGGTAGTACAGTAACCATGCATGATCAGGACTTATGTATTATCAACCAAGTCTAATATCATTAAAAATTGGGGTTAATTGGTAAGAATTGAACCAACCAATCCTTATATCATTAAAAATTAGGGTTAATTGGTAAGAATTGAACCAACCAATCCTTATATCATTAAAAATTAGGGTTAATTGGTAAGAATTGAACCAACCAAGCCTAATATCATTAAAAATTAGGGTTAATTGGTAAGAATTGAACCAACCAAGTCTAATATCATTAAAAATTGGGGTTAATTGGTAAGAATTGAACCAACCAAGTCTAATATCATTAAAAATTAGGGTTAATTGGTAAGAATTGAACCAACCAAGTCTAATATCATTAAAAATTGGGGTTAATTGGTAAGAATTGAACCAACCAATCCTTATATCATTAAAAATTAGGGTTAATTGGTAAGAATTGAACCAACCAATCCTTATATCATTAAAAATTAGGGTTAATTGGTAAGAATTGAACCACCCAAGCCTAATATCATTAAAAATTAGGGTTAATTGGTAAGAATTGAACCACCCAATCCTAATATCATTAAAAATTAGGGTTAATTGGTAAGAATTGAACCAACCAAGCCTAATATCATTAAAAATTAGGGTTAATTGGTAAGAATTGAACCACCCAATCCTTATATCATTAAAAATTAGGGTTAATTGGCAAGAATTGAACCACCCAAGCCTAATATCATTAAAAATTAGGGTTAATTGGTAAGAATTGAACCACCCAATCCTTATATCATTAAAAATTAGGGTTAACTGGTAAGAATTGAACCAACCAAGCCTAATATCATTAAAAATTAGGGTTAATTGGTAAGAATTTAACAAGAATTCTGTAATGTCTGAAATAAAGTTTAAACATAAACTGACGAGGTATAAGACATTAAAGTTGCCTCGAGTGGGTAGTTATATATTGGTTTATTTTTGAAGTAAATATTTTTATTTTCTAAGTAGTAGCATGTCCTGGTATTGTGGTAATTCACATGTATATATGATTAAATTATTTCTCAATGGCGTTGTTATATGTACCTTTTAATTATGTAATTTAAATTATTTAGACAGTTAATTTGTTGCCATAAAGTACAAGTGGAAACATTCCCTGGAATGATGTATTATCATATATTGCATAATATGATTATAATAACAATAAGTTAACCTACCAGGAAAATATACATGTATGTTTCAGTTTCACAAAACATGTACATTTAGATTATACTAGGATGTATTTTAATCATGGAGGACTGTAATTCATTGCTATCGATGTATTTCATTTTGAAAAGAATTTTGTCTTAAAAACCAGCCACTGCTAGCAAACCAGTCACCACTGTTGCAATTGTCAGCTGTTAATCTTGAAATCTAGTTTTGCTGTTGCAAATGTTGGCTGCTAGACTTGATAACCAGTCACCACTATTGCGATTGTCGGCTTTAAGTCTTAAAATCCAGTCAATGCTGTTGCAATGGTCGACTAACAGCCACTGTTGTTACCATTGTCAGCTGCTAGTCTTGAAAACAGCCACTGCTGATGCAATTGTAGACTTTAAGTCTTGAAAACCAGCATAGGCTGTTGAGATTGTCAGCTGTTAGACTAGGAAACCAGCCATCACAAATTGTTGCGACTTTCGACTGCTAGTGTTGAAAACAGCCACTGTTGTTGAGATTGACAGTCTTTAGTCTTAAAACCAAGCAACCAGTGTTGTGTTTGTCAGTTGTTAGTCAGTGGTGTGGAAATCACTTTCTTTTATTATTTGTCTCTGATGAAAGATAAAATGATGAACCAACATAGCTCTCAAGCTAGATCGGGATAACTTACAAGATATATCAACCATTTTTCAATTTTATGTGGTTGATGAAAAAAATTTAAGACAAGCTTTGTAAGAAAACAATTTCACTTCTTCAGTCCTAAGCCAAGATCAATATATAAAAATGTTTTGTCGTACAAATATGCTCAATCAATGACAAAACAATCATCCATTGATATCGTTGCTGTCAGATAATGAAACAATTTCAATTTTGTGACCAAGAAAGATGGTAATGGTAGGTGCTATTCATTTGTGCGTCTTTAGTACAAACTTCCTTATATGGCAGAACCGTGTGTCTTTAGTACAATCTTCCTTATATGGCAGAACCGTGTGTCTTTAGTACAATCTGCCTAATATGGCAGAACCTAAGTCACTCCTGGTACATTTGTGATACCTCATTTCCCTATCACAACCACAACACTGGAGGCATTGAAATTACTGATGTTATGTGCAATGCTTGATAGACAAGGTCTTTGTCTTAATAGAACTGTACTTGTTGTGATATGCAGTAGAAGGATAGGTTACTGTCAAGGTACGTCACCCGTATGTCGTTATGTGTGAAAGGTGATTGAGGGAATGGAGAATACTAGTTCCAGTGTGTTGTTTATGGCAAGTTGTGCCTTCCAATTAGTTGGAAGTTATGCACGGGTGTCTCTAAAAAGAAGTTTTCTCCTCGTTCCTGTCTATTCCATGCAGAATCTTGTTGTGACATAATTCATGTAGGACATGTTACTGAATGTTTGTATTTTGTGATTATTTGACAAAACACTAAATAATTAGATGTGTATTAATGATGCGTAATTTTGATCTTTCATTCTTGGAATTGTCTTAATCAAGTTATGTTGTTGATTGTCATTGATTTTTATGAGATGGTTGCCATATGTGTGTACATCAGGAATGTCACCATAAGCATCGCATTTTCACATACTTTTTGCGTATTTACTAAGCTTATTTTGCATTTTGTTGCACAGTTTCCTCATATATCAACAAGGTATTGTTGAAGAATTATTAAACACATGTATATCATTCTTTTCTTTCTATGAGATATTTCAATTATCGTTGTCGTGCAACATACTCCTGCCTAAGAATGAATCAGCTGAAAGTACCTATATGGCAGGGAATCAGTTCCCTTTGTTTTAAGACAGTATCAATGGGTATAAGTTTATTTCATTCAGTCACATTTTTCCCATACCATTAACATCAGTATAAAGAATTCAATACTTCTAGTCACTTTCCATGACAATAAATTTGAAATGAACAGCAAGCTTACATTTGAATATACAGATTCACATTTCCTTGTTTGGAAAATGGTAAAGAAGGTGTCTTGGTAAGATACAGGCAATACGTCTCGCAATGAAGCAACTGAACCATGATTAGGCTCTAGTACACGATATGGGAAATGATAATGTTAATTATATTTTTAATTTAGTTACAAATTAGTACATTGTTTAGAGTACTAGGTAAGCAATGTTATCCAAGTAGGGAATAAAACGTTCGATGCTATGAAGTGTATTTACAATTTATATTGTACAATTTTAGCTTTAACATCGACTGGCTAAAGTTTCAAGTGTTGCCTTGGTTTAGGTATAACCAGCAGCTTATCATTTAGAATTGCGTTAAAGGCACGATAAAGGTTACGAAAAAATCCACATACTTTCTTGACTCAAATGATATGACCAGTGATATCTATATATGATATATGTAGCACAGTGTTTACTTGTTTTTGGTAGTTTTGATGTATATCCTAATAATGACGATGATTTTTAAGTAATTTAAGACAAAGTCTCAGGGTGACCAAATGCATTACCCTTGTCCAGTGTTGTGTGTTGTGTAAACATTTAACATTTTCTACTTCTTCTGGAAAACTCCTGAACAGATTTCAATAAATTTTACAAAAACCTTCCAAGGCTAAAAGTTTACCAAAATTGTAAATTATATGGTCCCCAACACTCTGAGGTCAAAAAGGGTCAAATTAATTGAAATTTAAAAAACATTCTTCTCAAATCCCAGGTATGGTAAAATCAAATACTCCTTATGGATAGAAAGAATTTCAGAGGCTTAACCAAAATTCTTATGTTCCATGACCTCAGGGTCTCACATTTCCTCCTGGGGAGCGAGCAAAGTTTACTATAGCTTATAAAGCAAAATTACATTTTTGAGCATAATTTGTTTATTTTCTGTTAGAAATAGTTCAAGCTTGGTTAGAATTATCAGTATAAGCTGTCAGTTTATTGAAATGCACATACTGACCTCTGCTGACCCCAGGGGACTTATGGCTGAGGCCAAAAATGACTCAAATTGACAATTTCTAAGATGTTCTACTGTATATAAAAGGAAGATTTTATATATAAAAATTCAATTTTTGGGTTTAATTTCTTTTAATTCAAACTTAGTTAGAAGCCTTTACATCAGACAGCAGTTAATGTTATGCACGGTTTACATTTGCACAACGTGTACAATGTAGTTGAGTTACCTTACTTACAAAATCATTTCTATGACATGTTACAGAAAGCATTGTAACTCAGGTGAACAATAAGGCCCTGGAGTTTTTTGTTAACTATGTTACATAAACTTAGTTTGTGGTTACCTTTACTTTAAACTATGAATTTTGTAACTACTACAATCAATCTATATATATATTGTCTTGAAATCCATTTTTTCCTAGTAGTGGTATGGTTTATTTATGTTTGCTTTCATAACCACTTACCTTGATGATTTAGTTCGGGCATGGAACAAAAAGTGTGATCTAGGTGTTTAGAAATTAGATTTTATTTACTTTTTACTTTCATTTTTTTTATTTTAGAAAAAAAACTGAATTCGTAGCATACTGCACAAGGTTTTATTAGTTAAACTTTAGCCTAATGACTGTCCTACTAGCTTACTGTCTGTATACAAGTGCTAACTGACAGATAGGACAAGATTGTGGCATAAAGTACTCTTTATTTTTCAATATCCTGAATGTATACATTATGTATACCTTATTTTCAGTCAGAAAAATGCAATGATAAAATGTATACCTTAAAATAGTATGAAGTAGTGTGAAATAGTATGAAATCATCATTGATTTGAAATATTCAGTACTCCTATCACTAAGAAATGTGTGTATGTCCTCTCCGATACGAATGCATTTTTTTCTTCAGGAAAGTGTGTAGCAGACATTTTGACTTTTTTTTTTTTTTACATCTATTACCTATTAGTAGATTCGTTTTCCAACAGATTTATAATTAATGACATGTACAATGTATGTTTCAGACATGATTTATTGACAATAAATAGGCAGAATAAACTCACAGAATTTGACTTTTCACTGGTCCACGATTCTAAATAGTGTACCCATCTTACACAAGGTTGTTAGCTGGCGAAGTCTCCATCATATTCTTTAGGAATATTTAGCCTATAACCTGAGCCGTTTCGCTAGATCTGAAAAAGAAACTCAAATTATGGTTAAATGAAAAAGAAGTCCTTTGGCTGAGGTTGTATTTTAAAGATCTCTTGTTATTTCACTGGAAAATTGATAACAGAGACTGACATTTAATCAGGAAAGTCCTTTTCGGGAAACGTTTGTTTTACACAAGAGAACTAAATAGAAAGCAGAAACAACTAGGAATACAAACATCTCGGACATATGTAAAACGTATGTATGAGTTTTAAGCAAGTTGAATTAGGCAAGATTTAACCTAATCAAATATCTTCATCAAGCATGGAGTAAATTACATCATTGGTTTACACATCCCTCAAATTGAGACTTGGGTCAGTGACCTTCAAACTGCTATGAAATTCAACATTTCCAGAGATCGCCGATGCTCATAGAAAATTTCACTATATTCTTATCAAAATGTATTTGTCTTTTAATTCAATGATTGTCCGTCCGTAGCTTACATCACTGGCAATTGTTTGTTAAGTGCAGAAACAAGCCTATGGATTTGACAGAAGAAGTGATAAGACCATCAGTAGAGAAACGAATTGCTTTTTTATTCCTCATCTTCGGGGTGTGGGGAAGTGGCCATTACTCCGATGTTACACAATAAAATAGTTTACCAATTTCTCTAAAGTTACAGGGAATCTTCACTAGAAAGAAGTGCGAATCGAACGTTACTAGACAGTAAAGATGGACGCTAGCTTTAATTTGGACGAGGCGTTTGGAGGGAATGTTCACACGAATGGAGGCTTGCCGAACGCTACCAGACAATTGAGATAGACACGAGCGTCAGTTTGGGTTATGAGTAAAAATAACATGCGAGCTCTGAACCTGTTGATGAAGTTGTTCGTGATAATATAATGCTTGAGAATGGCTTACTGCTCTGCTCGGCAGATGAAGTGGTTCGGAAGGTTGCAGGGTTCATCGTTCCATTGGAAGTTGTGATGTCCGTATAAACATAGACAGTTTTCCAAACCGCCGTTGTAATTGTTGTTAGGCTCGCCGGGAAACCAGTCCGTGAAGGTAAATCTCTGACCAAGGTTCGCCCATTCCCAATTACCCTCTACATGTGTGTCTGTTCCACTGGTCAGGTAGCATACGCTATTTTTGTGTGGGTCTAAAACAAACGTATCTGGGATTCGCTCACAAAGTATTAGCATAAGAGTACTTGTATATTGTGTATGACGACGCAAATCACTATCAATCTAGTATGATCAAGTGTTGTTCGAAAGAATATGGGAGAATCGATACTGAATAACATGTTTTAGAACATTAACACTGCGGTGGTTAGAATCATATACTTATCAATGTTGTCAGCATATTTACGTTTCTATATTTGTATTATTTAAACCATCACAAATACCATACCGTTCTGATGAAGATGCATGAGTTCCGATTTCAGAAATTTGTTTTCTTCTTCATCAGTAATAGATATTAACTCGCTGTGGAATATTTGACAGTTGAACTGAAAAAAGTAGTACCATTCATTAAGAGCGATTTGGAGTCTTTGTAGTGATAAATCCGCCCAAAAAAGCAACAGTAGACATGTTTCGCTGAAGTTGACCACAGTTGTACCTCGTCATTAATGTGGGAGTAATGACCTTTGATGTTCATGTCACTAGTTTTGAAATGACGTAAAATTATTTTTAAAGTTATTTTCAGGTTAAAATGCGTTGTACAATATGCCTACTTTAGTTATACACAGATACTCAAACACTCACGTTCGCCTCAGCCCAATTGTCCACCTCCCTCGAGAGAAGATAACAGGATTCCCTGAAGGTTAGCCAGCCATCATGACAGGCACCAGCTGTGGCTGCTGTTGTCAGAAATACTTAATATGTAATGATTTTGCTTTGGTTTTTCTTATTTTTTTCCGTATCTATAATTCTCGTAATACTGATAACACGTCTACCTTGATGGTTTTTACTGTGCCATGAATATTGATTTGGAGTACATATTGGTAAAACGTCCTCTAAAAGATTTAATAAGAAACGACTGTATAACACTATCATTGCCGTGCTTAAAATACACACGCTGGACCTATTTGGTTACTAACCTGATACCAATGATAGAAGTAACAAGCATACACTGGTGGCAGACATATTCGTCCTTGACCTACGCTTATCTAAATATGTGACAAATAGATCGCTATTTCGCTAGAGCCGATCTTTGATAAGATATAGTTATACATAAGACAACGATTAGTAAATGTCAAACTGCATCTCCATACTGTTTATATGGATCTAGTATTGCCTTTGACAAATGCTGTGTAGCAATTTAGATTTAAACACCGTGCCAAGACATATCAATATTTCCCCGTCTGGTTTTCAGAATTGAATCACTTAAGCTATTTATAACATGCGACATCCTTTTCATCTGTCCCCGGAACTGTATTCATTTCTACTGTATACTACCATCTGATAACAATTCAATGCTTATATCTTCAGGTATAAACCTTTTACATTCTTCGTTTACCCGAATACTGACGTCAGCATGTCCAGTTCCTCGTGCCATAAAACATGGATGGGAAAGTGAACTGTGACAGATAACATAAGACGTGTATTCATGTTAGTCAAGCTTTGCAGTTTCCAACGTTTTATTTCAAATCAATCCTTTCTTGCCACCACATATTTTTGATCAACAATCTGTATTGTAATTTAAGGTACATTTAACATTCAGCAACTGACGTGTAACCAGTCTCATGATCGTAATAACAGTTGCACGACTGTTGTTTTGATCTTACTATTTTAATGGAGTGGTTAGAGATGGATTAAAATTTACCAAGGAGAGTAACCTGAATACCACTCTGAACACTGTAATCTATTTTCACCATTTAACATTGCGATTTTGGTACATAGCTCCCAGTTTCAGGTTCAGCCTCTGTTCTTATCACTTATTTCGGCGATTCTTAGACCAATCAGGATTGTCGCTGTCACCATATGACCGCAAAATAGCGCCGTAAATGAAATTGTCATGGTAACCATCAAGATAGGTTATAAAGGTCATTTGCAGTTTGACAACTCCGACAAGTCATATTTTTTCATGCTGATACGGATATATGTACAAGATCGCTTATATGTGCTCGTAGGACTAAAACAACCTTGGTTATCAGACTGCTACATTCCATCCGTGTTGTACAACCGATTCGTACAGTCACAAACCATAAAAGTTCAGTATCAAGTTAAAAAAAAAAAAAGTCATATTCCATCATTTGGTGAGCTGATTTGCCTAACAAAATTTTCTAAGATGTCGTTTCCGGCAACGAACACGCTCAGGATGTTTCGGTCATCACCTGTGAAAAAAACAAGTTGTTGAATTTTAAACAAATGCAGCATATTCAGTAAAATTGGGTAAAGTTATATTATAATCAGTTGTACATATTGTTAGGAAATGTTTACTACGGGTATGTGAAAAATATTTACCGAGAAATATAAATTTCTGAATGATGTCTTCCATGGTGTCCTCTCTAAAAACATCGATTGGTCCTCCGTCAACACATGGATCAACAAGTAGGGCGTCAAACGCCTTCCCGACCTCAAAGTTACCTATGTGATCTTCCATATCTAAAACTAGCAAAAAAGGACTACTTGAAAAAATTAAAAAAAAAAAAAAAAAAAAAAATTCATCACGACATGCATCGATTTCACAATCAACAATTGCCTTACAAAATCGTGAATATTAGCATGGCATTTATGCAAACTTGTAGAAGGTGTTAATCGATCGAGAACTGCGTAGGAAAACTACAATTCATTACGACGAAACCATTTGCTCCTCGCATTCCAATACTTTTACAAAAGACACAAGTGAAAAAGTAAATGTTGTTTGTAAAATATATAAGGTAAAGTTCATTGTTCACTTAACAGTGATTACCTTTGGCACCTCCTAAAGTTGCAAGTCGAAAAACGTCCTGATAATCAAGCGGCTTATAGTTAGGACCCTTATGCAAAGCGATCGTGTTTGAGGTAAAAATGGCCGTCCTCATTGCATCCAATATTGATGGACTGTAACCTCCAGAAATGTCTAGTAAAAGTTTTATAAACAAACAAGATAAAAGTGAAAGGTTATCCAGTGGAAAACGAAATCAGTTCTGAAGAATGAGGAATGTCGTCTTGTGATTTCATCTACCAACTGAACATCAACAATGATATGTGATGAAGTTCGGTGGTACCAAATGATAATACATTAATGATAAGCGACCGGACTTGCATTTTGAAAGAATATGCGGTCGATTACCTTTGTAAAGGTAATATTGTATATCTTTACATTAGAATTCATATCTGATATTAACGAACAAATGCGCTGATATCAAATGTGTCGATTGATAACGTCAAGATCTAACCACAAATATTCTTTATATTAAGGGTTAAGGGTTCAAGCCAGGCTGCTGCTTACGAAACATTGATACGAATCAAATACAAGACACCTTCCTTCATTTCAATTGTTTCAAAAAGATAGAAATGCCTCAAATATCCCCAAGGATTATTTCTAAATATTATTGGCTGTTAGGAGGGTTCCAACAAAACTGTACACATTTAGATGTGGATTAACAAGACAACATATGGATATCTGAAAGCTTAGTTGTATTACAAAACCTACCAGTGCCCAAACCAACACTTATATTGTCATCGAGACATGCCCTCACATCAAGCATACCGCTGCGTATTCTGTGAAAATAAAGCAGCGGCTGATCAGTTTTAGTATTTAATCAAAATGTTAAAATTGTAACGATTTCAAAAATGATTTAGGGGAAGAATAACGCCATTTTCAAGTAAGGAATTTTGAAAATGCACATTAACTTACGATATGTTGGAATTTGGACAGTGTGATATGCCACAGTTCCGCTCCCTGATTAGTTTGCGATCTTCTGGCGTCAGATATATCCCATGCGCGAGAACTGTCTGTTTAAGGTAAGTTTGGATGAATGTCAATTAGGAAACTAACCAAATTAATGTGAAACTTGCAACAAAAGCAATAACATTCAAGTCGCCGTGGACATATACATACAGTAAGGAAATCGCGTAGATGTTTATACAAGAATAAATATAATAATCCAATGACCTAACATATTTATGTTCATGTCTGCTTGTGCTTTGTACCTTCCGAGTAAGCAAACCAGCCTCGTTGTAAATATCTAGATAGGACTCATTTTCTGGGAAATGCTTCCTGACCATGTCGCACTCCTCTGTCGTCTCAGCTATGTGGGTCTGTTTTTAATAAGATGGAATATATTCTATTGTATAAAAGAACACAAGAATATGGTGTCACCTTTAATTGGGTTAAGTGTATTGAGAGAAGAGAAAATAAACGGAGACATGGAAGGTAAATTCTAGGCTTATTGAACACAACTCAAAAGCTAAGCAGCAAAAACTACGATCAATCATTGAGGTATCCATATGTATGTAGACTATATTCACTAACAATTAATGTATTTGGCATCAGTAATGTGTATTTACAAAGTGATAATTTCTGTTTAAGCCGGACATAGAAAAAATATCGCGTCTAACACTTGACCAGTAACTCTACATAAAGGTTTAATATAATCAATATCGTAACGGCATGATTGTACATCACGATATCCATGGCTTCATTAAGTATAGATTTAATTTCAATTTTTTTTATTGAAAGGTGCTATTTACTTTTGTCTTCTGTATGAACCTTCATCGTGATGGGGTCAGTGATTTGTTTCAGCGAAAAGAAAAGAAAAAAACACACAAAAAAACAAAACTCTGGCTTAACCAAAACCATGTCGACAAGTAAATGAAGACGACTATATACACCTTCTGATGTACCTATATCACATATCAGTGCAGTAACAAGAGGCCCAATGGGCATGCAGGGCTCACTGCCCGATATACATACACCAGCAAAATATTATGCCTCTCAGCCATTTAGTTCATGAGAAAAAGTAATTGAAATGGTTTTTTAATGACCCCTGTGACCTTGAACATAGGTCATGGTAATTTATTTTTCCGAACTTTGTCGGGAATCATCCTAGGAACATGCCAACCAAATTTCATGTCTCTGAGCCTATGAGTTCACGAGAAAAAAATGTTTAAATATTTTAACAAATTCGACCCCTGTGACCTTGAATATAAGCCAAGGTCATTTCTTTTTTACAAACTTCGGGCCAGGTGAGCTCATCACAAAGCATTGTAAAAAAAGAAAAAACACACTGCTATTACCTGTACGTGAATTTCATTACTTCGGGCAATTTGTCCGAGTTGCTTCATTAAACCCATACAGCAGTTTCCAGCATATCTCGGGGTGATACATGGTCTGATGAGTGTATACTAGAAAGTAAATAGATGACATACAGCGGTTTCCCGGTAAATCTTGTAGGGATGAATGGTCTGACACGTGTGAACTATAAAGTGAATAGATGTCGTAAAGAAGATATGGTCTTTGGGTTATTGTTTTAATCGAAATATGTCGAAAAATATCACAGTACGCTAACCAGTCTACACAAATATATATGTATGTAATTAGATACAAACCTTTCTCATGACAACCTCTTGTACGTATCTGAAAAAGTAGCATATTGTTTAACTACCAATTTACTGTATTTGATGAGAGTCCAAAAGTCTGTTTCGTTTTGTTCATTTCTGATAATCTTGACATTATTTAATTTGATAACAAAAATCAAAATAGTTTACACTTTATATAATGATATATATTATTAGTAACTATGAATACTAAATCGAACCGCTTGGTTTCCTGGACAGATATTGTAGTGTTTTCTTTATAATAGTCAGGTGAGTTCCGGTTCATGTTGACTTTGCCGACAATGCCTCTCTGTCCAATACTTTCTATAAGATAAAAGCACGTACATTTAATACTGATCATAGCAATATCAAGCGCCAGGGAAAAGTGTGTCAACTAACGACATATCATTTAACCTACAACTGTAACACTAACCTATTTACAAAATGTGAGATGATACTAGTACCAAAATCAAGAGTGAGCCAACGAAAAGCAAATAATTCATTATGTGCAATTACTGTTACGATGAAACTTAACAAACATTTATCTTTGTTTATATTCAACATTTGATATTCAAATGAGGACGCGTACGACAAAACGACAAAACGACAAAAAAGGTGCAAAACATATTCACAATTATCAAATGTAAACACAGCCTATTTACAACAATATAAAAAATATTATCCAGCATGCTGATGTAATGATCTTAACCATGACAGGAAGAAGGATAAATATTATCACTCACGTATGACGTCACAGAGTTTCAACGTAGAGTTTGTGTGAATCGTTCCAAAGTAACTAGCAGTGGTTGTTCCATTTTTAACCACTCGAGACTACAACATAATACCTTAACACGTTTACAGTTTTCAGAATATTCTGAACAATCATTAACTTTTATCTCATTATCATTTGCGTATAACAAAACCATCAGTCATGAATGGGCAGTTATAAAATTCATTTAACAAGCAGATCTATTTTCAATTCAGGTTAAGAACTATTGAAAATGTTTCTGGGGGGGGAGTTACCTATGTTATCTGGGGGCAATTCACTTAAAAACATATCATTACGTCCCAACTGATAACTTATACAAAATTCACGTGGATGTAGAACATGTCAATGCAACCATGAATAGGTTTTCTCGTTAGTAATTTAACAAAATAACGCTCGTGTATTAGTAACTCTTGAAAACTTAGCTCGAGTGAATGAAATAACATATACCACGACCACTTGTTGTGTAGCCTCTATTTATCCCCCATCCCCTATGTGTTCATGTGATCATTACAAACGTTACATAACAGATCGGTATCTACTCGTCAGGTGGCGTGCTTTCACTCAAATATCAGATAAATTAGAATTAGGTATATATTGAAGTACTTACCACGACCTTCCAGTATTGTTTCGTGGCAAAATCAAGATCGGCGAATTTTGCTTCAGTGGGAAATGTGTATTTGTGAAGCCATGACAGCATGTCTTCATCCAGACATTTGCCACAGTTTGAGTACTGAGGTGCGTGGATGTGAGTATCGACGAATCCAGGGATCACGAACTGTCTGAAGATATGTTAAATAGATTGTTACTGATTGTGTGCCATTTATAATGATGATTTCATGCGTTCACCAGAGATTCATTTAATTTGACAAGAGTCTTAGAAACAATTCAAAATTGGTAGCCAGCAATATAACTGAGGAAATGAAATAAAGCACAACACTGTTATAGGAGCTTCCGAAACAAACCAATTAGTAGAATACCAACAAGTGGACAAAACTCTCAACATACTCACAATTCTTATGTATTAGTAGTCCTGTCAGTTATATATACTCACAATATACTCACAATTCTAATGTATTAGTAGTCCTGTCAGTTATATATACTCACAATTCTAATGTATTAGTAGTCCTGTCAGTTATGTATACTCACAATTCTTATGAAGTAGCAGTTCTGACATTTTTGTATACTCACAATTCCTATGTATAAGTAGTCCTGCCAATTATATATACTCAAAATACTTATGTTATAGTAGTTCTGACCGTTATTATACTCACAATCCTTTTAGGCATATTATGTTACCCACGTCAATGTTATATTTCTCCAATACGTCATTTATTTTGTTGTCATTCTTCTGTATAAAAACTATCTGTAAGAAAGCGAGGGTGTTAGTCTGCGCTATCTTCAAGTAATACATTGCCACAGATGTATCAATTCACTCACACATCATCTATCATAACGATAAAAAACGGCAATTGTTAACATAGGCATAACAGCTTACAATGTGAAAGGATATTTAGTAAATGAAACCTCGAAGATCTAAACAGGTAAAGATTTGTTAAGCATTAATGTTTAAATATTTGTAAATGTTAGTACATATAGTTTGCGTAAATTCAGCTGTATGTCGAATAACCGTTCAAAATTCATCATTGATGCATGAACATATTTTATAAATATTCTGTACAATTACAGCTGATGTTGAAATTCATATCCCAAAAGATAAATATATTCCAAGAGATCAGCATATTTCATATCCTACCTTTCCCGATATCACTCCGATGCAATGATCACTTAAAATCACCAGAGGCGAGGTTATCGTTGAGTGGATAAATGTTCCGCTGATAGCAAACGAAGATTCTAACAAAGTTTCGGACATATTTTAAAATCTCCTTCAATCCCCGAAATAAGCTTGAACTTGGACGAGGGTCGTCTATATAACGGATGTAGCACACTTGTACTAAACTTGACATTTAAGTCGTACATCAATGTGGAACACGTGCAACCTGCATACTCTCAATCGTTCAACGAGTACTAACTGTACGGGACTCGTTACATATGTCCCAATACATTACCCAGTCGTAATTGATGTACGTAGTGTCAAAAAATAAAGAACAATATTTAAATTTCGCCACCTTCATTATATCGGTATGGCAAGCATTTTGTCCAAAAAGACAAAGAACATCATCGGTGTGTTTGTTGTGTCTGACAAAAGCTATGTACCAAAATCGGACAATATGTCAATTTCAACCAATCAGATCAGAGTCTCCTTTCGGCGGCCATCTTGTAAAATCAGCAAGTAGATTTAATAACTTTGTTCCTGATATCAGACAATACCTATACACCATTTGTTTTGAGTTCTGACATCTAAACTTCCAAAAATCAGACAGAAGTCGTTATGTGGCGGCCATCTTGTCTAATTAGAAAACAAATGTCAACATTTAGTTTTTTATGTGAAAGCATACTTACATATCAATTACCATTAGAATCGGACGATATCTATATATTTTGGCCAAATTTTGACCAAACGACACAGAAGTTTCAGTTTTTGGTTTACAATTGAAAACACCAGAGCTTATCGAATATTTTTTTCTTTAAGTAGCAAGCTACATGTACATACACAATAAATAAGGTTAGTTGCTTATGTACTGTTGAGAAAACAGTCGATAAATTCATGATGACGTAGCTGTATACAGTTTGTGTTTTGCGACATGCATGTCAATGCTGCTGCATCTACATCCTACGTTGAACATTCCGGCTAGCAATGATTTTTATTTATTTAAAAACACAGATTGCATATTTTATACACTAAATGCATAATCTTATACATACTTATTACCGGTTAGCTTAGAAGAGAAGCGTTTGTGATGTAAATTTTAAATGACTTGAATCTGTGTAGAAAATGAAGTACACTTTATCTCATAGGGGATTCAAGACCTTTTTTGTAGATTTATAAAAATGCAAAAATGTTTGACGATAGTTTCCACTGGTATATATGTATATCCATGACGATTTATGGTTATCACGCGTACAAATGCTGCATTTGGTTGGATACCCATAGCAAGTAGTTATAATGTCGAGAATAATGATAAACACTACATAGTGTAACCTTTGACCTGTAAACCAAGCGCTGATCCTGTGCAGCTATGTCCAGTTTGCAGCAACCACTTAATATATCGATGAAATTTGTGTTACACGATTACGATTCAGTTCGACATCCAATTCCTAGAAGATACCGAACGGGATGGAGCAGCTCATTCTGGACATCGGAGAGGGACCATTCCCAGCACAACAGTTGTACAATCATGATTGATGTTATAGAAGCTCGCCATTAGCACTGCTTGGATACTCTTTTGTGTTTGCTGCCTTGTATTTACGCATGGATGCGGCAATGATGTACAGAAATACAGCCACGCCATGACAGGCTGCAACGCCGTAAAACGAAGCCATGTAAGATCCCGTGATGTCGAACAACCCACCTGAAACGTAATTGATAATGAGAATTTACCACAAAACAAGAACAGGTACACCCACGACTGGTCAGTTATGGCTGACTATTGTTTCTGATTTCACTTTTCATGTCGCTTTTATGAAAATCGTAAAATAAACACGCAGCTTTTTAAAGAAACGCGTTGGTATTTCTATGAGCAAAATTAGTTCAATATCATAAAATATAACAGTTTGTACAAGTCTATACAAAATAAGCCTACGAGTTCAAACGAAATCCGAAGAGAAATTGTAAATGCTTATTTTATTGTTTGCTTAATCAAGTAATTAATTGCGTGCTTACTTCATCAATGTGTGTGATCACGTACCTGAAATGGCTCCAGAACACATGCAACAAAGACCAACAAGGGTCATCAGAATCCCAACACCGACGGAATAATTTGCGAGTCCCACAAGTTTCATGGTGGTCATAGACAACACCGTCACATTTCCTCCCATCGACACTCCGAAACAGCACATAAGAAGTACGTGTTGATAGTAGGAAGATGCCTCTAAGAGACCGACGACTGACAAACAACTGAGACTAGTAAACAGCGCGGGTATGATCAGAGCACCCATGTGCGGTATGTGCTTACACAGTCCGGGAACTAGTCTACCCGTCGTGTTGCCTACATTCATGAAGAAATATAACAACAAAGCGTCTTTGTCAGCAAAGGATTTCGTTTTCAGGAATTCTATCAAATAAATCAAAGTAGCATCGTATGCCGGAAGTGTACAACACACTGCAACAATAAATAGAATAAAAGTGTAGTTTCCTGTCAATACTTTTAACTTGGCTATAAAGGAATGTTCTTGATTAGGCGTAACATAGCTTGTGTTGTTTACAGTAAAAGTCTTGTTTTCATAACTGCATACGATTTGTTGATTGTGTGGCGTTTGTTGACTGGAGTTTATATCATCATTAACCAATAATCTGGGGAAATTTTGTTGTATGCTAGGTGATGGTGGTTTACAAATAGCGGTGAAGCAAATCATGTTTGCCATAAGTCCTCCCACAATGAGAAGACACCCCCTCCATCCATACATCTTAATTAAATAATCCAACAGGAAAGGGAATACCATTGCACCACAGCCGGAACCGGAACTCACAAACGACAAGGCCACAAATCTTGCTTTTCCATGAAAATGTTCACCAACAGATGTCGTTATGGATACAAATCCAAGAGAAAGTCCAAATCCTGTTGAATATAATATCATAAATGAAGTATTAATGTAGAATGATAACATTAACAGCGGTGATCCTGTAGAATATAATATCATAAATGTAGTATTAATGTAGAATGATAACATTAACAGCGGTGATCCTGTAGAATATAATATCATAAATGTAGTATTAATGTAGAATGATAACATTAACAGCGGTGATCCTGTAGAATATAATAACATTAACAGCGGTAATTCTGTAGAATGATAACATTAACAGCGGTAATTCTGTAGAATATATTAACATTAACAGCGGTAATTCTGTAGAAGATAATACCATTAACAGAGGTATTCCAGTGAATATAATAACATTAACAGAGATAAACCTGTAGAATATAATACCATTAACAGGGATGATCCTATAGAATATAATACCATTAACAGAGATAATACTGTAGAAGATAATACCATTAACAGAGATAATCCTGTAGAATATAATATCATTAACAGAGATAATCCTGTAGAAGATAATACCATTAACAGAGGTAATCCTGTAGAAGATAATACCATTAACAGAGACAATCCCGTAGAATATGATACCATTAACAGAGATAATCCTGTAAGAGATAATACCATTAACAGAGATAATCCTATAGAATATAATACCATTAACAGAGATAATACTGTAGAAGATAATACCATTAACAGAGATAAACCTGTAGAATATGATACCATTAACAGAGATAATCCTGTAGGAGATAATACCATTAACAGAGGTATACTTACAAGCATATATTCAAGTTTGTATGAGACCAAAAATAAATATTTTCTATTAGTATAGCAAAGCTGAAAGAGTACGATGTCATCATTATGTATTTTTGAATGCATACAGAAATAAACGTGTGAGGCTGTTAGTACATACGTATACACCTGTGTTGGCATAAAAGCATCAACAAAGCAAAGTAATTTTCAAGCTTGGTATCGTTCATCTTCAGGCGATTTTCGCTAACTTTTTCAAGCTTGGTATCGTCCATCTTCAGGCGATTTTCGCTAACTTTTTCAAGCTGGGTATCGTCCATCTTCAGGCGATTTTTGCTAAAGTTCTTAAGCTGGGTGTCGGTTATTATTGGTAAAGTTTTCATGTCGTCTGTCGGCTATCTTAAGGCGATAACCTCTGTTTTTCACGCTGTGTATTGACTTTTTTCAGTTGGTTTTCGCTGACGTACTCGTGCTGAGGATCAGCTATTTTCAGACGATTTTTGGTAACGCTTTCAAGCCGTGTATCGGCTCTCTTCAGTCTATTTTTGGTTACGTTTCAAGCCGAGTATCGGCTATCTTCAGTTAATTTTTGGTTACGTTTCAAGCCGTGTATCGGCTTTCTTCAGTCGGTTTTTGGTTACGTTTCAAGCCGTGTATCGGCTATCTTTAGTCGGCTTTTGGTAACGTTTCAAGCCGTGTATCTCCTACCTATAGTCGACTTTTGGTTACGTTTCAAGCCGTTTATCGGCTTTCTTCAGTCTATTTTTTGATAACGTTTCAAGCCGTGTATCTCCTACCTATAGTCGACTTTTGATAACGTATCAAGCCGTGTATCTGCTATCTTCAGTCTATTTTTGGTAACGTTTCAAGCCGTGTATCTGCTATCTTCAGTCTATTGTTGGTTACGTTTCAAGCCGTGTATCGGCTATCTTCAGTCTATTTTTGGTAACGTTTCAAGCCGTGTATCTGCTATCTTCAGTCTATTTTTGGTAACGTTTCAAGCCGTGTATCTGCTATCTTCAGTCTATTTTTGGTAACGTTTCAAGTCGTGTATCGGCTACCTTCAGTCTATTTTTGGTAACGTTTCAAGCCGTGTATCGGCTTTCTTCAGTCTATTTTTAGTAACGTTTCAAGTCGTGTATCGGCTATTTTTAGTCTATTTTTGGTTACGTTTCAAGCCTTGTATTGGCTATTTCAAGCCGACTTCTGGTTATGTTTCAAGTCGTGTATCGGCTTTCTTCAGTCTATTTTTGGTAACGTTTCAAGTCGTGTATCTGCTATTCAGTCTGTTTTTGGTTACGTTTCAAGCCATGTATCGCTTTCATCAGACGATTTTGGTAACGTTTTCAAGGCGAGTATCGGCTATTTTCAGTCGATTATCGCAAATGTTTTCAAGTCAAATATAGGCTATCTCTATCCGAGTGCTTTGTAATACATAATAAAAATTATTATAACTTAACTCGACTTGGTGACTGTTTATGTTTACATATCTAGATGATAAATAATGTTTTCGTCAAATTAAACTATAAACATATATATATATTATATATATATATATACGAAATTTATAAGACATTTAATCTAAGTCAAACATATTTGCGTACATAGTAACACCCATACTTGATATCAGTACTATTATAAAGAAGTAATTAAATCTGCTAAAACTGACATCAATGGACAACCACAATCATTAAATGTGAACTAGATTTCAGCTATGTTTAGAAAACGAGCTATTCATTTCTATTTTCACACCTACTCAGTGCTGAATCAGGTCCTTGGTAAATTATACTTCGATTTGGGGAACCGCGATACCGTAGTCGATAAAACATCAGGCTTTGAACATCAGGTGAGATTATAGATCGTCCTATACTATTATGAAAGGGTCATTGGACAAGACTCTTTACCTTAATTACTTTGTTGAGTATGCGGCGGACCTCTCGCATGTTTTTCAATGAGGTATCCGCCAGCTACTACAATAGATCTTGTCCTGACTGTTCACGGCACGACCAGCAATGATTTGTAAATGTACATAAAATATGGAAGAACTGTTTTTTATACTTACCTGTAACAACTCCAACAGAGGTAATTAGATACGGAATGCTTGTTGCTAAGAATGAAAGGATCAGGCCAATTGAAGCCAGGAAACCAGCACATATACCCATTTTTCGAACTCCAAATTTGTTGACAAACTGTCCACATGGAAATCCTGAAATAACACGCAAAGCACGTATGTGCACGTAAAATATGTGTAGATATATTTAGATTTATTAAGATTTGTTTTCCATTAAAATTAGGAGAAATAGTTCACTTGTCTGTTTGTTTGTTTGTTTGTTTGTTTTAAACTGATGATGAGTTTCATAACCATTTTATCAATTCCTCATTACATCCGCATTAAACAGTACGTGACCGTAAACCTAGCATTTTCTCAGTTAGACATCACAAAATCAACAGAGTCAAAAGTGCAGTTAATATATCAAGCACATATAGGTCACACGTGCTGAAAGCGTGTATGGACAAGCTGTCTGTGGGACTGTAAAAATTACTTGTACAGAGTGAAATTGTTTAAAGTTTGCTGTAGCATAAAAATGTTGATAATTTCCGTTGATCTACATGTGACTGAGGTAACTAACGGTGACCTCCGTATTTGCACAAATCAAACAGACAATATGACTGTACTGACCCTGTTTTGGTGAAGTACACTCCTCATACTACGCTCAGTGTAAGCTGATTAAAATATAGACATTAGTGTCTTCTACAAACGTAACCCCTAACCTACAAATGTTGCTGATCTCGTTAGTACTAATTGATCAATGTTTAAGCATTTTAAAAAATGAATGGATTTCAACATGTCCAAAGTGAACGTATTACCAGACGATATTTGTACTAACGGAAATCAATGTTTCAAAATCAGCACTATATCACTTCCAACACTTGAGGTAAATGTTTTGGTTTGGGCTAGTGTTCATTGTGTCCCAGTTAAGGTTTAGCATGTACTACAAAAGATATTCAAATATCAGCTTATGTTAATATGAATCAGGCTAACCTTATTTTCGTCTCAGTATTATGTCGATATAATATTGTCTTAAAATCGTGAAAATAAGAAACTGTAAGATATAAGTAATCCGCTGACCTTGTAAAACACGTGTTATTTGGAGTATTTTTTTTAAAGACTTGATGTCGTCCATTGTGAGATTACGTGATCATGCATAACATAGCTTGTCTATCAATGTACATGATCGCGACAAATACAAAGTTCAAAGCACCAGTGACTTAAAATATCCTTTTGTTCTTTTTGACATGATTAATGGTGTTTCAGTAACTCAATACATTTAAATTCTTTAACGTGTAAATTGTAACACTTGATAGTTCAACTGTTTATTTCTTTAGTCAGGTCATATTTTTTTTATACTACTATAAGTACATAAGTATTGATGTGTTTGACCTTCTTGTGTAATGACCTTCACTTCCACACTTAACCCTACACTGTACCTGCATTTAGTAGCATCCCTGCTGTAACGGACTGTACGAGTGCTGTCTCAGCTTTGCTTTTTCCAAATGCTCGTAGAAATTCTGTATTCAACACCGACATGTTGTACGGGAAACCAGAACATAAAAACATGTTTAAAAAACACGCAATCAAAACAACCCATCTTCTCCTCGATGTGTTCTGCATTGGAGCCATATGTTCCGTGAATGCGTCATCCAGCTACACAATACCTCTGGTTACCTCCCTTCTTTGGCAAATTGCCATTCACGCAATCTAGGACTAGTATTTATGGTGTCCCAATGATTATAGTGCCGTTTGATTTGCACAAAGTTGGCAAATGAAAATGTATGTCTTTATAAGATCTGAAGAAGTCTTTATATTCATTTTTTTGTGTCTGTTACATAAATATATTGGTGTTCCTGTCAGTTTTGATTATTGATTTTATGAAGTTCGTGTTATCGTGTGACAGCAGTGATAAGCAGACAAACTACTTTAAATGTGTTGTCAAGGAATTGATTATTCTGCAAGACAGATCAGCATTGTCTCTTTAATACGATCTATTTTAATCTACCTTTTTTTGTACAATACTAAATGGCTGCTGGCATCAGCTAGTATTTTAATGACGAATCATACTTATAATGAGGGAGTTCATTAAACGTCCTGTCTCGTTATTCCTAACGGATTCAGTATACAGTTACATATACCATTAAGTAGGGATTTAGTCAGCAGATATACATATATATGTACATATGGTGCCGTAGATCGTAAGCACGAGGCCCGGACAGGGCACGAGTCAAAAACTGTCTTCCTCCATTAATTGTTCAACAATGTCCTAACAATTAACACAGTGCATCATATACACTAATATTTTTTATCCTAAAGTTCCAGATTTGAATAACCTGTCTTAATTATACCCGAATTTTATATATAAATGTATATATAAATGTATATGTGTGTGTGTGTGTGCGTGTGTGTGTGTGTGTGTGTGTGTGTGTGTGTGTGTGTGTGTGTGTGAGGGTGTGTGTGTGTGTGTGTGTGTGTGTGTGTGTGTGGTGTGTGTGTGTGTGGGTGGGTGGGTGGGTGGGTGTGTGTGTGTGTGTGTGTGTGTGTGTGATAGGGTGTGTGTGTGTGGGTGGGTGGGCGGGGGTGTGTGTGTTTGTGTTTGTGTGAATATAGTAAAATAAAACAATCCAAGAAAGAAATAACGTGTTCCCAAAAGAGGACAAGGTATACAACAAAGGAACCAACAGGCAAACTAACGAGTACCAAACACGTCCAGCTTCCCACCACACAAGGAACTAATATGTTCTTGATGAGATCCGTCAATACATTAATACATCTGAAAGTGAAATTGAAGGACTTTGCAAAATCTGTGACAAGTATCGATAAGCTCTTTGATAAATTCAACCACATATGTAAACAAAAACAAGTCAGCCAACAAAAGGACACGTGTTTCCATAGGGCTGTGTCCCGATTTGTCCTTTTTTAAAAATAACATGGACAGAGGAATACCGTGAAAAGGGTTATAGTTAATTTCAAATGAATTTACCTGTATTTACCTCTGGTTTTACCTGTGACTACCTGTGTTTTAGCCAATGTCGGAAGTTGATATCTTATGAAATTACCATAATTCTAAAGAGCTATTGAAAGTTCAACTAATGTTTCAATTTTACATTTCTTTATATTTCTGAACATCACCTGGAAACCCCTTCCGTGTTTTTTTTTTTTTTTTCTCCAGTGGTTGGTTAATTTCTGTATTCTAATTGAATGGTGATCACATGTTATTTTCTTTCGTCATTTGAGAAACATTCGCGTGTTAGCTGAAAACAAATACTGTCATGATCGCCAATTTCTTCATGTTAGGTTAACTATGTCTATCTAAACCAAGGTGAATGACGTAATCCTGACATTTATTCTCAGTGTCCCTAGATAATGCAACATATCGACAGAATGCAATTTACGCTAACTCAGCAGACCGAAAACGGACTTGGCACGTCCGCATTCTTAAAAGAGATTAGGAATATAGAGATACACAAACAGAGAACGTTATTTTCGGAAGCTTTGTTCATGTACAACCTAGGCTTGCCAGGAACATCACACTTGGCTTCTATTTGAGGAAGTGCTGAAATCATGTTTTTGTATTATATATATACAATAAGGAAAACCTGAACTAAAGCGTTTCAAATTCATTCATTTCAAAATACACTAATTTAAGAATACCAACGAAATCAGACAGCGAATAATATCGGGGATTACATTTTGTAATTTGTGACAATTAAATTCGGTTTTCACATCCGTTTGACTAATTGTGTTTAATTATTTTAAAAGTACATCATTGTGTATCGAGAGACAGGTAACGTATATTGAACGTATGTATAACAGATCCGCTACACAAGAACCCATTAGCTTCAAAATCTCAGCATATTTCTGTGGGGTATTTTCTGTCCTTTTTTCGAAAATATTGCTACGAAGCTGGTCATTTTAAACATGATTACCATATATGCTAATGACACTACACTCAAATACACGATTTAATGAAATCAATATGAGAAATACACTTAAGGGATGACGGTGGGCGAGTCTTTGTCTCAAAAGGGCATTTTTAAAACATTACTGTGTCCAAATTTGAGAACATATTTAAATGAGTTATTTAAATATGCAAATTGGATTTTACCCGATATATTTTTAAAGATAACTACAGATATATAGGTAATCCTATGTACAAACCTATACTCAGACAGTAAATAATTATATTAGAATAAAATCGACGGTCATTCGAGATGGGGCATATTTTTGAAATGAATCAATACTTCTGAATCCTAGCTTTCCCAGGTTCAAAAAAAAAAAGTGGGAAAGGAGAGAAATCCATTATTAAGTACAAATGTCCTTGGAGCAAAGAGTCAGCTCTTCATATAAACTACCAATGTCATATCATATTTGGATCCGCCATCAGAAAATGATCCCCCTATAGTATTTTGATCCCCCTTAACAGAAGTTATATTAACAATGCATGTATGCATATGTTTAAGCGGGAGTACACCATTCCGATATGTAGGATATTCCTCATTCCGTCCGGCTGGCGTTTTTCGGATAACGAATTTCGTCATCGGACAAGCTATATTTGGAAATTGTTTCTTTCACTTGACCAATTATTGATTTATAACCAAGATCAATAAATCAGGTATTTGAAATATGTGTACACTGCAGTTTTAACATATTCTAGGCAGTTTTAAGGTGCGCCGTCATCTATCAAGTTTAAACATATTTCTTGGTATCGTGAAGGAATTTTGTGTAATTCTCCAGCCGATGCTTAATTGAATTGGGCTACATAATTACATAACATTTATTTTTCTATTTGGAGAGGATCCACACAAGGTTACGTTCTGATATATTTAGTTACATGGCGTCAGCAAGGTTTGATCATCTGGAATGTTCCCCACTAAAATACTGCAGCCAATTTCGTTAATGGATTATCTGAAGCAAGAAGCAATGTCTATTTTTTTCTATAATGTGGAAACCTTTGTGCATTAAGCTTTATTTATTTTTTATGGCGTAGATGGTAAATTTGATAATGAAAGAAAGGACACAAAATGTCTTCTGTGCCACATATGAATTCAATAAAGATACTTTTTCCGCATGAAGCAGACGTGAGTGTGTCGCCAGGAGTTCCGAGTGGAAAGCATGCTGCCATTCAATCTCAGCAAATAATTTTGTGCTATTTTACTGTCTCATCACCTCATCATGCGCACTTATTTACTATCTAAACTGAGGAACTGTATTATCAAGTGATGTATGCAGACAATAGTCTTGGTTCAGACACAGGACTGCTAAAAAGCACACCTGAATCTAATGCTCAGTTGTCAATATTTGGATGTCGTGAAAATGTAATGGTTAGGCAGTCATAGACATTCTTGGCTAGTTGATTCAGTGGCTTAGATCTCGGGTTCAAGGCCCAAAAAGGACATGAGTCATAAATTGCCCAGCTTTGCTAATTGTGTTACCATTTTCTAAAATTGTCTTCCTTCCTTTTGTCAAATGTTTAAATATATACATTACAGACTGTAAAGTACAAAATATAGTCTCAGTCAGAATGTATCTATGGCCAGTCACAGTGGAAACAAGTCAGATAGCATAGTGATTGATGTTCATAATTTATTAATGAGTATCCACAAATCTTCAATATGTTATGTCAGTAACAAATTATACATAGTTGTAGAAAAGAAATACATGCAACAGAATGTAAGTGACATCAGATCTAGTTCAAAGATTTATATTCCTTGTTTCTCATTTGAGAATATGACATTACATTGGATTGACAAAGATTTACAAGATAGGTGTCTTCACTGAAGCTGAAGATGCTTACTCTTCTGAAACATCTGGTTTTACTCTCCTTGTACCTTTTCAGGAGTCTCTGTGTAAATCTTTCTTTTGGTCATATTTTGCCCTAGATTTACCGAATTTGAGTTTGGGTTCTGATTATGTTTACATGTTGGTAGCTTTTATTTTATTATCTCTTTATTTTTCAGGGGGGATAAGATTTTATTAATTATCCATAAAAATTGAATTTCAAAGAGTGTTACAAGCTGAATATGGCTGTGCATAACCCATCTGTACTGAATTTCAATATATGTTATTGTATTTGTAATGTGGAACGTTATTGAAAAAAAACTGTGTTGTATCGTAGTGTAGTGTAGTGTAGTGTAGTGTAGCATATTGTATTGTAGTGTAGCGTACTGTAGTATAGTGTATTGTAGTATAGTGTATTGTATTGTAGTGTATTGTATTGTAGTGTAGTGTATTGTAGTGTAGCATATTGTATTGTAGTGTATTGTATTGTATAGTAATGTATTGTAGTGTAGTGTGTGTATTGTAGTGTAGTGTAGTGTATTATAGTGAATTGTAGTGTAGTGTATTGTAGTGTATTGTATTATAGTGTATTGTATTGTAGTGTAGTGTATTGTAGTGTAGCGTATTGTATTGTTATGTATTGTTGTGAACTGTGTGTATTGTAGTGTATTGTATTATAGTGAATTGTAGTGTATTGTATTGTAGTGTAGTGTATTGTAGTGTAGTGTGTAGTGTATTGTATTGTATAGTAATGTATTGTAGTGTAGTGAAGTGTAGTGTATCGTATTGTAGTGTAATGTATTGTATTGTAGTGTAGTGTATTGTAGTGTAGTGAAGTGTAGT